GAAAGTACATCTGCGAGCACGGGCCGCGGCGCGGAGGGGCGGGGGCGTGCTGGGGTCTCAGGAGTTAGGAAGACAGAGCACACTACCCTCCTCTTGGAAAGGCAACGACCAACGTGTAGTGCAGGGTCTGAGAAACACGGCCGCGCGGGAGGCCGGGGCTGGAGCCTGGCTGTGCTTCCGTCCGGGGCCATCCAGGGAGCGGCGCCGCAGGAAGTCGGACGGACGCGTCTCGCGCGGCTGTCGAGTGGGCATCGGCGCCAGCCCGGAGCCTGGGTTTCCCGCAGCGCATCTGCAACACATCTCACAACACGCACCTTCACACAAGTAAAACGCCGCAACCTTTGCAGCATCACCACATAAAAGATGACTAGCCAGTTTATAAAACAAATGTTTGGCAGGGAAATCACAGTAAAGGTACCCTGTTTGCTCACCGATGCTAAGAAAAATGGAGGAGCGGAAATGGTTGCATATTTGGATCAGAAGTGGGAGACGCTCTGCTGTGGTCACGATGCGCTTTCTGCACCAGAAGGAAATTGGGCAGGCGAGCGGTGGGTTTCTCTGGGTAAGTTCCATTTATTAATCATTGTACAAAAAAAATCTTGGCATTCATTTGAAGAGAAAAGAAGTTACTATATCCAAATATTTAGTATTTTAACATTGTGAAAGTTCTACTTTTATAACAGGGCTTTTTAAAATGGAGAAAACTTTTGGAAAAATTTTAAAAAGAAACTTATGATTTATTAGAGTACAGGATCCAAAACACATTTTTAGAAAAATATAAAGTGCCCAAATACCAACTTACACAGGTGACACAGGCTTTCTGGAGCCAAATGAAGCATTCATGAAGAACACATTTAAAAACTGTCTAGATACATATTTACACTGGGTCAGTAAAGGTAAAACCATCTTTCTTGGCTTTGATGTTACTCTAAGAAAAAAGGAAACCAAACCAAAAAACCAACAGTTAAAACTCTCGGCATGCTCCAGGTTCTTAGTAATGCATCTCATTAACTCCATATTACCTAGTTTTCACCTTTAAATGAGAGTAGTGTAAACCCCTCAACCTCGGGAAGGCTGGGCATTGTGAGTCGTCACCATTTCAGATCGAGTCCAAATCACAGGACTTTGGATTTGACTGCAGAGGAAGGTGGACGCCGGACGACAGCTGACTCAGGCTGGAAGAGGTCCCCATCTCGTTCTAGGAACGGCTGATCAGCTGCTTTCGCAAGTAAGTGGCCTCAGTCGGTCCCCCAACTGTGGGCATCCCAGGGTTTCCAGAGCATAAACAAGAGGCGGTCATCAAAGGTGGTGTGAAAATACTGCATGCAAATGAACGGGTGGCGAGAGGGGGCCGGATCACAGCCCCCCAAAGTCTCAATCACTAGAGCAATTGATTTGCTTAAGCTTAAAGTAACTAACTCCAAGTTAGCTTCTACTGCTAACTACATGATCAGCTGGCTTGAGACTGGCGGGTCGAGTACGGGGGGAGTCCCAGAGCTGCAGAAGGACCCCGTGCCTTCACTCACCCAGAAGGACAGGAAAGAAGCCTGTCCTTGAAGGCAGAGGCGGACCCCGGGAGCGGGCGGGAGGCCGGGCCTCCTCTGGAGCTTTCCTGGCAGTGGCGACTGAGGAGGCGCGTCACACCCCACCCTCCTTCCCACTGATCCAACACTCTTCCACCTAGAGACGCTTTATTTCTGCCTTGCCACATTCAAAAAGGGTTTAAAATGACTCTAAGGAATGATGGGGCATCTGAGACCTCCTTTAAAAAAATTTTTAAGGTTCATTATTTCTTTTTTCTGGTACCACAGAGAAACCTCATTTTTGGGTCTCGGGGGACCATGGTGTATGGTTTCTGAGCACAAACATTTTAACATCAGATTGTACTTCTCATTATAAAGACAAATCAAGATTGACTGAAGAGCTACTCATGATATTGGACTGTTAGAATTTTGTTTAAAAAGTAATTATTTTAGAGGGAAGAATAATAGATGAATGTGGAAAGGTTTATTCACAAAGGCCATTATTAGGCCTTTTCTCAAAAAATGTGTAATAAAATAGAAAAGTAATAATTTGTAGAGCTATTCTGAGAGGAATATGGCAGGAAACGGTTATTCTCCCAATACAAAGAAGAAAAAGACAAATGTCTGAAATCTGTTTCAACTGTTAGAAAAAAATAAATTCAAATGATCTGATTACATGAGCTTGTTATTGTCCCCATCTCCAAGATGCTGCCAAGGTCGCATACGGCTTCACCTCTGAATAAGCAACTAACTTCAGGGCAGAAAGATAAGACAACCCAACCTCGGACTGCACGCGTTCCATCCAGAAATCAGAAAGAAATGACTGCGAATGCGTGACCCGTCTGCCAGCACACGAAACGCCGCAGACATCATGGCAAGTGAAGGAGAGAATGTTGAGAGAGGAGTGTCGACGTGAGACGTCATGAAGACAGAATGTCACGAACTGTCACCACAGGACAAGCATACAAGCCATGCCACTGGACACAGTGCCTTTCAAACGAATTCACTAGTGTAGGCGGAGAGCAACATTGTCTTTGCAGCTGGAGGAGAGCACACGTTATTTCACCTTAGGAGGCGGCAACCAGCACTACCGGCGAGGCGGCCTTCCCGGTGGAGAAGCCAGGAGCGGAGCCGCCTCTGAAATCCTGTTCTCTTGGGAGATAGCAGCAGCAGCAGCAAAGGTGCAATGTCCTCTACGAGACTTTACTCTACATTCTCTTTCTTTGCGCTGTAAATATTCTGCACCGTTTCATAGACAGACTCCAGATCCTCTGGATATCGAATCTCTAGCTCTGCGTTGGGGATGTAGTGAGTGCCAGTAAACTCTGAGAAATAGCGTCCGACATCAGGGTGCGAGATCTCTTGAGGCTCCACATTATATTCCAAGTTTTCTGTTGGTAAAGAGGCACATGGATATTCTTGTTAAGAATGAATTTCTGTGGCACCTTTTATGCAGAGAACTTCCTATTACTCCTTCAAATGGCCTCTTCCAGGTGCGTGTCGGGGGAGACAGATGGTAATGGAACTTAGAAAAAGGCAGCAAGCGGCGATGAGGGGACGGAGGGAAGCTGGCACGGCGCCACACCAAACAAAAGCATTTTCTTTTTCTCTGAACAAGATATCTGGCTCCAGCAAAACGCAGCAGTCTCTTGGGGACTGGCAAACTAGAGACTCCCCACTTCCTTTGACTACATCAAACAGTCAAACGCATGGGACAAAGGAACCTCAGCAACCTCGCTTTTTGCCAGTAGTTAAGCTCTGAGGTCTCCATATCCTCTGGCTACAAGCCTCAAACCTGCACGAGCCAACCCCCTCACTGCCCGGATTTCTTAAATATGGCTGCACGCTTGCTAAGGCGAGCATGTCACAGGCTGCTGGGAGAGCCGGCGGGAGGATCAGGAAAGAGTGCGCACTCCAGACCCTCTCGGATGTGGGCTCTGACAGCTGCTAAGAGAGCCTTGCTAGCTCTTTCCCCTGCTCTCTGAAGAGAGAACAGAGATAAGATGCCTTTAAAATAGAATAATTAAAAACAAACAAGCAAACCACGATCACAACACATGTATTTTCGAGGCTGAAATCTTTCCAGATGGTATCTCCAATAAAGCATGACTTGAAAAACAGCTCCTCTAGGGGCCCAACGGAAGGACGGGGTGTGTGCCCTCTCAGCGTCAGAAGCCAGCCAAGACTGGGCGTGGGCCCCACCCAGAAGTCCAGCCTTGTCCTCCCCATCAGCAGCTGACCATGTCCCAAGCAGACTGGTTCCCATGGATACAAAGCCTCACTTGTCCAGCAAGCGCGTGAGCCTTGCTGACAGGCTAGCCCCACCTGTGTAGATTATTCCTAGTAGCTCCGTTAAACACCCTGAAATGTAGCTGCATGCCCGGCACACAGATGCACATGGGGTCCTCAAGAAGACTCTCTTTGGGAGAGGGCAGTTTGTAGACTTCAACCTGTTACTTTTTTCTTTTCTTTTTTTTTTTTTTTTAAGAGGCATGTTTTATTTATTTATTTGTTTGTTTGTTTGTTTTGTTTATACATGCACTGGGTACAGTCAGAAGCGCGGGAGGGTGAGAGAATTCACCAGAGCCAGAGCGGGGAGCAGAGCAGGCAGAAGGACCGAAGTACACTGCTGAGGGGAGCAGCGGGCGGCAGGAGAGGTCTGCGCGCATGTGGGACCTCTCCTCGGTGGCCGGAGCAGCTGGGGATCGAACGGCGCCGCAGAGGCCGCGGGCAGCTTCGCAACCCAGCGCTCAACCGCTGCGCCACCGGGGAGGCCCTGTTACTTTTTTCTTAACCACAGATGGGAGCACTTAAAGAAATATTATGCCACAGTAGTTCTAGGCTGTTAATTCAGACTATGGACAGAGATAGATCAGTGTGCTGAGGAAATCACACACAAATCATGTGCAAGGACGAGATTATCTCATCTCAGCATGACTTAGAACAAAAATGTGGAAACACACGTTCAGCTGTGGGTCAGTAGTAAGTAAACGGGGAACATTATTCAGCTCGCTACAGCCAGGAAAACGAGCAAGCCGTTTCCAGGCTCCTGTGTGGGTTACGGGGGCACAAACTACCCACGACTTAAAAAGGGCCAAGAAGGCCACCTATTGGGGCTGCCACATTACACAGGGCACAGTGACAGTTAAGAGGGTTCTTTTAAACTGGGCGCTTAGAGCAGTGTCTGCACAGGCGCAGCCATGCGGTGCTCTCCCCACTCAAGGATCCCTGAGAGGAAACCACATCAGTGTGCGCATGTCTCCCTGGTCCTTAGTCTTGGAACGTACACATACGGATCTAAACATAACCATATATACTTAAAATTCAGTGTTGCTTTATGTGTTTCTTCATACGAAAGTTTACCTGCAACTGGTTTGTGTAACTGCAGCTAGTATTCCATGGTCTGGACATACCCCAGTTTACTAGGCAAGTCCTTATGAATGACACTCCTTTGCCATTACGAGGAGGGGAACACAGACCCCCTGTGTGCACGTGTGCGCATATGTGTGTTTCTAGTGAACAGACCAAGGGGAGGAACTGCTAAGTCAAGGGAGAATGAGCACATTTGACTTTAACAATTTAAGAAAGGGTGTGCCAAGCCACCCTCAGCCCTGAAGTGGCTGAGATGTACACCCCAGCTCCGGGGGCGATTCCTTACTCACTTGCCAGCACTTGCAGACTGCCCTGGACTGTCTGGGTGCGGGGTGTGGGGATGGAAACTTCACATTGGAAGCGTAAGAATTTATGCAAAAAGGAAAGTTACACTTGGTGAGGCACACCACATAGCAAGCATGCTACAAAGTGCTGTATCATTAAAAACCAAACACATTTGAGAACTGGACTTTCACATCACAGCTGAACTCCCAACCTTTCAATAGGGGCAGCTGACTTAGAGTCAGAGCATCCATGAAACTCATTTTTCCGTACCTCAGAAGTATGCATGGAAGTTGGGCCGGGAGTTGCCGCTTCCTTACTGGACCTACAAAGTATTAAAGTTGCCCCCTAGTGGAAACAGAAAATTATGAACGCCCAAGATGCTGTGTATTTCCCTCAGTAGGACGTAGGGGAAATCTAACACGCGGAGGGAGATATTCCTTTAACTGTGCACACAAACCATCCGAAGATGTCACGTATGCGAGTGGTTCACAACTCTTCAACTGTGGAAATTTAATAATGATAAAAGTGCTCATCAGTGGGCTCTACCCACTAATGGGTGAAAACTTAAATCAAGAAATGTCTAGGGTCTCCCTTGTGGCGCAAGGGGTTAAATCTCACACTATGAACCAATCCGCAGCCTGTGCAGCACGAGTTGGATCCCCAACCAGGGAGCTACCCACCTGGTGCAGCAGACCTCTCCTGTCTCACCCGCTGCTCCCCTCAGCAGTGTATTTCAGTGGATCTGCCTGTTCTGCTCCCCACTCTTGACTCTGGTGAATCCTCTCACCCCTGCACCTCTGGCCTGTACCCCAGCTCTTGAATGCATAGAAAAATATTTAAAAAAGAAAGAAAGAAAAAGTCTAAAAACCCAGAACTGTTCAAAAATATATTTAAATAAGTATTTTAAAAAAACGTAGTACCCTTTAGGCTTCCGACAGGCTAAATACATGCTAATTTTTTCCACATGATTTTAGCCCACTGACTATGGGAGAAGAGGGGGAATGGGAAAGAGAGAGACAGAAGAGTGGGGAGGAGGGTCTGGAAGAGCGAAGGGGAGGAACCTTCTTATTTATAGTAGTCGGGGGAATAACAGCAGTAGAAAACCACCATCCTACAATTCTCATAATAATTTAGGCAAGGAGATTCAACAGGTTCTAAAATAAGATTATTGGGGAATAGGATATTCACAGGACGCCACAGTAAAACTCCATGAACTTGTTAATTAGAAAAGGAAAATTGTCCCTTATGGTGAGTCACGATCTCAGCAGGCGACCAAACTGGGTCCTACCGCTAGTGGGATGCGGAACACCGAGGGCTTCCGGAAGACACGGGGCTGATGCACACAGCACTGGGTGGGAAGGGTTCTTGCCAGTGATGTTAACTGGGTCTAATCAAGCCTCCAATTTAATTTCCAACTCACAGAAAATACAGATTAAAAAAGCAGTAAGACAATTCCACAATATTAGACTATTTACAAGACAATCGGCCTGATCGTGCCCCAAAAAAGCCACATGAAAAAGAAAACAAAGACAAGGAGGAATGAGGAAGTGGTTTTTTTTTTTTTTTAAAAGATTAATTATTTATTTATTTGCACAAGCACTGGGTACAGTCAGAAGCGCGGGAGGGTGAGAGAATTCACCAGAGCCAGAGCGGGGAGCAGAGCAGGCAGACTGACGAAGTACACTGCTGAGGGGAGCAGCGGGCGGCAGGAGAGGTCTGCGCGCCATGTGGGACCCTCCTCCGGTGGCTGGGGGGTAGCTAGGGATTGAACCGGCACTGCAGAGGCTACAGGCAGCTTCGCAACCCAGCGCTCAACCGCTGCGCCACCGGGGAGGCCCGGAAGTGGTTTTTAATAAGAGACTAAAGAGGCATGACTGAATGAGACGCGCGGGTGCCGGCTGGATCATGAGTTAGACACAAATAGCCATAAAAGCTATTTGGTGACAACTGGGAAATTTGAAAACTGACTGAATGTGACAGTAGAATGAAAATTTTTATTAGGTGCAATGATGTAATTGTGGAAATGCAGAGAAATATCCTTATTCTTACGTGATGCGGGATTAAGTAACTGGGTCACAGTGTGTGCAATAGTCTGTCAATGCTGTGTGAAGACCTGCCAGAATGGTCACCTCCAGGAACAAAACAGCTTGATTCAGACAGAGATGATGGGTGGGAACTGACATGATCCGATGACAGAGGGTCTCAATTACCTCCGGGTCAGGCAAGGAGGCGGGACTGCCAATGCAACACTCCTGATGGGTAGTTTAAGCGGAAGGAACCTGGTCTGAGTGGCATGTTGGGAAGATCCTCTAGCTGTTGCTAAGGAAGATGGCCTGTGGGGGGACAAGCTTGGTGGCAGATGCCAGGTACGAAAGCAAGAAATATCTGTGGCGTGGAGTGAAATGAGAGAGCCACATTCAGATAGAGAATCCATGTGCTCTGTTGATTAACTGAATGGATGATGGGGTGTGGAGAACAACAGAGAAGAGATGGTGCCAGGTGGCGCTCCTCAAGGAGAGGAGAAGAGCATGAGCAGGTTGGGGTGGAGACCAGAGACTGGCACAATGAGTTCCTTCAGAACACTGAGACACCAGAGCAACTTCTGAGCGCCTCCACGTGCAGAGGCGCAGGGGGCTGCCTCCGAGGCAGGCATGGAGCTCAAACAAGAGCACGGACGGCAATGAGTCTTTGGGAAAGGCAGGCACACAACCAGTTAACAAGGCCAGAGAGAGGAAAAAATGGTCCAGGAGAGCCTTTTGGGGTGAGAAGCGCCTGGAAAAGGAGCACCTCATGTCATGTCAGGCCTTTCTGGGGAGCTCCCCATGGAGTTCCTCTCCGTCTGTACCCACCGCCACTTAGCACAGGCTGGAATACAGCAGATACTTAGGAAACACTGATGAAGGATTGACAGAAAGGCTCACAGAAGGAGATGGACAGCTATTGCAGGGTAACAATACCGGATGTTCAGTTCTAAGAATGTTCAAAAAGTCTCAGAACTTAAAATTACTAAAGGCAATTTTGCTAATGTTACTCACACTTAGCTCAATCTCAAGTTTTAGAGACTGTAAAACTGACACCCAGATATTAAATTTTGTTTTCACGAAATCATTACACTATTAGGATTCTAATCCTTATGCAGCAGGTTTACTTAAGATACCATTAGAGATGAATTCCTGAACCTTCAACACAGACACCGGACAAATTCAGAACTCTAAGAACACAATACCCAGTGTCACCTACTCTAGAAAACCCATTTTAAAATTAAGATGTTTCTAAAAACTCAAGATCCTGACAGTCCCAGTATCAACCCTGCAGGATGGCAGTGGAGGTGCAGGTGATCACAGGCCCCAGAGCAGAGGGGTGGTGCGCCCCTACTCTTGTGATGCAGAGTGTGCCATGAGCGGTGGGGGCGCAAGCAGTTTACCAAATCATTCAATAATTTCCAAATCAGCTGCACACTTTTAGAAATGGTTAGTATGGTTTTATTTTTTTAACTTGACCCAGCCCTATTCAAGTCTGCATCACTGTCAGTGTTTCTGACAGAATCAATACCCACCTACTTTTAAAACTTCCACATTAATGTTGATAGAGGTTAAATGACTTGCAGCCTCAATGAACAAATTCTCTTGATGTTACTATTGTGCCCGATCCTTTGTCAGATCCTTTGTTAGTTTCTGATGAATTATAATAATTAAGAGCAAGCCTTTTTGATACTCATGGTATTTTTATACATCTAATATTTCTATTACTGAATTTATCAGAATGTAATATTCACTTAGATCAAACTTGATGTCTAAGTCAGACACAAAAAGATACATGCAGCATGATGGCTTTTAAGGAGAAGGCTATTTGCCAAGTTCTCTGGGTTCAAACCTATACTCTTAAGTTAAAATTTAAGTAACTGTACAGTTTCTTCAGGTATGAAATGAGTATGATGATGGTCATTACAGTTCTCAAATAACTGATATACATTAGGACTAGTCACACAGCAGCACTATGTTGTGAAGCCTTCACAGGCAGGCATGTGTAAAGTTCATGTCATTAATACAGGGACAAAGGGAAATTGATCCTGTAGGCATGTTCTCTAACCTACCTCCACAGGCTCCATGTGTCCCATCGCAAGGGTGCCCTGTGCTAGTACATGTCAGGGGTTGGCGGCAGCCCCAGATACCTAGGACGCACCTGCTGGCTCTCCCTGGTGTTCTGAGAGCAAGTGCTGAGGACTGCAGTTTCACCATGGCTACTTGAGGGTGTCTCTGGGGGAAGCACTGGAATACATTTCTGGTGATGATGTAGGGGGAGACCCCAGGGGCAGTGACTATTTAACCCTTAGTATGGCCACAGCAGTGCATACCAGTCCATATTTAAACACTGGTCCTGATGAGTTAGTCATGGGACAGCTGCCATCTCTGAAGACATTGCTGACCAGTGCCCACAGCGCCCACATGCTCACATGTGTGCTTACAAATTGCCTGGTGCCATTCAAGGAAATAGAGCCAGCTACTTACCTTGGGCTGCATATCTACAGGAACCATCCTCCACCAGAACATTGTAGAAAGGCTGGTGATGGCCATGAGGCAGGCTGTGGACATTCATGTTTCGAATCCATTCGTGTCCCATCATGCAGGTGGGGTCCCAGCCATAGATCACGCAGTTATAGCCATACCTGGTGAACACAAGAGCAAGGGCGAATCAACTCCCTGGAACTTGTCACAGCAACCACAACATGTACATGTTCTTAAGTTCGGGCGCTGATAAATTTACCTGCTTTTATTCCATGTTAAATCATTTTTCAGGACACCCCTGAACCTCTTTATATACACCTTCCATTATCATTATAGCACTTTATTTGGAAAAGGGCACTTTTCAACAAAGAATAACAGGATAAATGGAAACAGTATCAGGACCCAGGCCGGATAACTAAACACAGCATATCAGTTCTCAATAGAATAAAGACCTAGATGTAAAATACAAAACTTCAAATACCTTTTTGACCCAGAATAAAGGCTCCTATAAACAAGGTACTAGAAATATAATCCATAAAGGAAAAGATTGATCAATGTGACAGTATTAATGGATTCAAATTCAGACTATAAAAAATACCAAGGACAACTGGGAAAAAAGGACCTCTGACTAGGTATTTGAGGAGGCTAAAGAATTATTTTTCCTTAGTTGTGACAATTGGAGGGTAAACAAATTTTTTAAAAAAGAAAGAGCCCTTACCTTTGAGAGATATTAAATAGATACAAATGAAATGATATCTGGTATTTGTTTCTGGGGTGGGGGAAGATCTGGAAGTGTAGTGAGACAATGAAGGCTGACCCTATATGGAAGCTGTTGAAGCTGAATATGGGAATATGATCTGTTTTGTTATACTTGTCTTTCTACTTCTGTACATGTTTGAAAATCCCCTAATAAATTTTAAAAAAGAAAAACACTATGCAGAACTACGAAAAGATATTTGCAACTTACCTGCTGACAGAGAACAGTACACTGGATAAAGAATGACCACAAAATCAACAAGGGAAGACTATTAACTCAATTGAATACTAAGCAAAGTACTTGAAGTACTAAGTAAAAGGAAACTGAAATGGCTGTTAGATACTTAAGAACCTTAATCCGTGTGGTAATCAGGGAAAAGCCAATTCAAACCACAATGAAATATGACTTGCAATTTATACTCAGGTACATTTTTAAAGGTTTGGCAACACCCCATGTTGGTGGGCAGAGGCATTCTCAGCTCCTAGGCTTATGGTCAGATATAAACTAGCACAACCACTTTGGCAACAGCTACATTTCTGCCTACTAAATCATGTGTACAGCACCCTAGTATCCAGCCCTGTGGTCCAGCCAACCCCTACTCACAACTCTGAGTCAAGGAGACAGAGTTAAAGAGCGAGAATACAGAAATGACCGGGAAAATGCTTACGGTTGCTTCCACCTTCCCACAGAGAAGGGTCACACATTAAAAGGTCACTAAAATCTCCCAGTTAGGAAAGCGAGTCCCTTCTTAGGGAAAGGAAAATCTAGGTATGGTTCCTTCTGGCTTCCGGTCCATCCTGTGGCGGGTACAGAGTTGCTGCTCCTGGTCAGGTCCCCTTCCAGCGAGTCCTACTGCTCCCGAGAGATGGCGCTCCTGGGCCCCGTGCGTCCTCTGCAGCCACCTCTGTGAATGTGCCAGGCACTCACCTCTTATGCTTCATAATAAGCCCAATGGAGTAGCAGACATCTCTGTGCTTCTCGTGAGAGCGGAGCTTCACCTCCACGCCCACCTCCTCTTTTTTGCGCTCTATGTGCTCTAAGGTGTGCTGCACCAGATAGCCCACCGCCCCGTGCTGCCCGGGGTCGAGGGTTTGGATGTGCTGGAGGATGTCAAGCACCTTCAAGACAAGACAGAAAGACTAGGAGATAATATTTTCATTTAGGCCTTTTCTTTTTCGCGGCACGGGATATAGGCCTACCTAAGCTGATAAAGGACGGCGAGGCGGCACCGAGCTGAGGGCCCCAGTCTCCGCGACAGCTTCATACAGGTGCCCAGAGTTGGGGAACTCACTCCTAATGCTGGGAAAGCATCTTTTTTGCACAGTGTGAGTACAAGAAATTTTTCTTTTTTAAGATTTTTTTTTTTTTAATTCATGTATATAAGAACCGGGATACAGGCAGATGTGCAGGAGGGTGAGAGGGTTCACCAGAGACAGAGCAGGGAACAGAACAGGAAGGAATTATTTAGAAACACAATGGACTGGAGTAAGCATGGGGTGAGGAAACAAGAGCCTCCCGTTGATAGGCACGTCTGGATTAGTGAGTTCAAAAAGGTTCCAATAGTGTTGGTCAATGTGGTCACTCCATTTTTTTAATTATTTTTTAAATTATACATATGTTTTACATCATTCCTCATTTTTGTACAATGTATGCTTTCTCATCTCAGTTATAGTCCCCATGAAAATGGGCCTCCCCTGGTGGCGCAGCGGTTGAGCGCTGGGCTGCGAAGCTGCCCGCAGCCTCTGCAGCACCAGTTCGATCCCCGGCCGCCGGCGAGGGTCACACATGGCACAGCAGACCTCTCCTGTTGCCCACTGCTCCCCTCAGCAGTGGATTTCGTCAATCTCCTGTTCTGCTCCCTGCTCTGGCTCTGGTGAATTCTCTCACCCCCCCTCGCTTCTGACTGTACCCAGTGCTTGTATAAATAATCTAAAAAGAAAAAAAGAAATTCCCACCTGTTTTGATCCTACTCCCTTTCTCCGCCCCCTGAAGAATGTCTCTGGTTTATAGTTGCTTGTTGATTTTGATTTTCACTTCATTATAATTCCTCCCTCCTTGATCCCTTATTTGGATCCTCTACATTCCTCCTATAAGTGAAACCATTCGGTATTTTTCTTTTTCTTTCTGGCTTATTTCACTGAGCATGATCCCTTCCAGCTCCATCCATGTTGCAAATTGCATGTGTTTATCTTTTTTGATTGCTGAGTAATATTCCATGGTGTATATGTACCACATCTTCTTGATCCAGTCATCTATTTTTGGGCATTTGGGTTGTTTCCAGAGCTTACTTATTGGAACTAGCGCTGCCATAAACATAGGGGTGCAGGTGCCCTTTTAAATTAATGTTTTTGTGTCCTTTGATCACTATTTTTTTAATAAACAGAGAGGAAATGATTTTAACCATGAATTGCAGGAAAAATAAATGCTAAAAGCTGCTTCAATCGAGATCAACAGGATGTTTGCTAGAGCTGCCTGGTGTTGTGTAAGATGGAAAGGGTCACAGAGAAGCCTCCAAAGCAATGTAAATCACTTTACTTTATGACCTTATACTTGAGGGAGGAAGACATGTGTGTCAGGATTCTGAAATCCTACCAGTCATTTCAATTATTTTAGCCCAGAATGGAATTCAGTATTCAAGTGAGCAGGAATTGATTTGGAATTTAAATGACTAGCTGACAGAAGCAGAACTGTGTAACTTCAAATTTACATTCCACTGTACACGGTGCCTCTACAGATAAACAAAAATCCAAATGCAGTATACACATGCACGCACTCTCTCTCCTCCCCGCTCTTATTTAACATCCATATATCACAGAACGTAGCAGAGGGTGTCTTGACATGGTTCTCCTTTGGAAATAGGACACCTACTGACACCCAAACCACAGCAGCTTAGTACATGGAGCGACCTGGGCTTGAGTTCAGCAATATAAACTCAGTTTTTATCTTTCAATTTGTTTCTTCACTTATCAAATGACAATTAGTGACTGCCCTACTTCCTGATAGATTTTGAGCCTCTGAGTCTGTTGTGAAAACTACAGTTTTACGTAATATAAGACATTCTAAAACCCAATCTTGTCTTTGAGATTGAGATTTGCAGGATCTCACTAACTATTGAACAATAATTTCTCTGCTGGTCTTTGTGCCAAGCTTGCCACATTTTTTATTACTTCAATTAATCCACCCAGCATGAAGGTTTCTCATATAGAAACTGCCAATTTCCAGAAGAGGAACCACGCTTAGTAAAGCCAAGTAACTTGCCTGCGGTGGGAGTTAAGAAGATTTGGAGAGAAGGCTGGAACTCAGGCTTACTCTATTGTGTAGTTCTCAATCGTTGACATATTCAAAGCAAGAGAAGAACTCTTTATTATGAAAATTCTAAACACACAGAAATTGGACAGAATGTTATAACCCCAAGTACCCTAAACTCAGTTTCAACCAGTATTACCTGAGTGGATCCCCACCTGCTTCCCACCGCCTAGTAGTGTCTTTTATTATTATTATTATTATTATTATTATTATTATTATTATTTTAAAGATTTATTTATATAAGTACTGGGTACAGTCAGAAGCGCAGGAGGGTGAGAGAATTCACCAGAGCCAGAGCAGGGAACAGAACACGCAGAAGGACTGAAGTACACTGCTGAGGGGAGCAGCGGGCGGCAGGAGAGGTCTGCACGCCATGTGGGCCCCTCGCCGGTGGCCAGGGATGGAACCGGCACTGCAGAGGTTGCGGGCAGGTTCGCAGCCTAGCTTGCAACCGCTACGCCACCAGGGGAGGCCCTCCTAGTGTGCTTTAAATTCGGGAACACTAACAACATTTATTTTTCATAGCTATAAGCCTCCGAGTTTGCACAGTAAGCTTCCACTTATGCCTGTGTGATGGCTGTCCTCGGGTCCCCTATGCAGTTCCGACCAGTGACCTCTGATGGCCTCTCTGTTACATTCTACAAACACAGCTTCTCCTTTCCTTGTGGCCCCTTCCCACCAGAAAAGTGGAAAGATGTAACCTAGACTCTTCAAAGCACAAAGAAGTCTCAAACTCTGAAAGGTTCAGGGAGAGGGTCAAAATGGAGGAGAAATGGCAATATGAATCTGGTGTGTTCTGGAAGGACAGTGCTGACATGTCATGAAGATATGATGTCTTCAGCCAATATCCAGGCTAGAATCCCAAGAGTCCCCAACTTTTGGGGAAGAGATCTTGAAACAGGGGTATCTATTATCCATGACTGACAAGCTTTTTCTGCTAAGGACTAGAGTGCATGTTTTAGGCTTTGCAGACTGTTGGTCTCTGACTCAGCTACTCACTTTTGCCACTAGAAGGGGACAGTAATCAGACAGACAATAAGCAGACAAGAAGAAGAAGGGGCATAGCAGTGCGCCAATAAAACATTCGCAAAGCCAGGCCATTGTCCCCTGCCATAGCTGTCTGGGGTCTGTGTCCACTTCACTACAGGTTGCCCTGAGGCTCTCCTGAAGCTCTGACTCTATTATCTAGACATCCGCGTGTCCACCTGTCTATGGGCTCTTCTGCTTTGGAGCATCAGCCTTACTGATGCTGAGCTGAGAAGCATGCCAAGAGTTCTGGGAGAGCAGCATTAGTGCATCAGTGGCTCCGGAGCACATCAAATTCCATGTACTCCACAACCAACACCCTCGCGACACCGGAAAGAGATGTGTTCTCCAAATGCCTGTTCTGAAGTGGCCAGTCTCCCTCCCTTGGTGGGAAATTTGAATATGCCCTTACTTCTATCAAATGAAATTGTCATTTCTTAATCACTCATTCGAAAAGCACATTCTGCGTGGCAGGAATTGTATTACGAACAAGGGGAACAGCTGAGTAGGAAACAGCACTGAGGTAGGTCATCCCTGTTTTTAAAGCAGAGAAGGATGATCAAACAAGTAGCTATAAGGAAGCTAGGAAGTTCTGTGAAAGGGCAAACAGGGCTGGCAGACAAGAACCTGACCTAACAGAGGGGAAGAGGTTTCCGAGGTAGAGGGTAGCAGGCAGCTGGAGCTGGAGGTAAAGGAAGAGTGCGATGCTGCACATGTGAAGTATGAAGCTAAAGAGCAGGGGTGAGTGGCCATGGTCGTAGCAGCACAGAGCACAAAAGGGGCCACCAGGAGGGCCCGAAGCACTGGCAGGCAGGGCCAGACCACCCAGAGCCTAGTGAGGCCTCTGGAGAACGAGCCTGGCCTTCAGGGCATAGGGGGAAAACCACACAAAGGGCTGTGAGCAGGGAAGGGATGTAATTGACATTTTATTAAGATTACTCAGGTCTAGCATGTGAAACTGGCTGGAGGCTCTACGAGTAGAGGGGAGGAGATGAAGCAGAGGCCTATGTGATGGTCTGGGTGGGGAAGTGTGCTTCTCACTCTGCTGAGTTTAGGAGCTCTGGAGACAGCCAGGGACAGATGTGTAATGGACAGCTGGACAAGTTGGTTTGGAGCCTTGGGTCCAGAGTCATTAGCCCACAGAGGGAAACTGAAGCAAAGAGATTAGATGAGTCACTCAGGGGAATGGGGTAAGGGTACAGAAATTTAGAACCTACCCAAAAGTATGGAGCCCTCAAGGGAGAGGATAAGGAACGAGCAAGAGCCTGAGAACCAGAGATCACAGAGTCAAAGGAACAGAGTGTTTTGAAGTGGGAGGGGCTGCCAGAATGACGGGGCCCCCAGAATCAAGAAAGGTAAGACTAATCCAAATCTACCGGGTTTGGCAACAAGGAGAATGGTTTAGCAAAAGAGGGCCACCGGCATCCTAGGCAAGAGCAGTGGAGGAGGGTGGGAACAGATCCCCATGTTCCAAGGGGGTAGAGGAAGCAGGGTATGGGAGGTGAGGCCACCCTGCAAGAATGAAGATTTCAGTCCTGTGGGTGAGGAGAGAGAAGGCAAATGCCAGCAGGGCAGTCTCTGGGGTGCTTGTCTTGTTTGTTTTTTCCACAGATGAGAATGAAACCTGAGCGTGTCTAATTCTGACAGTAGAAACAAAGGATGATTAAGCGGCTCTCAAAAAGGAGGAAGGTCAGCTCTAGAGCTAGTGTGTGTGTGTGGGAGAACTGGAGGGACACCTTTCCCACTAAAAAGGGGAAAGTGGGAAGGGATAACTACCAAAACAGGGTTACAGTTTGGCAGGAAGTAGAAAGTGCCTGTCTGCTGTTTCTCTGGAACAATCTTACTTGAAGCCCCAGGATAAGGGCAAGTTAAGGTCCCAGGATAAGGGGGCCACATACCTGGGCTGAACTCCTGCTGCATCAATGCAGGACACCCTGCATAGGACACCCCAGCTAGTCACTTAACTTCTTGTAGCCTTGGTGTGGTCATAAAATTGCAAAAACAAACAAACAAACAAACAAACCCACAAACACCTGTATCCACCCCAGAGGGCTGGAAGGAGGTGTTTGTTAGTGATGTAAAAATTTGACCTTCCTACCCTGTTTCCATCACAACCACAAAGATCCTGGGTTACTGAGGCGGTGACCAACAGACTCACATTTCTTAGCTCTTCCTGATTTACTCACTTGAGAACAAGGGGACCTTCTTGTCTTTCCAGTTTGGGAAAGTTTCCCTGTTACCTAATAAGATCAAACAGATTCCAGGTCCTTCACAAACAAATATCATGCTCCCCAAATTTTATACACACATACACTTACACACACATGATAGGTGGACCTCTGCAGCTCTCCACTTTTGTGCCATGCACACTGGAGTAACCTCTGAAACTATTTCCCATTCTTTAAGTTTCATCTCAAACCCTCCTCTGGGACTTCCCTACTGTCTACAGCTGTCCCTGGATCTCTCTTCACTGGTGTTCCCAGATTTACTTCACTGTCTTGGGTGTGGTCTCCCCAGCTAGAGGGCACACTATGAGGGCAGGGAATGGCTGACACTCTGGGGGTGAACCACTTTTCACTCCAGATGTCTAAATGTGACTCTGGGTATTAAATCCCAGCTCACCAAGCAGCAAATGAGTGCGGGGGATGGGAAGAACACTGCAACGATTCTAGGATTTTTAGCGACACCACTAGTCAGGAAGGCTATCCTGGTCATTCTAAGGAGGACACCAGGGTAGTTTCCCAATTGGCAGCATTAAAATGACACTAAACTCAGTCTTGGAAGGAAAGGAGGCCACAGCTTCTCAGACCTTCCCTCCACGGTTTATGCCTTTTCTAAGGCTAATGAGCAATATAAGTACAGAATTTACATATACATAACCTTGTTTTGAAAGGATCTTTATATATTTTGCAAGTTATCATACATTCCTTAAATAATCTTAAATTGAAAGGGACAGGAATGTATCGCCTGGTGTCAAAAATAAAAACATTAAGCTACTAAGTCCTGGATGATGGGTCATGGAGAGCAGGCAGTAGCTCTCCAAAAGCTCTTCTACCAGACCACACAGATTTGCTATCTGAGCTAAAGATGGCGTCCTGGACAGGATCCCGGGATTTTCCTACTGATAGGTCCTGTCTTAGAATTATTTTAGATTCTGAAGTTGTGGATAAATGAGACCATTTAAATCTAAGAAATGAGGAGTCACTTATACAATTTACTCTCTTACTTCTCTAGCAACACAAGCAGATGATTTTATGGTGATGTCCCTGTGAGAGCTCAGAATGAACTTCTCTCACCAGGCTGTGCTAGACAAACAAAATGAATGATCAACATATTTCCCCAGGACAGAAGGGTGTGACGGATGTGGCTGCACTGTCTCACACCCGTGGCCTCACACATCTGTTATACCCACAGCTTGCTGAAAGCAGTTCTGACTGCAAACACTATGGTCTTCTACCAATGCCTGCTGCAGCCCAGAGGGGGCTATTATGAAACTGAGAAATTCAAAAGAAACATTATCAAAATGCAACAGTTTTCAAAGACATAACCAGTCCATAACTAGTCCAGCTGGACTTGAACACACTGAAGATTTACTTGTCCTATGTCAAATGGGTGTTTATACAAGGTCATGTTCTGCTTCCCCTTGCTGCATCCCAGTGACGTGGCCCAGACACATCTCTGGGGCACCAGTGGGTGCGTGATGGGGGAGACGCCTGTAATTCTGGGTGCTTAAGAAACTAACCAACAGGAGAACAGGCAACTCCTGGCAGTATAACCAATTTTTATGAGGATAAAAGGAGACCAAATAACTGATAAGCCAAGACTGGGGGAATGTGAATAAGTTTGTGTTTATCCCTCGTGTTAATACAGGATAAACTTGTAAGAGCCGCCTTTTAAGCTAGCAGTTCCCTCTCTAAGGCAAGTGAAAAGCATCAAAGTAAAATAATTACCTTCTCTGGCCAGATTCCCAGGTGGAAGTAAAGCCTGGCTTGGAGGAGGAGAAGCTGCACCTGGTCCGGGTACATGGCCAGATACAGATCCAGGGAGTCTCGCAGCAGCTGGTACGACTGGTCAATGCCTTCCCTAGCAGCAAAACAAAATCTCAGTCTTACTCTGTTGCTTCTTTTTCAAGCCCCAGGTTTTAAAAATGAGCAACACAAATTGCACGTGTTTTCTGAATCTGCTATTCTTCTATTCAGCAAATGGTTATGATGCTTTTTATTAAACAAAAACACAGATTTAAACTTTGTTGCCACCACTTTGGTGGTGAGCATTAAATTAAAATCATAAGCACTGTCACTACGTAGGTCACATCAGTAACATCATACATTATTAAAACGATTCTATGTGATGTAATGGTGGATACCTCTTTACATATTTGTTCAAACCCACAGAATGTACAACAGTAAGAGGGACCCTGAATGTTAATAAGGGCTCTGGGTGACAATGTGTCCATGTGTACTTGACTGTAACAAATGCCTCCCTCTGGAGCAGGACACTGACGGTGGGGGCGGCTGTGCGTTGTGGGGGAGCAGGGGACACAGGGGAACTCTCTGTACTCTCTGTTCAATTTTGTGGTGGACCCAAAACAGCCCTAAAAAATAATTAGGTCTATTCAAGAAATAATCCTGCCATTATGCAGAAAACTATTACAACAATGTAGAACCTTCTATTTTCTCTGTAAATTTCCTTGAACTCAGAAGCTAGATGGTTTTACTTTCGTTTGCTTTAAGGGATGGAAAGCTGTAAATTAAGAGGTGACAAATCATGTGGACATGAGAACATCCTGCTTCCAAGAGATCTTTGCTAGTCTGAAGCACTCTTTTTACTGAAGAATACTTTCAGTTTTTACAAAGAGAACTTGCCCAAATCCAATGCAAAGATCTCTAAAAGTCACTAGCATTTTAAATCTGGATTACATTATGTCATGGGAAACAGTTTATGAGATAGGGAGTTAGCTGAAGACACCCCAACTGCACCACACAGCAGTCAGTGCTTCGCTGGATCATAGGAAAGCTCAAATATAATCTCCATAAGGGAATTCGACCCTCCAAAGGCAGAAGCAATGGACAACAAAGAAAACCTTACCGCTTTCCCAGGCTTAAAAGGTTTCCCACCATTCGTTGTAACACCTTCTTTACATTGACCACTCCGTACAATGCTGCGGTCACATGCTGGCCGATCAAGTATTCACACTCTTTCACCGTCAGCTGCTTGCCTTTCCCAAAAGCATCTATGTAGATGTAGTCAAAGATGTCCAGGGTCGCCCTAGCCAAAGAGCACAGGGAATTAGGTGAATCTCAGATGAGAGCCCAGTAAGGCAAAGAATAATACTGATACTTAAAATTCTCTGGAAAAGTAGCTCAGAGACTCAATGTTAGCACAGTAGCATTCCACTTAAAATATCAAGGCCTTGGGCAAAGTTTAAAAACCTCACCCTGAAAGGGTCATGCCCTGCTGTCTTAAAAGTGCAATACAGGGCATCCCTGGTGGTACAAAGGGTTAAGTCTTAGTACTATAAAGCTATCCATAGTCACAGCAGCACAAGAGTTCAATCCCTGGCCAGGGAGCTGACCTACATATGGCACAGCAGACCTCTCTGGCCTCACCTCAGCAGTGTATTTCAGTAGATCCTCCTGTTCTGCTCCCCACTCTGCCTCTGGTGAATCCTCTCACCACCACCCCCACCCCCTGCCACTTCTGACCTACACCCCAGCTCTTAGATGCATAAATAAATTAAAAAAAAAAACCCAACTGCAATACACTGATATTTAAGAAACAGCACTGAGAGAATGCCACTTTGATACTGCTTTTTAGGGAGATTAATCTTAAAACTCACTGCCAGGGATCTCTATCAGAAGTTTAGTGGAGAGAAGAATGGTATGACTGAATTCCACAGATTAGCGGTAGGTAATGTCTGAAGATCCTGGGCCCCTTGAAGTTACAGTGAAATTAAGGACACCCCTTACTATGAAAACATAGCCCTTGGTTCTGCACCTACTCAGATGGTCACAGACCTGCTAAGTGCACCCACAGTCTCAGGCTGGAAATTCCTCCAGATCAGAGAGAGATGTGTCCCTGGCCGGGACCACACAGCTCTGCCTGTAAACTGCTCCTGTGAGCCAGGTTCTCACATATGGTGGTGGCCTACAATGGAGCAGAGTGATCAAGGGAAACAAGTTCTCAGCACATTACCAAGCACACTCTGTGAGGACTCCTGAGGGATTAGGCTGGTTTCAGGGAGAGTTACAAGGTTTTCTTGAGTAATTCTGCTTTGATGTTAAAACCACTGCAAACTATGTAAGGAATTTTCTCTGTGATTGCTAAAAAAGTGAAGTCAGATTTCCTCCTTGAGTCATATAGTGGCCCATCTTTAGCAAGGATGTAAGACTTTAAAATGTTTTAGAAAAAAGAAATACTCTTCAACTTCTTTTATAAGCCTAGGAGAACCACACACAAATTTACAGGCAAAAATCTTAAATAAAATGTGAGCAATTCAAATATATTAATGTATTTAAAAGGTCCATATGATTAAGTTAGAAGTAGCCTAAGAATGAAAGGAGTGCAATTTTTTTTAAAAAGCCTTCTTTCAGCAAATATAGACTAAAAGAGAAAAAACACATTATCTTATCAGTAGATAAAGAACAGAAATTTGGGGGGGAGAAAACATAATGCCTAATAACTATTAATAAATCTTTTAGTGAACTAGGAATTTAAAGGCAGTTTTGACAATCCCAATGAAAAGTACAGCTCCCAAACACGTCTGATGGTGAACTTTTAGAAATATTTCATTTAAAGTCAAGGTAAGGGGCCTCCCTGGTGGCGCAGCAGTTGAGCGCTGGGTTGTGAAGCTGCGCGCAGCCTCTGTAGCACATGTTCGATCCTCGGCTGCTCCCCGGCCACCAGAGGAGGGTCCTACATGGCGCGCAGACCTCTCCTGCCGCCCGCTGCTCCCCTCAGCAGTGTGCTTCGGTCCTTCTGCCTGCTCTGTTCCCCGCTCTGGCTCTGGTGAATTCTCTCACCCTCCCGCGCTTCTGACTGTACCCAGTACTTGTATAAATAAATAAATAAATCTAAAAAAAATTTCATGTCAAGACTAAAAGATAAAAAGCTTAAAATAAAAAAAAAAAAAATAAAGTCAAGGTAAGGGTGTTTGCTATCACTGTCTTTATTAAACTTTGCACATGAAGACCTAGCATAGAGTAAGAGAAACAAAACATGTAAGAGCCACTAAGAAAAGAATCAAATTGTCACAATTCATAGACAATATGATTATTTTAACAGAAAAGCCCAGAGTTGACAAATTACCAGTATTAAAAACTTGTTCCGCAAAGATGTTATCACAACCATATTTAAATATCAACCATGGGTCTCCGCAGTGGCACAGCGGGTTGAGCACAGCGCTGTGAGAAGCTGTCTGCAGCCTCTGCAGCGTGGGTTCGATTCCCGGTCGGCCAGGGAGGTTCCCACATGGTGAGGCAGACCTCTCCTGTTGCGCCTGCTGCTCCCCTCAGCACTGTATTACGGTCCTTCTGCCTGTTCTGCTCCCTGCTCTGTCACTGGTGAATTCTCTCACCCTCCCGTGCCTCTGGCCTGTACCCCAGTGCTTGTATAAAAAAATAAATAAATCTTAAAAAATAAATTAATAAATACCAACCATATTCCTGTTTATCATCAATACATAGAAAATGTAATTTAATAAAAAACCCCATTTATAACAGCAACAACACTTTAAGGTACCTAGTAATAAATCTAACAAAATGTTAAAACAGTTCAATGAAGAAAACTGAACGTCTTTTTAAGGACAGTTGAGAAGACCTAAATGTGTAGGAAGATATCATATTTACAGACAGGACGACTCGTAGTGAAACACTGGCAGTTTTCCTCACATTAAATCTATGATTCCAGTCCAAAGCAAGCTGGTTCCAGCCAATATCCATACTGGGTTTTGATGGAGTCTGATGAACTTTTATTCTAAAGTTAAGGAGAACAAAAGGCTAACAGCCAAAGCAATTTTGAAGATCTCCGGGGCATCCCTAGCCCACCCTACCAAATATCAGGACGAATTATAAAGTTACAATGAAGAAGAGCGTATGGCCTCAGTGTAGGCACAGAGAGACCGAGGACTTAAGGTCAGACATGGAGGTTGCTGGTTAAGGAGCTGAGCCCTTTCCCATGATCTCCCCGTGGGCTGAGCCCTCACTGGGTCTAAATGTTTGCTTTTGCCAGGTACCTAAGGAGCTAACAAATTACTTCATTGTTCATTTGCATTGTAGTATATGTTCAGTGCAGCCTAAAAAGGAAAAATGATACTGCTAACCTTGGGTTAGTGAGAGCTAAAAAGTAACTCTTCCCATTTGAATGGAAAATGGATGCCTGCTTATCCAAAAACAAACTGTCTAATATGTATTTAGGAACAGTCATATTTGGAAAACAAGAGAAGACTATCACATTATTTAAAGAAAAAAATATTTGTTATTATGAACTATAAAAATTTGCATGGAAACAACAAATACTTTCAAACTAACCAGAAGTCATGTCTGGAGAGGAAAGGAGAAAGAGCTAAGGAAGAATATACTGACTGTAAGCTCCAACTACGTGTGTTTTCTTTCTTAAATTTGGAAATAGAAATATTGAGATAAGTTACATGTTTTTCTATATATGCATCAGAAATTCTACAAGGTGTGCAAAACGGGATCATCTCCTATAATCCTCCAAAACACTTTATGAAAACCTTTAGCCCCATGCCAGCGGAAGAAACTGAGACTCAGAGGAGACAAGGTTTGACTTCAAAGTTTAGGTAATTTCTGTTAAAACGCTCACTTCCACAGCTGCCACAAGGAAGCAGTTTCAAAGAAGAACAGAATTTAATAAAATAACTTGGTTTTTTGCCCCCTAAATGGCCTATTTGGCAAGATGCTACTGCTACCTATTTGATGAACTACTTCTCTCAGTTAGCTGAAACGGGGTTATGTTCAATAGAACACCTGGTTTAAAAGGAACAAAACAGAACTCATGACCTTGTCTACAAAATACACTTCAGTCACCGGGAGCACCACCGATGATGAGAACTCAAATACTCACTTTGCCCACGAACTACTTGGCTGCCCTGTTCTCTCCTCCTCCCTGCTCCACCCCTTGTGTGGGGAATGAGGGGGAGATTTTTATGGAAGACTGCAACCTAAGAGTTTCTTTACAAACTCTTTGATCTGACATGCTTTGGAACAAAGGGACTTCAAGATCCAAATAAGACCTTGAAGTCCTAGTCCTAATAAATTAAACTTACTTTGAGATAATTATAGATTCACACGTAGTTGTTAAGAAATAATACATAGGGGCCTCCCCGGTGGCGCAGTGGTTGAGCGCTGGGTTGCAAAGCTGCCTGTAGCCTCTGCGGTGCCGGTTCAATCCCCAGCTGCTCCCTGGCCACCGGAGGAGGGTCCCGCACGGCGCGCAGACCTCTCCTGCCGCCTCCTGCTCCCCTCAGCAGTGTGCTTCGGTCCTTCTGCCTGCTCTGCTCCCCGCTGGGTTGCGAAGCTGCCCGCAGTCTCTGCAGCACCGGTTCAATCCCCAGCTGCCGGGCGAGGATCCTACATGGTGCACAGACCTCTCCAGCCATGCCCGCTGCTCCCCTCAGCAGTGTACTTCATCAGTCTGCCTGCTCTGCTCCCTACTCTGGCTCTGGTGGATTCTCTCACTCTCCCGCATTTCTGACTGTACCCAGTGCTTGTATAAATAAATCTTAAAAAAAAAAGAAATAATACATAAAGACCCAGTGTCCTTTCCCTGGTCTCCCCTGATAATGTCTTATATAGGGTGGGGTATCACAACTGAAATATCCTCATTGATAAAGAAAAAAAAAAAACAAGACAGCTCCACCACCACCCATACTCTCTTGTCAACCTCTGAATGAACCTCAGGACAATCACATGGAATAGATGGCTCACCCTTCTGCGCCTTGGCACCACCTTAATAAGAAGTGACTTGGGAAGTTGACTGGTTCCAATGGGACCCCCAACTGCCGGGCAATTGTCAAGTAGAGCAGAGACATGCTGATTGGGATTCCTGTTCTGCGGATCAAAACCTAGAGAAGAAAAATCCTTTAGTTTCACAGAGATGAACCACACCTTCTCATTCCTTTCACACTCATTATGCATCTACTGTGCATAGCTCGATGCTAGGTTTTGAGACATAGCGGAAAAATAAATACTTTGTTTAGATCAGATATTGGCAAACTACCATCCTCGGGCCAAAGCTAGTCTGCCACCTGTTTCTGAATGGCCTGCATAAGACGTTTTGTTTTTTTAATGTTCAAAATAATTAAATGGGTACTATTTCTTGACACACGGAAATGACATGAAATTCGTATTTCCATATTCACATACATAGCTTTACTGAAATACAGCCAATCATTTCTTTCTGTATTGTCTGTGTGTCCTTTCATACTACAATGACAGAACTGAGCCAGAGGAAAGAAGACACAGCCTGCAGAGCCCAAAATACATATTGACTGGCTTTTCATAGAGATTTTGCTCACCCATGATTTACATCTCCTCCTTCCAGAAACAATTTAAGGCCATTTCAAGGAAGGTATGTAAGATGACAAAAGAAAACACAAGCAGATTAGAGAGCAACAGACAGAAATGGAAATGGAGCCAGGCAGGAAACAAAAATGAAGTATCAGCAATGCCACTGGCCAAAACTTCCTCCAACTTCCTAGAGGCCAATGCAAAAACAAAGACCTGATGAGTTTCACAACTTAGTGTTGATAATGCACAAACAGGCAAAACTAAGTCCCAGAAATACACACCTATAGCCAGGAATTCATCTCAAGGGTTTGTATATAGATCATACACTATAATGAAATACATAAAATCCACCAAAATATCCTTACAATATAGGCAAAAATGAATTTCACTGGGGACTGAAATGAAAAAAGACATTGTACTTGTCCTAAAAAAATTTAGAATCTACAAAGATGAGCTTAAGATTATGTGCATGTATATAAATATGTATTTGTTTTAATACAGCCACACTGACCTGATGCATGTATAAGTTTAGGGCATTGTAGTAATCCATTCGATTCCCCTTAAATTTCAGTTGGTCATAAAGGACATAGTTCATGGCATCCAGCACCTGGCTCTGGAGTTCTATTTCCATTATCATGGAGGATTCACCTGAAACACAGAGATCTACTCTGAGGACACAAGCACAAATAAGGCTGTGATGAGTAGCATAAACAACCCATAACGCAGAGACATTGGCACCATCCCATCAATACCTCTCAGGTACTGCCAATCCAGGGTGGAGAGGAAAGTACAAATTTCAAGTCTTTTACATTATCCCAGCAAACATGTTATGTCATTAATTGTGTGTGTGTGTGAGTGTGTGTGTGTATCATATTGGGAACACACTGCAGAATTTCTCAAATTAACTAATTCCTCTAGGTTTTCTTTTACAAATATAGTTGAATTCAGAGCATTTCCACACCTGCCTTGAAGGCCAAGCTGGGGTGGCGACTGTTTATGCCCCGGAGGGTTTTGCAAACCAGCTCCACGATGCTGTCAATCTGGGCCTGGATGTCCTTGAGGCTGATGTCAGAGAGAGGATTGCAGTATTGGTCAATATATACCGCACCTGAAAATGAATGTAAAATTACTTAATAAATTCTTACTTTTACCCTTATGGCTGTCCTTCACAGAAATGTGGGGACATAGTGCTTTATTTCATTCCTCCAGATTAGCTTCCTATCTTGCATGTCAGGCCTTCCTGTTACTAGACTGAGAAGGTGCAACACATAATTTTACAACAAAGGAGCTTACATCTCACTATTTTTATTATTATTTCTAATATAACCTCTCTGAAAGGTGGCAGACTCAGAAAACTGTGACACAGGCATATTCCTAAATTCCATTAAAAAGAGAAATAAATGCTATAAAGGAGATCTTTTCATGATAGCTCTTCCCCTAATTCTCATGTAACTCAAAATCTAACAACTCCAAAACTTAGTAGCGTAAGATGTTCCTTTACTAAAAAAAAAAAAAAAAAAGAAAAAAAAAAGCTGAATGCCCTCAAGCACAGATATGCCATTTCAAGAAAGTACACTTTTCAAAGGTGAACCAGTAAATGGAGATACGTTTTTAAGTGGAGATAACCACCTTTGGAGGTAATTATACTTCCAAATCAGAGAAATGGTTATACTCGTCAGGGAACCTGCAACTAAAAAGCTTTACAAAGCACACTGGAGACAGTGTCTCTTGAAAATCACTGCTCTTCATTGCTTTAGGTGATTGGTTAACCAGAGACCAAAAGTCTCTGGGTCATGTAGTCATAGGACATTTTGACTCGGGAAGTTGCAGGCTTTTTAAATTCAGGAGGTCTCAAACCAGCTCAGGCACTTGATCCACACCACAAGAACTGACAGCAGCAAAAAGGGTATTAAGAGACCTGGATCCCAGTCCTAGTTTTGCCAGCCAGGGACTGGCTCCTGGGTTCCTTTGGCCTGAGTTTCCCACCTGTAGGCTGAAGGAATTTATGCTGCAGTTCTCTAAAGTTCATTTCATCTTCCTTTATCTCATCAATGACAAGAGGAACTATTTCAAGGACGATAAGTATGAAGCTATGATTTGATCCACAGATTTCTGAGCACTGTCCATAATTAATCTAGATTAATCTAGTCATCGCGAAATAGCAAAACCCTGGAACCAAGTTCCATTCACTCAACAATTTAAAAAAAATTCAATAGTTTCCAATGCCTACAATATTTAGAGGGGTGAGGTGAAAAAATAGGACTACTTTATATTTGGAAGAGAAAACAGGAGTATTATTTTTCATAAATCGGCTACAGAAAATAAAGCTTATCAAAGCATTCTTTTTAAAAAAAGATTTATTTATTTATACAAGAACTGGGGTATAGGTCAGAGGTGTGGGAGGGTGAGAGAATTCACCAGAGACAAAGCAGGGAGCAGAGCAGGCAGATGGACCAAAGACAGTGCTGAGGGGCGCAGCGGGCGAGACAGGAGAGGTCTGCTGCGCCATGTGGGTTTCTCTCTGGCCGACCCAGAATCGAACCTGCACTGCGGAGGCTGTGGAAAGCGTCACAGCGCGGTGCTCAACCCGCTGCGCCACTGGGGAGGCCCTTATCAAAGTATTCTTAACAAAAGATAGGATGACTTTTAACTCCAGTAAGCATATGAGAAAATTCCAGGATGGTGAGGGTATTTTACATTAGTGAACTGTTTTTTTTTTTTTAAAGATTGTATTTATTTATTTATACAAGCACTGGGTACGGTCAAACACGTGGGAGGGTGAGAGAATTCACCAGAGCCAGAGCAGAACAGAACAGGCAGAATGACGGAAATGCACTGCTGAGGGGAGCAGTGGGAGCGACAGGAGAGGTCTGTGGCCCATGTAGGACCCTCTCCCGGCGACAGGGGATCGAACCAGTAGTGCAGAGGCTGCGGGCAGCTTCGCAGCCCAGCGCTCAACCACTACACCACCAGGGGAGGCCCTTAGCGAACTGTTTTTAAAACAGATTTTTCATTTCCTTTTGGATGATATATGACTTTCATACAATCGACAAGAATCTGCAGTAGGCACTGTGAGGTATACAGAGATGGTAACAGGAGGCGAGAACTTAGTGACTAGTTGAGAAACACGTGGTCCACACAGGACAGAACGATGCAACACGAGTACACTATACCGTTGCTGCGGCCGTCAAAGCCTGCAGGTGTTGCAATCGTCTGAGAAACTTAATGGAAGTGACACTTGAACTGAACTCTGAAGGCTAAGTAGGATTGAGAGAATTCTGAGGAAAAAAGATACTAAGAACGAGGGCAGGTGTTATCTGAAGGGTTATCTGAAGGGTTCCAGTGAGAATAATGGCCTGGCTGGAGAAAACTGGACATTTTGGAGAGTAACATGGAAAGGGCGGAGTTGGCAGGGTAAGACGGGATTGTGGAGGCACTGAAAAGTAGGCAGAGATGTAACTGAAAATGGAAACCAGCTGGCCACAGTGCAGCTGGTAGTGAAAAGGCTGGCACTGGTACATTGGTTAACTTGAGAGTAAGTGGGGTGATGCTGACCACAGCAAGTATTACGTCGAAGGCTGCTGCTGGGAGAGGTGGTAACAGAATGGAGGCATGACTATGAGAAACAATGGGAGGAAATCAATAAATTGGGTAAATCACTGGGAGCAGTGACTGAAAATGACGGACAGTCCTATCTGTATGTCATAACTATAATTTATGGGGTTTGTGTAATATGCTGGGAATTTAAAATCGTTTTTAAAAAAAGTTACATTTTGTTCCTGTTCAACTTAATAAAAACAAGAAGCTGTCCCCTTCATCTTGCCTGTCCACTCCACCTCCCCCTCCTCACATCTCATTATGGATGAGCCAGACTCGCTGCTGCGCAGGAACACTTTGTCCTCATTGAACTACAGCAAGGTCAAGGGATGTGCTCAATGTCGCATGGACACAAAACTGGAAAAATGGATTTCTGATTTGGAAATGACTCTTCAAAGCTTGTAATAAACAGAAAATTAACCTTATTAGCTGAAATATCATCCTTCGAAGGGATGGTACATCTTTAGAAAACATGGCCGTTTCTGCTAACTGCTAAAGATTTTGACAAAATCTTTAGTTCTAAATTCAACGGTTTTACTACTAATTGATCAGACCATATAATCCAACCTCCGGGAGCCCAGGCAGCATTGTTTACTTTTCCATCAGGCAGTTTCCATCACTGTCATTAAGCCACCTGAGTTCCCTATCGAAATACTGTTGTTCAAGTCTCACCTTCAAGATATGATTCATAGTCATCAGGCTGCTGAAGAAAAGCTTTAAGATTATTTAAAATTTTCTGTTGTCGCAGATAGTAAAGAATTTTTTTTGCATAGTATTTCCAGGTCAAAGCTTTTCTGGAAAAAACAAAAAACAGTAAGTTAGTAAGAATTAAGACACTAGAACTTTCAATTATCTATTTTTTACCTCACACTAATCATACCATGTAAAGAGTCTACTTAACAAGAAAAATATAGTAGGTTCATAACCATAAACTCCTCATTTCCATGGAAGCAAATCACACAATTCAGGACTTCACATTTGTCACAGAAGACTAAATTAGTTAAGCTGAAATTGAAGAAACAGTTCTGGCTGGCTTGACAATTACTACAAGGAAATAAAAGAGAAACACGAAAAGGTAGAGAAGCTGGGTCTCAGGAGACAGGAGTGAGGCCTTTGGCATCCTTTGCTGACCCCCTGGCAGCTGCCACAGGGAACTCAGGCCCTGGGTTGCTACTTTTCATTCTACTTTCACTGCCATGGGGATCTCCCCAGGTCTGACAACCCCCAATTTATTTTTCAGAACAAACTCCCCACCCCGAACTCCAGACCTACGTATTCAACTGCAATTTCTCATGCCACTTTGAAAGCAGCTCTTCCTAGAGTCCACCCCACCTGAGATAAAGGCAACTCCACCATGCCAATTAGGCCAAAAACCTCGGATTCAGTCATCCTCAATTCCTTGCTTTTTTCATAAGCCACATTCAATCCATCTGCAAATGCTATAAATTCTATCTTTACAATGTATCAGAAATGTGAACACTTCTCACTAGATCATCCACACTACCATCATCTTCTAACAGAGACATCCTCCTGAGCTTCCACCTTCAAATCCTGCCATGCTCATCCAGCAGCTGATAACTTGTTAACATGCGGTCAAAGCACAAGTCCTCTGTCCCAAATGTTCCAGTGGTTTTCCACCTTACTCAAAGTAAACGCCCAAGTTCAAATGAAGACCTAAGACTCTCGCCCACTGCAGTAATCAGCCAAACGACTTCCCCGCTGTGCCTTCATCATGACACACTGGTGCTCACGTAGGCATTTGGCGCTCCCAGTTTTTCCATACGGGAACATTCCTTCCCTACAGATCTGTAATCTGTGCCCTCACCTCCTTTCAGGTTTTTGAGTCAAATGTCCCTTTGAGTACATTCTCCCATACCACCTATTTAAAACTCCTCCTCCTCCACCCCACCATTCCACCACTGCCTCACCCTCTTAACTGATTAGTATTTTTCTATAGCAGTTCTCACGCTGTAATATACATCTCTTACTTTGTTTAGCACCTCACCCCACTAAAATAAGCTCCATAAAGACAGGGTTTTTGTGTTGTTCACAAAGGTCAACCTGGTTGTCTTGGTGTGTATACCCAGTGCCCAGAAGTGTATGGCATACAGCAGATGCTCAATAAATACTGCTCTGTGAATAAAATTTGTCACCAGATCTCCCAAATATGCACAGGTGTCAGGGGAATTAGGAAGACTACATGACTTCACTAAAAAACACAAGACCCGGGCCTTCCTTGGTGGTGCAGCAGTTGAGCGCTGGGCTGCGAGGCTGCCCGCAGCCTCTGCAGCGCCGGTTCGTTCCTGGGCTGCCGGCGAGGGTCCCACAAAAAACAAAAAACAAAAAACCACAAGACCCCACAATCTTCAGGTAGTAAGTGAAAATCAGCAGAGTTGGGCCTACTTTATCAACTTTTTAACCTCTGAGTTGTAAAATACATCAATCTAGATACTCACATGAAACAAAGTAGTTTAAGCTTGATGAATCTTTAAAAGCAAACCCCTTGTAAGTATACCACTCAGGTTATGAAACAGAACTTTGTAGACTCCCCAGCGTGAGGTCCCTCCACTCCCCTCTCAATAATACCCCAATCCATATCTCTATGACCTTTACCACCTTGCTTTTTTCTGTATTTTTTGCCACCTAAACATTCTCCATTAGTCTTCAGGTTTATTAACCTGTAGGATACCCTTCCATCTTATTTTCCCTCTTGTATTTTATTTGTTAAAGAAACCTGGTTGTTTGGTCTAGTTTCCCATAGTCTGGAATGTGCAGATTATTTCCGTATAGTATAGCTTAACATGTTCTTCTGTCTTCCAAATGTCCAGTAAATTGGATGTAAAGGCTTAATCAGACTCAGACACCATTAATTTGGCAAGACTATGTCATAAGTGGTAGTGAGTTTTTCCATCAGGAGATCAAATCGGTTTCATTTATAATATCAGAAGCCATTAACTCAATGCCCATGTCCATTAATTCCTTAGAGTTTACAGAGTGGTGATATTTTAATTCAACCAGCCCTTCTTCATTTACTAGCTGGACTATGTCTATAAAGAGTATTTCTCCTTATCTACTATTTGGTTTCCCAATGGCATAGTATATAAGGCAAAATAAGTGGTTATTTCTTTCATTTTTTAATTTTTCAAAATAATCTGGGTCCTTACTATCCTCCAAGATGAACAATAAACTGTTAAGTAGTATTATGACTTCATTTACACATATTTGATATACTTCATTCTAGTTGTTATCCACACTGATGTTCCAATTTTGGCCAATGGAAGCCTCTTCACATCACCTGAATACTTCTGGAAATATTGCTACTTTTCATGCTGTCTGGTTCTAGACTTTCAAGATGCTCCAGGCTCACCCTTTACATTTCCTGCACAGGACCTAGAATCAGCCACTGCTCCAGAAACTCTGGTTTCTTTTGAGGGGAAATGGTACATCAAGATCACATTCTGGATACTAGAGGTGATCATTTCTACTAGGTTGGTTGTTTCTAGACCTTTTCAGTGAAGAGAGAGAATTTAGTTCATATATGTGTGCACACACACCCGTACATATAATTAAATATAGTTCCTGAGTTCGTACTGACATATCTAATTCAAATTTAGAACTACAGAGCTTTTACCTCTTATATTTTCATCTTTTTTGTTCCAGGAGAATTGTACTTCTCCAGTTATGTAATTACTCATTTGCTTTATTTCATATCTCTCATACACACACACCAGTATCAAAGTAACAAGACCAATATTGTCATTAGCTTGATGATTACTGAAAACAGCTAGCAATTTGCTTAAGTTCTTCCCCATTCTCTGCTCACTTTTTAAAACAGTTGTACTTTACTTACATGGTCAGGGCTTACTGCCATTATATAGAACACTTTCTATTCTACTGTCATTTGGATTCAATCCTGCAAATAAGTACATATTTAATGTTCACCACTAATTCTTATGTCAGTGCCTCTAGTTGTTTTGGTTGTTTGAAGCTCATTTTCTAGCATATTTCTCAGTAAAGGCTGAGAAGTCAGAGTTCTTTCAAGTTAATGAATTTATATGCAGCCTTTATACTTGGAAGTCAGTCTAGCTGGATACAAAAATCCTTGGTTGACATTTCTGATCCTTTTGAGTTTCTTAAATATATTACTTTTTCCACTAGCATGGCATATTGCTGTTAAAAAGTCTGATGATATTCTGATATTCTTTCCCTTATAACTAACTGACTTCATCTTTTTTTTTTTTTTTTTTTTTTGATGCCCAAAGGACTTTTCTGGCTTTGAAATTCAGCTGTTTTAGTGAAATACATTTTGGTGTTGGTCATTCCAGGTCAATTTTCTTTTTTAATCCCTTATTTCAACTTCTTATTTCTTTGTTAAAATTTTATATTTTTTACCAAGGTACCACTGATTTATAACACTGTAAATGATCTAGGGATATACAGGTTCACATCACTTAAGCTGTATGTTTTGGTCAATTTTCTTAAGTATGGTATATACCCTTTTAATATATCACTTCAAATCTGTGTTCAAGGATGTACCCTTTTGAAAGACCACACAGAACACCATAAAGGCAAACTGTTTTCACATATTGAGAGACTGATATTTTAGCATTTATGGAAACTACCTTTCTTCTGATGCTTTCCACATCCAAAAACAAGCATTTGTCAGAAATTAATACAAACAGGGTTGTTCATGAAAATGGGCACCCCAAAATGTTTACAAAAGTAAGAACATTCCTTTTTACTTAAAAACAACCCTGTTTTAGGCTCAAAATATATGTTTCAAGTCAAGGGAAAATATACTTATGAATTTCTAAAACAGCAGCAAACTTTTATTGGCTGTGCTTATTCAGTCTTTTCTGCCTGATAAACGGGAAACAAAAACTCAGTATTTCACTGTTATTTAACATGGCATTGAACAGTGTTCAAGGTATATTTACATGATTGTCAGTCACTTGGTGTTGTTTTATTATTATTCTCCTATCCTTTCCACACGTTACAATTCCTTCTCAGAAATTTAAGAATTCTTTTGACTCTTGTTTCTGGTTTCTTCCGTCATACAGAATACCACTTTTCATTGCAAATGAAATGCAAAATGCAAAAGCATTTTGTCCATATTCTTTTATGCTTCTGCATTATCAACCTTGGATCATAAAGACCTCCTAGATTGTACATGAAGTCTCCTGTTTCCTTGAGGGGTTTTCACTGTGATATTTTTGGACTTTTGGAACTTAATTTTTGTATATAGTGAAAGTTTTTATTTCAGATGGATATTTAGTTATATCCAGTATCATTCATTAAATTATTCATTTCCCCCCTCCCAAGTTTAAATATATTATTTTCTGTGGCTGGGAAATGTTTCTGAATTATCATTTGCTTCTGATGTTTTTATCTACTTTTATTTAAAAATACTGTATTGTGTTTATTATCAGTAGCTTTATAATGCTCTTTTGTCCAATGATGCAAATTTCCCATTACAATTACTTTAAAATGGTTTTCTTTTGGCTCTTCCTGTGAATTTATTCTTCTACATATATTTTATAGCAGTATCACCCAATTAAAACATACACAACTCTTCTCTCCTGAAACTCTTTGTACCCTGACTAGAGTAGCACTACTTTTATTCATTAATTGTAGACAAACTGGGCCTCCCTGGTGGTGCAGCGTTTGAGCACTGGGTTGTGAAGCTGCCCGCAGCCTCTGCAGCGCCGGTTCGATCTCAGGCCACCGGGCGAGGGTCCCACATGGCGCGCAGACCTCTCCTGCCTCCCGCTGCTCCCCTCCGCAGTGTATTTCATCACTCTGCCTGCTCTGCTCTCCGCTCTGGCTCTGGCGAATTCTCTCACCCTCCCACGCTTCTGACTGTACCCAGTGCTTGTATAAATAAATAAATAAATCTTTAAAAAAAAAAAAAATTTTAGACAAACTGATTATTTTTATGACTATAAGTCTTTCAATTCATGGTCATGTTATCTCTTATTTACATGTTTTTGGGTAACATTCTATCTGACCTAGGAAACCCATTCCTTGGAAGCTATAACTTAGAAATAAAACCACTAGAAAAATTACCCTCTCAACAATGAACAGCTGAAACTTACTTTATAATGTGAAATTTATAAATTTAATTATAATTTAATTATAAATTTAATAAGTAATTATAAATTTAATTATAAATTTAATAAAAAAAAGAAACATTACCCTTCACAGTAACAGAGTGGAGAAAAAACTGGTTACCCACCAGTGGTGGATGGATAAATAAATATGCAACCACTGACAACAACAAATCTGACTTTTTGTGATTGATTAAGACAGAGCTCCGTAAGGTAACGTTGACCATGGTTGAGTGTGGGAAAAAGATACAGAAAAGTACCTATTTATGTTCAAAGTTTTGTGAAATAATGATCTTCCTCCATCACCATACACTATCATTGCATATTATTATGGAAGAATATCTATCACTAATTACAGGGGTGGGGGTAGGGAAGAAGAAACAGTGTAAACAAAACATCTGCAAAAAACAAACCAAAGCCAATAAACTCAGTATACGTGACATTACATTTAAAGTTAAAAGTATATACCTATATATGTAAATGACAGGTCAGCTGTTATTTTTAAGACTGCACAATACTGACTCTTAGATCATACTTCAATTCATTTATAGATAAACCAAAATAGAAACGGAAAAATGACCTCTGCATCTGAACTCATCCAAGGCTTAGAATAGAGAAACATTTTACCTCTTCCCTACAGTTGTTCCACTGATAGATATTTCCCTCTCCTAACCCCCTTAAAACAAGAATATCTTACAACTTGTTTGTGAGGTATTTCATAACAATCTCTCTTTGAAAAGTTCATCTAGCATTCTTATCTAACATCACTAGTACACATATGTAGAACTTTTAGAAAATCTTTCTCAGGGGGCCACTCTGGTGGCGCAAGGGGTTAAGTGTCAGCACTATGAAGCAATCGGCAGCTACTACTGCAGCAAGAGTTCCATCCCCGGCCAGGGAGCTGACCCACATGGCGCAGCAGACCTCTCCTGTCTTGCCCGCTGCTCCCCTCAGTTCTGCTCCCCACTCTGTCTCTGGTGAATCCTCTCACCACCTCCCCTCCACCCCCCAGCTCCCGCACCTCTGGCCTGCACCCCGGCCCTTATATGCATAAATAAACAAGTCTTTACAAAAAATTATAGCAATTAATTCTGGGGGATATTATTAAAACTAACAAATGGAAAACAATCCCAGCTAAAACTATGACTTACCTTCCTTCCATATTTAGGATACACACCAGTTCATCCTCAAAAAATATCTCTGGTCCCTCAAGATTCTCAATGTCACTAAAACCATTACAAGGGACCTATGAAGAAGACACACAGAAATGGGCTTCAGTAACACGTTAAGAATGCCACTGTCATTCTCATACACAAATCCAAGTTGCAAGGATGCTCATTTCCACAGAGGTGGTGATCAGTGTACAGAAGAATCCTGACCACCCACCATGGATGGAAAGCAACATGCAAAGTAACAATAATCTGTTTAAATCTTGTTGTTAGTTGTAAATGAATTGTATTTTCACAGACTGAAATTTCTGAAACTGGTAATTCAAAGTCCTTCTCTTATGTGCAGAAAAATAACTCAAATAAGAACTAGAAAGGCAAGATTTCCTAATTCACAGTAATTTCCTAATTTCACTCAGTCTACACGGTACTCAACTAGGAGGGGAGGATCAGAGAGATCTGTCTAGCGCTTTGGGCATCTCACTAAAGGGACTGGGCATGTTTTCTCCTCTGTTGACCGAGGTTATGGTACCAGTGAGACTTTAGATTCCCTCAGTTTTGAAATAATAAACAGAAAATTTCACATCAACCAGTGTGAATGCTGAGACACAGGAATATAAGGGTCCCAAGCCAAAGTAATCACCCACCCACAGATGAATCTTAAGTATACTCCTGCTATGTTCAGGTCCTTGACATTCTTCTAATTAACCAGTAGTACAGGGAAAGAGGGAGGCCAGCTAAGGAAAAAACACACCAATTCATCATTATTTGACAAAGGCACAGGCTGTTGATAATATATACAAAACCAGCTGGACTAGGAGAGGTTGCAAACTAGTAGCCCTGACCTTAGTGTATCAAACATAGCTGGCACCAAAATCTGAACATTTAAAATGGCATTGAAAATTTGTGATTACGGATGGTTTTCGATAGGGTATGACTTATGCAGAACAGAACATAAATTTTGTCCATTCTTATGTCAGCATTTATTTCTAAAAATGAATTACATTAGGGAGTATCTACTTCCATTCTCTACCAGGGAAAGGTTCAACCTGTCCAAAGTTCAACTCTCCCCTTTCAAAACTTGAAAAGCCTTTGCAAACATTTTAAATGTATGAACTCCATTAACTAACAGTAATTGAAATTAGAAAACTAGAATTAATCTTCACTACCAACCAGGAGAGTAAAAGTAATCAGATTGGTTCTATGGCTACACTTAGCACCCCCGCCCCCCCATCAGAAATAAGTTTAAGATGAAAGTAGACTACTTTCCAGAGTTACAAAAAGTTAAGACTCAGGACCTGATACAGAAACTTCTCTCTAACGCTTTTTGGAATGAGAAACAAACAACCAACCATGCATCTCAGCAACTTAAAACTGTTGGGGGGATAATAATGAATGCAAGACAATTTAGTTGAGGGAGCAATACTTCTGATTTACGGGTAGCTTTCACTCCTCTGTTACCTTAACAAATAATGCAGTTCACTACTGGTTGGAACCTGCAAAGCCAGAGAGAACCATATTAATTCCGTCAACCCTTCTGGGAAAACAACGGGGGGGGCGAAATTTGTGGTGTTCAATCATTGATGACCTCACAAATCACATGGAGCTTGCCAAAAAAAAAAAAAATCAGGTTTAACCCACTTGAAGGGAAATAATGCTGATCTGGATGCCCTCTACATTGTGCTGTGGGGCCCTCGCTCCCCCTCCCCCACTCTCTCTGGCTTTAGAAAAGTAAAGCTGGCGGGGACAAATGGCTTCATGTAGCTGGATGGGAGGAAAAGGACACAATGAGTCCTGCAGCCATCTGAGTGAGGAAGGGATTGTGAGAGCACTGAAGAGGGAGACAGCAAAGAGAGCCGGATGAGCTAATGCCTATGGACACAGACACCCAATCCAGGCACAGGCGCAGAGCGCCATGAGCAGATCCTTACGTGCTCTGAAAAGAACCTCTTGGAGAAGGAGGCTACAATCTTCCGGGCTTCTAAGCCAGCTTTCTGCCGAACTTTATACTCCTCCAGCCAATTGACGTAGTCGGTGGGGCTGTAGTGTTTCATAAGGGAGGGCCACCTAGAAGGAGAGAAACACCCCCTCTGCACAACAGACTCGAAGGCAGGACAGACACGAACCAAAGGCCGCCCTGGACAGCAGGACAAGCAGTGGGGCCCAGCGGTCGGCGGGGGCCTGGGGAGGGACCCCGTGCACACCTGCCCCCGGCACGCAGGCGCTGGCTGGCGGAGTGACCTTGGCATTGCCAAGCGCCTGCACGCCACCTCCCATCTCTAAAATGGGGGCAGCTGCGGCAACAATACCACCCGGGATGACAATGGCAGGTCGCGCTGGCCGGCCGCGGGCTCCAACGGGCCGGCCGTGCAAGAAGCCTCCCTTCCCCTCCACCTCCGGTCTCGGTCACCAGCCACCGTAAAAAGGTCGGTCGACCTGGCATCCCTCAAAGTCGGTCCGCGCAGCTCCCCACACCGAAGTCGGTCCCCCCAAGGTCACGCGGCGGGGGCGCCGGGGCCAGATTTCCGCCGGGTCCCTCTCGGGGCGGGCGCCCCCGGGGATGGGGATGCTGCGCCGCGGCGTCGCGGGCGGTTCGGGTCCCGCATCCCCGGGTCGGCGTAAACAGGCTGGCCCCGGGGCGGGCACAAAGAGGCGCGCGGAGCCGCGATCCCGGCGCCGCCATCCTCTCCGGAGGCCCGGCCGCCGGGCGCCTCCCGAGGCGCAACCCGGGCGCGGGGTCCGCGCGGCGGGGACCCTCGGGCCGGGCCGGGCGGCCTTTGTCTGCGGCCCGCGGGAGGGCTCGGGCGGGCGCCGGGGGTGGGTCCGCCCGTCCGTCCGCGCGCCGGGCCCGGGCAGGGCGGGCGGGAGGCGGCGGCGCGGGGGGCTCCCGGCGCGGGGCGCGGGGCGCGGCGGCCGCCGCGGGGGGCTCACCTCACCCGGAACTGCTCCTTCCACACCTTCCCGCTGCTCTGGCACAGCTCGCGCAGCCGCCGGCAGGTGCTGGACACGCGGCCCACGTCGGCGGCCGTCAGCGAGCCGCTGCACAGGATGTACTCCAGCACCTCGCCCGGCAGGTTGACGAGGCAGCTGAGGCCCGCCGCGTCGGGCGCGGCCTCCTCCGCCAGCGCCGGCACCACCTCCATCGCGCTGTCGACCGCTGCCGCCGCCATCTTGTCCGCGTACCTGAGACGGCCGCGCGCCCGCGCTCGCCTAGACGTCCAGCCGCCCCGCCCCCCGCCCCCGGGGCGGCGCCGCGACGCCCCGCCCCCCGCCCTGGCCACTGGCCTCGCCGGGGTCCGCGCCTGGGGGGGGTGGGGGGGCGGCTGCCCCGCGGTGGGCGGGAAGTGCCTCCAGAAAGTGGCTGCGCGGTGGGCCCGGAGCTGAAGGGACAATAGCGGCGGCAGCTTCCATCTTTCCTGTGTGTGGGGAGCGCGCCCCGTGCCTGCGCTCGTGGGACCTCCTCGAGGACCTGGGGGGCTATTCATGCTCCCAAGTGACAGGGGGGAAACGGGGTCAGGGAGAGAGGCGGACAGGGTTAGGGTTCTTTGTCCTGGACTCCAGCGGCCATCGGTTTGCCTTCTGCTTGACCACGCTCTGAGCCGGGGTGCTGGGAGAACAAACTTACTGTGCCCGAGCCGGGGCTGGGCCCAGCCCTCGCATAGTTTTTTAAAACCAGGGACTGGCCTTGAAAAGTCCCTGGACACAGCCAGTTTAGTCTCACCCAGCTTCAGCTAGTGTATGTTGCAAGACTAACCTGACCTGCATAAGCCTCTGGAAATAAGCAAAAACAACTCTCCCAGGGTGGCCAGGAGGTACCCACAGATCAATTCCCTATCATTTAAGAACAGGCTAATATTATAATCGATCACCTTGGAGCAAAGTAATTGCTCCCTCAGAAAAACTTACACAAGTTCTTTGTAACAACCTACGCTCCCGTGTTCCATGTTCAGCTCCGCGTCCATTCCATGTCCGGGTTGTAGCCTCTTGGCTCACTGTCTTTTTGTTGGGAGCACTATAAGCTTTTACTAGCCACCACTTCGAACTTTTCATACGATTTTCCCTTACTTGAGCCCTTGAGGTGAGGTACCCTATTATACCCCTTTCACCAATAAGGACAAGGCAGCTAATGGTGGGAGTTCCTGGTTCAGACTCACAGACACAAAAAGTGGGAGCACCAGGATTTGAGCCTGAAAGCAGACTCAGGTAGGTGGGCACTTTTTTCATTGTCTACACCTAATTTTTTTAAAAACACAGTTCAGTTCCAGGTCCTGCACTGGATGCCTTCAGGATAGGGACGTGAGTAGGATGGTATCCTTGGCCTCCAGGAGCTCAAAGTCCAATTAGGGCCATACACTGGTATAGCAGAAGCTATTGTTATACTGGGAGGCTCCATAAAGTGTTTCCCCAACTTAGAAATCAGAATACCCTGAGCTAGTCAAGTTAATCTCACGGATGGTATAAAACTATCCATGGCTCCCTATTACCCCCAGAAATAAATCTGAAATTCTAACATTGTTGCAAAGGGACAGACCCCTGCCTACCTCTCCTGCCAGTCTGAACCCATCCTCCCCCTCACTGGCCACACCTCAGCATGTCTAGGTTCTTCCCTCCCACTTCTGACCCCCACGATTATACCAGCCTTGCTGCCGGAGAGTGGTCCCTGCCAACTCCCTCCTCTGGCGTCTCCTCTTCTCCAGGCCTCAGCGTACGCTCTCCAGATGCCTCTCTTCCCTCACTCAAGCCCCAGATAAGCCCCCTTCTCAGCATTTTGCAATCTTGAAATTACTTAATTTATACCCATTTGTTCAACCTGTGTCTCTCCTATTAGATCAGAAGTGGCTTCAGGATGAGGACGGTGTTTGATTTACCCCTGCATGCTCAGTACTAGCTCCAGCCAGACCCCAGTCCAGGATTTGCAAAAATTATCCATTGTTGATTGCAACTGTCTAACCAGCTGTTTAACTAGAATAAGTTACCTTGCTTTTCTGGGGCCCACTTTCTCATTCATTAAAGGGGAGAGTGGCATTATAATTATGCCAGCTTCCTACCTAGGGCTGTTGGGAGAATTAAATGAGCGTATTTAGGCAAGGTGCATGGAACAACGCCTGACATAGAGAAAGTGCTTTGTGAAGGTGTGTCCCAGGGGACTGAGAGGAATTGCTTACTGGGTTTTACTTTGGAATGACGGAAACGGTTTGCAACTAGGTAGAGGTGCTGTTGCACAACATCTGGGAATGTTCTAGATGCCACTGAATCATTCGCTTTAAAAGGTTTAATTTTATGTTAGGTAACTTTCACCTCAATAAATTCTTTTCAAAGTGTGTGTCTGCTTGCATTAGTCCACTCAGGCTGCCGGAACAAAGTACCACAGGCTGGGGGGCTTGAATAATAGAAACACCCTTTTTCACAGTCTGGAGGCCTAAGGGCCACGGTCGATGGCCTGCATAAGCCATAAGAGGGTGGGTTTCCTGCTTGTCGCTGGCTGTCGTCTCTCTGTGTCCTCCCTGGTCATCTCCTCCTATCATAAGGACACCATTTTACCTAACGACCTCATTTTACCCTAATCAGCTCATTAAAGACCCTGTCTCCAAATACCCTCACACTTGAGGTACTGAGGGTAAGAACTTCAACATCTGAATTTGGGGGCCCACTATCGCCACCGCTGAGATTCATCATTAAAGCAGAAAGGTCTAGAGTAGCCCTGGTTCACGGCAGATCCGGGATAGGGTCATGCTTTGGGGCCTCTAACTTCAGTGGAAGTTTCCAGGCCTTGACTCACCTTTTACTAGCAGCGCTTGTTTGTCACTCCACTGCTTCTTGAAGTGCTGGTTGACATCAGCTTCTGTGCTCCCACACTCTCCTGGCCCAGGACTACTTCTGGGATGCTCCATCTCAGATTCACCCTCACGGTACTTGTTGGGTTGGGGGCTCAGCCACAAGCCCCCTTCTTTTACTTTCTCAGCCCTGTCTCCAAGCTGAGTGACAACCCAAACCTGGTTCACTGTCCATGTCTCTCTCAGGCCAGCCCATGCCTTAGAGATCACATTCCCTTAGCCCCTGTTCCCCTGACTCTGTGTGGGCCCCCCCACTCCTTTGTCCTGTCCCCATGATTGCTGCCGCAGGAAAGGACTGCCCATTCATCCTTCTGTTCCTGCAAAACCTGAACTTGTTATCATCCTTGTTACCTCTCTCCCTCACCATCCATATCCAAATGCTCAGTGGAGATCAACTCATGCCTCAGCGTCCTCATCTGTAAAATGGGGACAACAACAGATCTTCCTGTCGAAGGGAATAATACATATTGTTATACTGGAAAAGTATCATTGTTGCATAACAAATAACCCCAAAATTAGTGGCTACAACCAGCCTTGCTTTTGTGTTCTTAACTCTGTGGGCCAGGGCTAGGGGTAAAGTCTCAGCCAGCACCTCTGAACTGGAAGAAGGTGGCAGGCTCTGGAATCTGTGCTCTTGGAGTTACATACTTACCTCTATCACCACACAGGGCCTGCAAAAGGGTCTGGAGTTGATTTTCAGCCAACAGTGGGCTGAGAGATACCGTCCACATTCAAGACCCCTATGGGGGTTACATTTTCTGTGTCTGGTTTCTGGAGGGAGACTTTTTCTGGCACAGGAAAGCAATTCTCTTTCTGAAAGATCCCAACCTGTATTTCTCGGAATCTGTCTCCTTCTATCTCTCCTCAGCTGCTATCCCAGTCCAGGTCCCCGTGGTGACTCCTAATGGACACCGGCCCAGCCTCTGGCATCTCCACTGTCCCTGAGAGCATGAAACAAAGTTTCCAGCCCATTTAGCTAAAGGCAGACCCCAAAGCCGCCCCCACAGCTGCCTGTGATTTGCAAGCTGTTCTGATAAACCACTATTGCTTTTTTATCAAGGACAACACTCAGGCCCTCCTTCTTTCTTCTTGTCCTCACAAAGATGACCAAGATGCTGTGTGGGGGGGGGGGGGGGGGAAGGGATCACATAATCTGCCAATCCAGAAAATTCCCTCTATGACTTTGGAAAAGTCACTGTTAATTTCACTGAACAGGCATTAAGCCAGACTGTGAGGGGCAGCACAGGTAATGTGAACTCCTACCCTTTTCCTAAATAGCCGAGCACTGCTTTATACACAAGCTCTGGAGATTACTGGTAACTCGACCCCAGGTCAGAAGACCTGAGTCCTTACAGTCTTTCCTAGCCCACCCTAAACTCACCCTAGTGAATTGCCTTTATCTTGGGAATAACCAAACTTCCGCATCCTTATGAAGAACAGGTGGTTACAGTTTGGAACAAGGAGCCCCTATAGATTCCCCGGCCACATCAAGGCCAGGACACTGTCTTCCTTGGTATTTATACTTCAAAGAGACAGCTCCCAGGTCCTCGGGCAAAAAAACAGGCCTTTGCTATGTAGGTAACAGGCCAGAGGTTTCTTCAAATTTTAAAAAGATTTGCAAAATGGATTTCGGTTGCGCAATGGAACATTATTCAGACATAAAAGGGAATGAAGCGGCTACCTGAGTGACATTTGAGAGCACGAGAAGGTCAGGATGCAAAAGGACAAATGGCCTATGATCACCTCTCAGACATGGCTAGAAGAGGTCAGTTGGTAGAGACAGAATGTGGATTAGAAGCTCCCCGGGACTGGGGGGGCAGGAGGGAAAGTTAGGCCTTCAAGGATACCGTTTCTATTTAGGGTGAAGAAAAGATTTGGAAGGAGAGAATGGTTGCAGTTTCACTGCAACCTGGTGGCTATCGTTAATGCCACAAATTGTGTTCCTTAAAAATAGTTAAGTGGTACATTATCTGTTTGGTGTATTTTACCATGACTTTTAAGGATAGCACACACAAAACAGATTTACCTACATAGCAAAGAGACCAAAGCAACACACACACATACACACACACAATTCCTTAAGGAAATGCTCTAAGAAGGGAGCAGGAAACAGTCTCTTTCCCTTTTAGTAACAGGGAAAACTCTTATAAATTTACCCCACGGTAACTTGCTGAACTGCCCACCATATTCAACGGAGAGTCGGTTACCTCACCCCTCATTCCAGCTTACAAGCCCCTAATGTGAGCCCAAATCCTTGCCCAACCTCCTCCCAGTCCCTGCCTACTGCACCCCTAAATCCTCCAGAGGGCTCCCCCCACACTCTTGCAGCAGTGTTTCTCCATATATTAAGTGAGACCATCGGTGTTTGTCTTCCTCCTGATTTACTTCATTTAGCCTTATCCTTTCCAGTTCTACCCATGTTGATCCTTTTTTACAGCTGAGAGGGGGAGAGTTGTGGGTGGAGGTGGGGAGGTGCCAGAGTCCAAAGGAACATGCTGGAGCATGGTTGGGGCACTGGTGGTGGGCAGATAGGCAAGAAAGCACATTTAGCCAAAGAAGCAGATAAAAGATATAAACTGGGGGCCACCCTGGTGGTGCAGGGGTTAAAGTTCCCAGCAATAACAACCTATGGACAGCCACTGCAGCATGAGTTTGATCCCCAGCCAGAGAGCTGACCCACATGGCACAGCAGACCTCTCCTGTCTCGCCCGCTGCTCCCCTCAGCAGTGTATTTCGTCAGTCTGCCTGTTCTGTTCCCTGCTCTGTCTCTGGTGAATCCTCTCACCCCCCCGCACCTCTGGCCTACACCCCAGTTCTTGTATGCTTAAATAAATAAACATAAATCTCTTTTTAAAAAATGTAAACTGACTTTACCTCAGTTAACATAATTTATAGGAGAAAAAACAAAAGCAAAAGGTAACTACGTAGGGCCTCCCAGGTGGCGCAGCGGTTGAGCGCTGGGTTGCGAAGCTGCCCTCAGCCTCTGTAGTGCCGGTTCGATCCCCGGCTGCTCCCCGGCCACCAAAGGAGGGTCCCACATGGCGCGCAGACCTCTCCTGCCGCCCGCTGCTGCCCTCAGCAGTGTACCTCGGTCCTTCTGCCTGCTCTGCTCCCCGCTCTGGCTCTGGTGGATTCTCTCACCCTCCCGCGCTTCTGACTGTACCCAGTGCTTGTATAAATAAATAAAAAATAAATCTTAAAAAAAAAAAAAGGTAACTATGTAATGCGATGGGTATGTTGATGGTAGTGGTCATAGCATATCCTATTTTTGATATGTAGACATATCAAAAATTAAACCATGCACATTAAATAGATACCATTCCTGCTTGTCAATCATAGCTCAATAAAGCTGAAAAAAAAAGCGGGGGTGGGGGGGTGAACCCTATCTGTGTGGAGGAGAGGTGTCTTTCTGCTATCTTTGCAGAGAATGTCAACATTCCTTTCCCAGGAGAGCTGCACAGACTCCCTCAGGTCCTCAATGGAGTTCCTTGTGCTCAAATAAATATCCACATCCTTTCTCTCCAGGCCCGGCTCCCTCCCCCCTGGGGGGGTTGCCCTGCTTCGCTGCTCCACCTTCTCCTTTAGATTTTCTTTTCTTTTTTTCAAACATTTATTTTTATTTATTAATTTATTTATTTATACAAGCACTGGGTACAGTGAGAAGCGTGGGAGGGTGAGAGAATTCACCAGAGCCAGAGCGGGGAGCAGAGCAGGCAGAAGGACCGAGGTACACTGCTGAGGGGAGCAGCGGGCGGCAGGAGAGGTCTGTGTGCCATGTGGGACGTGGCCCGGGAGCAGCCGGGGATCGAACCGGCACTGCAGAGGCTGCGGGCAGCTTCGCAACCCAGCGCTCAACCGCTGCGCCACCGGGGAGGCCCTCTCCTTTAGATTTTCAATTGCTGACCACAGACCAGGTGAATTGCTTCTGGATCACCCCCTGCCCAATCCCCTTTCTTTCCTGCAGTGGATATTCCTATTCCCAAGTGTCCTAATACAGGCAACCTGTGCTCTGCTTCATTGCACGACACCGATATCTCACTTTTTACAGTGGAAGTTTTGAGACAACCCTGCATGGGATCATTTTTCCAACATGGGCGCCATTTTCCAACAGCACACACTGTCTGCATTTCTCTGCCATTTAGTTAGCCACGTGGCAGCACATGCACTGGGTCTGCAGGGTGAGAGAATTCACCAGAGCCAGAGCGGGGAGCAGAGCAGGCAGAAGGACCGAAGTACACTGTGTCAGCATTTGTGGGACCCTCCTCTGGTTCGAACCGCAGACCGTACGTGGCTTTTTTGATGGAGCCTAAAGTGAAGCTCCAGCATAAAACACAGCTCTCCTAAAAATCAGCAAACCCTGTGAAATCAGGACCTCTGGCCATTTTGTCCCAATATCCCTGGCTGTCCTGCTGGGGTGCAGGGAGGTCTCACACTGTCCTACAGACACATGCCTTAAGATTGACCAGGCCCACCACCCTGTCCTGCCCAGTTGCTCCCTCACCTTCCTCTGGTCTCTCTGGAGTCACCTTATTGTTAAGGTCTTCCCTGACCACCTCTATAAACTCTCCCTCACTCTGCTTTGTTTTCCAAAGTTACTTCTCACCATCTAACATGCTCTCTCTTTTTTAAATTGTTTCTCCTTCCAGAAGATTGTAAGGGCTACCGGTTGGCTTCCAGAGCCTATGAAAGGGCCTGCCTGGTGGTCAGTGCTCATTATATTTCTGCTGAGTGTGTGTGAAGGAATTCTTCAAAGGGCAAGTGATTGAGCTGAATGGAATTTGCACTGAGGGGGTTGTAAATCTCAGAGGGCTGGGGTGGGGGTGCTGTTGTTTCTATGGTCTCCAACTGAACCCACAGGATCTTCACGTGACCCCCAAACATGCTCATATCCTAATCCCTGAAACCTGTGAATATATAAACAATGTGGGTTCCCCCCTCACCCCCACCACCTCTACCATCAAGCAATGCTCTGTCACCAGTGGGGTGTCCTACAATTGAGCTCCATTCTGACACCATCTATGGGAAGATAACATCATATCCCACAGGTGAAGGGCCTGGGCCAACAGGGACCACGGCCCCCATTTAGAAACCAGCTCAAAGTCTAGTGTTTCTCACACTGGCTACAGATCTGAGGTTGCCAGGACCCCCTCCTCAGCTTTGATTAACTTGCTAGAATGACTTGCAGATCTCAGAGGAGCCTTTTACTTATTAGATTATCTGTTTATCATGAAAGGATATCAGTGGGGAACAGGATGAGACACAGAGGACAAGGTATGCAGGAGGGCCACAGAGCTTCCGTCCTTCCATACCACGTGTTCCCCAACACGGGAGCTCTCCAAATCCTATCCTTTTGGGATTTTATGGGGGTCTTATTACACAGGCATGATCAATGAACCCAGAGGTCAGGGGGTGGACCTTTAATCACATGGTTGGTTTCCCTGGCAACCAGTTCTCAGTTGTTTTCCAAAAGTCACCTCATTAACATAAACTCAGGTGTGGGAGAAAGGGCTTGTGATGAATATCAAGAACCCCTTTATCACTCATCACTAAGGAAATTGCAAGGGTTTTGGGAGCTCAGTGTCAGGAACAAGCACAAAAACCAAATAACTATTTCCTATAATAAGTTATGATATCACAGTTGCCTTAAGGACAACAGGGACTTTGCAGATGGAATTAAAACTGGAATGTTGAGGTGGGGAGATTAACAACCTCGGTGGGTCCTGTCATCACTAGGGGTTCTTAAGGGGGGTGGGGAGAGGATGGAAGCTGAGGACAGAGTGATGCTGGGCCACAAGCCAAGAAACAGGGGCAGCTCTAGAAGCTGGAAAACACAAGATCATTCTTCCCTGGAGCAGCAGCTATATGAAACGAGTACAGATTTAATACAGATTTTTGTATTCGTTTTCTATGGCTGTTGCGACACATTACTGCAACTTAGTGGTTTACAGCCACACGCATTTATTATCTTACTGCTCTGGGTGTCCGCAAACTCGAGTGGGTCTCGGGGGATAAAGTAAAGGTGTCGGCTGAACTGTGTTCCTTTGGGGGGGCTCTCAGTGCAAATCCCTCTTTTCCCATTTCTGGCTGGTAGAGCCACCTGCACCTGGGTTGGTAGCTGTGTGACTGTGGCGCTGCAGCCCTAATGCAGAGGCCGGGGAGATGTGATTGTTACTCAGCGTTCCTGGGACAATCGGTATAGCGAAGACATAGAGGCAGATAAAACACACACACACAACTATGGCAAAGTCCTACCTCCAATATGCTGGGTGATTGGTACAGACAAGAAGCATGGGTGGGCGGTGGAGAAGGGCGTCCCTGGAAAGGAGGTGTTTGAATCAAACCCTCTGCAATAGAGGTGGTACAGGCAGAGATAAGAGAAATTCAGCTTTCCAGGTGGGGGCAGAGGGTGGCAGAAGCACAGGCCTGGCAGAAGAAAAACAAAAGCTGTGTTTAGCTGCTGGGGAAGTGGAGGTGGGGGAGATGCAGACAGGAAGGCTTGAGTGGAGCAGTAGGGGAAACAATGACAGAGGGTTGATCCTGCTCTTCTGGTGGGGGGAGGGGCGGGCATCAAATGCCCTTGAGCAAGTCCCGCCCGGGCTTTGTTCAACTTAGTGGTCTACAGAAAATGCAAGTTTTCAGGAAAGGGCATCTGGGGCCAATGTGCTTTTCAAGGAAGGCGAGGCCACCAGCTTGGAGGATAAAGGAACAGGTGTCTCCTCTTACAGATTTGGCCGGCAGCTTTTTTGGTAGTACCTGCATTTTCGTTAGCCATTCTTTGCAAGGCCTCCCCAACAAAACTGATTCAATTACTCACTGCACAATGGTTCATGAATGCCACAGATACCACACCTTGAGTTTATAGCACGTCTCAGACGTTTTTCTCGCACTTCAGTTTCTTTACCCCCGCCATGGCCCGTTGAGACAAGAATGGAGCAGAGGCGAGGGCAGCTCATCGTACTTGAAAATCTCAGAATTCTTGAAAACATTAAATGAGAGAGGAGCCGAGAGAGTGAGACTTCCATTCTTGGCTTCTGACATCAACTCAGACTTCTAGCACAGAAAAGCTGGGATGCAGAAGCAAGGAGGACCCCGCCCCACCCTCCAGTCTAGTAAAGAGTTTGAATTTGGGTTTTGGAAATCACTTTACTAATCACTCTGGTTTAAATCTTCTGCTATTTGATGAACTTAATCTTATTTTCCTCCAGAGCCATCGCTAAAGTGATTTCCTTTTAATGAAGCAGGTTAAGCTCTGCATTGACCCATCCGATCGTAAATACTTTCCCGTTTTCTCTCTTGCTAATCTTGCCAAGCAAACAATGAGAAAATAAGCATCCATATTACCTAGCTGGCTGGGAAGCCCACATTCTAGGTTGATCTGCTGGTTCCCCTTTTCCTCTCCCCCCTGGGTTTCCTACCACCTCTCCTTTCCATGGGGTGTGGAAGGTTCTGTATTGGTGTAAACTGGGATTTTTCTCCCAGTTGCCGGGATGCATATACATTTAAATGGCTCCCACCTCCTCTGAGGCTGGGTCCCTGAAAATTCTAGTGTGAGAATCATGCAGGAAACTTGTTAAAAATGTGAGTGGGTCTCAGACCTGATCCCTTGTGAGTGCTAACAGCAGGGACAGGCAGGTGGAGGGAGAGATCAAAGTGGCTTTAACAATGAGTGGTCCCTGTGCTGGCAGGTGGCCTGAGGAAGCCTGAGAAACCCAGGCATTGTGTCAAGTGGAAAATAGCAATGGCATCAAGGTGGAGCTGTTTGGAGCTCTGGTGAGAGATAAAGGCTAAGAAAGCTGGAAGGAACCAGAACAGGCAGCTTAGTGTATTTGCTCGCGTATTGGGCTGCTCTATGCTATTCCAGGCCATTCTATTGAGTCCTAGCCTGCTCTACGTCACGTATCTTAACTCACTTAATCTTATGCAAGACAATGAGGTCAAAACAACTGCAGTCCATTTGACAGTGAAGAAATGAAGGTTCAGAAAAGTACGGTGACTCATCCAAAGTCACACAGCTAGGAAGTGGACGAGCTGGGATTGAGCAGGGACAGTTTAAGGTCTCTTAGCAGCAACCCTGGCTGGTGGTTAAGAAGGCAGATTCTAGAACTAGACCGTTTGGGTTTAAACTCCAAGCCTTAACATTTACTCCATATGTGGACCTTGCACAAGCTGGTTGATGGCCTTGTGCCTCAGTTTCCCAACTTTTTAATTGGGGAGAACAACCACAACATGTCAAAGTGTTCTTGAGAAGGCTGACATTTAATGAGCTAGCCATTATTTTTACTCATGACTCAATTTCTGCAGGGCAGTGTTGAGCTGCCCGCCTTCATTCACACCCAACTCCGACATGCATCTCACACGTGAACTTGGGCCTGAGGCTCAGGGATGGGGTGGAGGAGTCAGGAATGGTGTGTTGGGTAAATTACTCTAATTTAAATGGCCATGCCAGTGGTTTATGACCAGGAAGTATGTGCGAATGTCACGCCGCAGCACCCAAAGGCCATATGCAAAAGGGTCTGGTGATACCTTAGCACCTCCCCGGCCACTTGTCCTTGTACAGCGATCACCTTGGGTGTCTAGAGAGTGCCGCTTCATCTGTCCTTTGGGTGGTTCTGAGGTGTCTTCCTTTCAGAACTAGGTCCAAGGCCAGCCAGGAGTTAGGTTTTGGGGTCCTCAACTTGTGTGTACAGGAAGGGCTGAGGGGGCAGGGGTAGAGAGTCCTTGGAGTCCTCTCTGTGAATGCAGCTGTGATGGGGGCAGAAATGTCCACGAGATGGGTGGGGAGGAAGCTGAGGTGAGGATTCCAGATCCGTGTTGACAATCAAGAACTCTTCGTTTGGCTGCAAGGCGCGTCCTCAGAAGGTCAGCCCCTGGGGGAATGGGTTTCATCTTGTGGGAGCTGCTTCCTCCAGGACTGCTGGATGGAAGGGTATGATGTCCGGTCTTCTCGTCTCAAGATGGGATGCTCTGAAAAGCCAGTTTTAAAATTCTCAGCAGGTTGGCTGAAGTTTCTGCTTGATGCTCTGGCAGCTCAGACTTTCCTCATCACCAGTTAGGTTCTTCTCCCCCCACTCCTTCCCAAGAGCAGCCCTCATCAGCCTCCAGCTACCTCTGTCTCAGAAGGGAGTTCCCGGGACATCTAGCCCACGTCAGAGGCTAAGGCATGAGAAATTCCGAGCCAATCAAACAAAAGACAATAGTCGGTCAAGTTGAGTCCACTTTTTAATATGTTAACCATAATGCAAACAGGCATAAGTAGACTTTTGTTGAATTCCATCAAATGAGAAGATGAGAACTATACAGAAGAGCATGCGGTGAACACAGCCTGGACAACCTCGCAAAGAGCGTGGGGGTGGGTGTCAGTCCTTTGAGGACGGTGCTGGAGCACATGGGACACTGGGCAGAGAATTAGCAGCATCGAGAGAGCTCAGAGGTAGGGGGAGTCCGAGATTCCAACAGCGTGTGCGTGTGTGTGTGTGTGTGTGTGTGTGTGGTGAGATGCCACATCCACTCCACCCACCTCCCCAAACCCCAGTGGAAACCCATGGAGGAGGGTACAGCAACTTGGAACAACCGACCATGCACTCTCCTGATTTTCACTGCTGAGCCCGGCATGGGTCTTAACAATCACGACAACATGACAACAATGAAAACTGGGTGGAGGCAGGGAGCAGGGTACCGGAGGGGCTGGCTGAGCCGGCACAGGTGTGCTGGGCCTCCCGGGCCTTCATCTGAACAGATGCCAAGAACGCAGCCTCTTCCTGAAACAGAACCACCTTCCTCTGTCTTGGGAGGAGTTTCTGAAACCACATGGTGTTATTCCCCCTTGAGAGCATTCAAATCTCAGTTTGGCAGCAGAGAATGGAAACAAAACTACAGACTGAGGGAAGCTCTCCTTACTCCAGGGGCCGGCTGCCCAGGCCTGGGGCAGCCAGTGGCCCCCCAGTGGACACTGGGCAATGTCCAAGGACATATCTGGTTGTCACCACTGGTGGGGGAGGTGCTGTGGGCCTGCAGTGGGTGGAGCCAGGGGTGCTGCTCAGCATCTACTACACACTGGTCAGCTCTTCCCGACAAAGTATCCTCCAGCCTCGGTGCCAGAGTGCGGAGGTTAAGAAACCTGGTCCAGGTCTTCTAGTGCTTAGGAAGCAAGTCTGGGCACTACGATGTTCTGGAATTGTTTTCTAGCAGACTGTGGAAAGCAGCACGTTAAGGCAGATTTGTTCCTGCCAGCCAGGGCCACCTCATTGGCAATTTGCTCCTTTCTGGACCCAAGAGACATGTCCTGTGTACTCAGAACCATTCAGATATTCCCGGACAGAACAGATGTACAGGCGCACTGAGGCCGGTCTCCTCCTGGCCGTCCCCCTTGCACTGGGCTTAGGCAAGCAGCGACAGAAAACAGAGCCTGCTTTCCAGGGGTAAAGGTTTCCCTGGGTCTCAGGGGAGAGACATATCTGTGTTTGGGACCCTTGTCCCCAGGCAGGGGCTTGCAGTGCCCCAGGAGGGGTGGGGTGGGACACACAGGAGAGGCCCAGGGCAAGTTCAGGTCTGTAGGACCATCGTGGTGAGTCCCAGGGGGCAGGTTCCTCCCTCAGGCTCTTGGACTGGTATTTGTCCCTCACAGCTCTTGGCCTCTAATTCTTGAATGAAACAGGACATTTGGGCGCAGGAGCCTGGACAGAGGCTGGTGGCAGACAGGGGTATATGGACAGGTCACAGAGGAAGCTCAGATGAGAATTTCCTTCTTGTCACCATAGGCAGTTTATTGCCTATTCAGACAGAAGGTTTTGAGGGAAGAGGGCACAGTGACGTGCTGGAGATGGGGCAGTGGAGATGGAAATTTACAAGTAAACACAGCCAGCTTAAAACAAAATCTAAAGTTCATGGCTTTCCTAACAGCACAAATGAAAAGGCTATGCCAGGCCAAAGCCATCAGGGTGAAGGGACTGGGCGTTTGGCTTGTCCATCCTGGCAGGGCCCATCTGCCCCATGATCTGGGTCAGAGAGTCCACGGTCCACTTGTTTTTTTGGACTTAAGGCAAAACCTGACCTCCTTTCAGAAGCCCAAAGCAGGTGGCTGCTGAGGGCTTGTTTGGCAAGAAAATCCTGTGTTCTGAGGCCAGTGTCTATTGGCTGGGGTCTGTTTTCTTTCTGTCCATCTAGGCTTGGCTGGACCTTGGAAGGATTCACTCTGTTGATTCGGGGAGTAGCTGGCTATTGTGTCAGCACTGCAAACTCACCTCTCTGCCCACCCCAGCCCCCAGCCTGTTTTCCTCATGGAACCCCTTTCTCAATGTAGAGGCAAGACTCTTAAATGTCCCCTTTGTTCTAGGACACATCAGTCTCCAGGTTGTGTTGATTTAACCCCTGGAATCCTTTTTATCACTATATCTGCCTCTTCCTTCATTCCAGCCAGGGTTACTGCAATCACCCAACTGTTTGATAGGCTGGAAAGCTATGCTCCAGGCTGCAGCCAGAATATTCCCTCTGAAGCATAATTCTATTGCTTTAATTTCCCCTTTGGAAAAAAAAAAAAACATTTTTAAGGTCTTCTTGTGGCCCATGGAAGAAAGTCTAAATTCCTTGATGCGCCACTCCCCTCTCCCCACTGCCTGCTCCTGGTCCATCTTCCAGCCCCTCAGCTTTCCAAAACTGGGCTACATCTGAGGACGGCCCTGATTTGCTCCAAATGCTCCCCATCCAGGTTTCTTCCCACTTCCTGGCACCTAGTCTCCCCCCAAACTGGCAGGTGGACTCCCACCCGTTTCTCAAACTGCAGACCTTTCTGTCTATCCTGAGAACTGTTACTTATCAACAGATTCTAATCTTCGATCAAAGAGGACCCGTATTTTGCTCTGCACACTCCATGGTTGGCGCCTTCCGCATACCAGAGAAGCAAGAAATCTTATCGATTAAGTGAAAAAAATATTTTGATTGCTTACAATGGGCCAAGTGCTGGAATGGGGGTATTTTAGGGTCATTATCTCATTTAGTTCACCTCTTTATACAGGTGGATTTGTAGACTGAGAAAGATGCAGACATCAGGCCCTGGCTGCCTACGGAAATGTGGCAGAAGTCTGCTTCCAAAACGGTTTTGGTGGATCTGAAGCATTTTCCCCCAAAGAAAGATAGTTAGTTGGTTGTCTCACTCCATAGAAACCAAGGAAACCCGCTCTCCTCCCAGAGAGGGTAACTACTCTTACTTCTTTTGAACACAAGGTAGGAGAATTGGATTCATAGAGACAATGGCTCCAGCTTCCTGGTTGCCGGGGATGCCTCGCTCCTCCTGGCCAAACTCACTTTTGTTAAACGAACTTGGGGCTACTACAGGCCAGTTCGAGGGGAGAAGAAAATAAAAGGTCCTGGCTAACCCCCAAACGCCCTAGAGGCAACCTTATTTTTGCTCATCTATTACAGGGACTGAACTCAAAGCCACCACCAGAGGGCAGCATTTACCCACCTGGAGCAGAGCTAACCTCTGAGCTGGGACTCCGCGCTGGGCCCTATTGGCTCCTAAACAGCCAGGCTTTTGGTATCAGGAATTGCAGCAAATGAGAGAAGTGCATCAGACCAGTCTCCTATCTTCTAAGCCAGGAGCTGTGAAGCAGCTTGTGTTGGGGATTGAAAGGTGTTTACTGAAAAAAAAAATCCTTTTAGGAAGAGAGATGAATTCTGGTGATGTAACCATTTCTTTGGGCTCCCTGACAAAACAAGACCATTTGCGTGCCTGCTTCCAGGAGGGCAGGAGTATATGAAGAAGGTGCCTGGCACATAGTAAGTGCTCATCAGTTTTTATTAGGTGATGGAAACTATTCGTGGGGAAAGCTTGATTGGGAGAGCAAGCAGCCATCCCTTTCTCTCTGACAGCGGACCAGTCCCTGGGGAGCCAGTGACATCTTAGGAGGACACGCCAAAGGCTTGAAGGGCTGGGAGGAAGGCCCCTGGGAGAAAAGCTCCCAGGAACCGCAGTAGCATTTGTAGGGAAGAAGTGGTTTCCAGGGGGCTTCCCTCCAGGTGAAAGAGGCTCAGCAGGGCGTGCCCAGGTTTGGTCTCTATGCCTAGGGCAGCCTGAGGGGGCGGGAGGCTTCAAGGCAGGTGGGGAGATCATAGCCCCCATGACTCCAGTTGCTGTGCCAGGTCTGGCATTGGCAGGGGCTCCAGAGAAGGGGAGAAAGGCGAGATACAGGTTGCCCTTTGGCTTTAAGACCCTCCCCTCCTGGGAATACCTCTTTGACCCCCCAGTTCTGAGGCCCATCCAAAGGCCAGGGCGTTTTTCTCATTGTCAGGGCCCCAAGCTGAGCGTCAAGAAAAGAATTCCCGCTGAGAGTCTACGCAGGAACCCGTCCTGCTGTATGCCAAACCAAAAGAGCAGGTGGGGACTGGCTGTGTGCTCCCACCCGAGTTGGGAGTGGCCGCCTCCCACTCTAGGCCCCAGGGCACACCCTGCATGGTCGTCCTGGGGCAGGTCACTGGCATTACCTGGCTTTCTCTGGGCACTGCTGGACATTGATTGATAAAGGGGGACGGGTGGAGTGGGCAGGGTTTGCCCAGCTGGGGCTCTTAAGAGCCCAGAAGAGGTTTTCCCCACCTAATCTCACAGGATCTAGTTCTGGGACTCCCCTTTCATTGCAGATGTCCCCCTCCACCATCGCGCACACCCCATGGCCTCACCCTTTACAAACAGGACAGTTAGGTGCTTCTGTGTGTTTCGGGGACACTGGCACAGACCCTTGATCTTGGACGCACAAGTCATTACTATGGGTTGGGGCACCTTCTTGGGCACCGAGGGCCTGCAGGTGCCGGCTGGCACACGACAGGATGCCGGAGACCCAGCCCATCACACACACTCGCGACCAAAACGGCGTCATAAAAAAGGACCAGGGGGCCGAGGACGGGCGCAGGACACGCCTGTCAAGGCCCCGGGGAACAGGGAACAGCGGTTCCCCGCCGCGAGCTGTCCCTCCCGGGAAGGGGACCCGGTCCTGTGGGAGCCACTGCGGGTCACGGAGGCGATGCACTGCAGCGGGAGATCAAGGAGCAGCTCAAGGGGGCCGAGGAGACCAGTGAGGGCGGGAACCCGGATGAGGAAAACCGGGGCGGCGACAGGACGAGAGGCAGGACAGGACGAGAGGCAGAGCGGGGGGCCGCGGGGGTCCCGAGGAAAAGGTGCAGCAGTGTCGGCGCGTAGAAACCTGCAGCCGCCCCGACTGGGCGCCCGGGGCGGCCCTCCTGCCAGCCGCTGGGCGAGGGCGTCCGGTTAGGAGCTGAAAACCCTGCGGGGGAGAAGGGGCGGCGTCAGGGCCGCGGGCCGCGGGGGCCGCTCCGGCTCTGGAGCCACCCGAGCCCCGGGCGCCGCCTTCCGCGGGCCTCGGCTCCGGCCCGCGAGCAGAAGCTCCCCAGGCCCGAGATGAGCCCCGCCTCCCGGGGAAGACCGAGGAGCCGCGCGGAGGTCACCGCGGGGCCGGCAGAAAGGGGGGGGGTTAAGGGCAGCCGCGGGACTCGGGCTGTGCAGGTCGCGCGAGGGGAGGCCAGGCCCCCCCAGCTTTCAGGACGGCCGCGCTGACAGTAACCGAGGACCCAGCACAGGGCGCGAGCGCCGAGTCCCCGCGCCTCACACGAAGGGCACACGGGGGGGGGGGGGGGGGGGGGGAGAGGGAGGTCTTGGGGTGCGCGGGGGCGGGGCAGGGCAGGCATGGGGCAGGGGCATCACAATCCAGGGTGATGTGCCCGGGCGTTAGGTTTAAGCAGTGACACGCAACCCCAGTCTTGTGGTGCCTCAGATGGTCTGTAGACATTTCTAGAGGGTGGGTGAATTGTCAAAATAGCACCAATTAGAATCTGCATCCGTGAGAGAGCTCCGGGGGGCTGGGGGGCTGGGAGCGGATATAGACGCCAGAACCGGGTGGGAACGCGGTCTCCCCAGGCGAGTGGTCAGTCCAGGGGCGCTCCAGGCGGAGGCCGGAATCCAGAGCCAGCGTCCTCACTCCTGAGGGGCCTCGGGATCCACTGTGCGTGTGTGTGCGTGTGTGTGCGTGTGTGCGTGTGTGTGCGGAAGGGTTGTTAGAGCACAAACTGCTGCACCCTCACCCCAGAGTTTCAGATTCTCAGAGCTGGGGCGACCTGGGAATCTGCATTTCTAACAGGAGCCCAGGTGGTGCCGCGGCTGCTGGTCTGGGGGACACCCCTGCAGGAAAGCAATGGTGAGTGAACCCAGATGTCCTTGCCCCCTGGGACCCCGAGAGCGGGCTCTGCCCACCCCGGGCCCACAGCTTACTCGTCAGTGTCCTTTTTGCTCTCTTCGATGAAGGCAATGGATTCAGATCTAAGGCGGTTGGTCACTTCATAGGTGCGCAGGGTGACGCCGAAAATATCCTCATGGTACCGGTTGTCATCCTAGAGACAGAAACGGCCAACAACAGTCCTTTACTGCCAGCCAAGGAACCGCACACCAGCAATCCGGAACGGGAGAAGTCCTGGGGGACACTCGGGTCCAGGACTGACTCACAGACCCTCTCCTGGGCGGGCGCTGTGGGCTCTGAGGATAGAAGTGAGGGGGGCAAATGGAAACCTGGTCATCTCCTCCTACCCTCCTCCGCCCGGCCCTGCAAGTTCAGATCTGGGCAAAGCTGGGCTTGCTGGGAAACCTCGTAGCCTGCAAAGATGGGAGGAAAGAAGTGCCTGCACAGGACTCTGGCAACACCCCACAGCTGCACCAGGGGAGACTATGAAAGTGACTCCTGAGGGTAAGACCAAAGAGACTGAGTGCTGGGACTCCACAGCCATCCTAAAATCTGACATTTTTACCAGAAAGTTCTCCCTGTCCCTCCCTTTTTAAACTACTGGGAGTTTAGTCCCTGATTTAGAATCAGGGATTCTTCTGTAAAGATGTTTGATTAGTGCTCCTGCAAGGAAGCAGAGGGGAGGGTGGGGTCATTCCTGGAGCTTGGTGAAGTTCTGGAGCTGAGATTTTCCTATTTGGGGCAGTTGGTTACACAGTTAGGACTTTGTTTGCTGGGTTGCTCCTAGCTTCTGTCCTGTCTTTGTGTAAACTAGGAAAAGGCATGCCTCCTTGGGGTGGGCACAGCTCCATACCAAGGCGAGCAGCTTGGAGAATCAAGCTTGGGTGATTTTCAGCTCCCACTTGCCCCCCTTTGGGCAGGCCTTTTTGTGCAGTGCCCAACTGGCACAACTGCCCGGGGTAGTGCTTCTGCGGGCAGGAAAGTTGGTTTACGATGGTTTTGATCTCGCTACCAGATGGTCCACCGTCTTGTTACATCACACACTGCAGCCCCTGACCATAGCTAATATAGCACCTGCACGTCCTTCCTTCTCTCAACTATGGGTTGGGGCCACCTATATCCTCCACTCCCAGGACAATGGGAGCAGGGATGCCATCCTGGCTCCCCTCATCATGGAGACAGGCGGGTGAGGAGGAGGAAGCGGGGAGCCAGGTGCCAGAAAAGGGGTGCAGGAAGCCAGTGCCTCACTCACCCTCAGCCTGCTGATGAACACTCCTGCGTCCTCAGCCGAGAGCTTCCCCTGCTGAGCCATGATGTGCTGGACGGCTTTGAGGACGTCGGCGGCCATGGTGACATCCCCGCACACGTAGATGTGGCCCCCTTGCTCCTTCAGGGCTCGGTACACGGGCTCTGCCAGCTGCTCCTGCAGGATGTCTTGCACGTACTTCTGCAGGGAGCAGGGTACAGCCAGTGAGAGAACTGGGCACTGATGGGCCTGGGGCACAACGACCGACCAGTGCCTCTTCCCCTGCAGTCAGTGGTCCCCACGGGGTAGAAAGACTTGTCCAGTTGTAGGTTCGGGTTGGTGGCTGCAGGGTTGGGGTACAGGGGAAGATGCCAGGGAAGCCCAGGGCAGACGGCAAGCAGTGAGCAAGGGGCGGGGCTGTCAGGTCACGTGGGGCGAGGCAGTAGCAATAGCTGGAGTAAACGGGGGTGGGGTGGGGGGGGTGCGCACAAGGGGCATCCAGAGCAGCCTTTCGGGGTTGTCTGGTTTGTTCAGGGCGCATTAACTTGTCCAGGAACATTTAGCTGGCACGTCCTGCTGTGCTGGTTGTAAAACACGGCCTCACTTCCACCCCAGTGGTCGAGTGGCCCTGTGCCATAGCTGCCCTGTCCTTTTCCTGGGATGCCCCCTGGACCTCCCCAATATCCAGGAGGAAGATGCTCCAGTCCCATGGCTGGTCTGACGGTAGCGCCTCTTGGGGGCTGCTAAATGTTTCTTTTGATTCATTTTTCTAAATATTTTTATTGTGATGAGACACACGATAGAAATCTGTCAGGAGACAGTTTCAAAGCAACAGCTCAGAGCATTAAGCACATCCACCATGCTCTGCAGCCGCCACCACCATCTAGCTCCTGAAGCTGTCATTACCCCCAAAAGGAAACCTATACCCATGGGGACTCCCTCCTCATCTCTCTTCCCCACAGCCCCTGACACCTCTAAACCTGTCTGTATGGGCTTGGCCGTTCTGCATATTTCACATAAGTGGAATCACATCATGTGGGCTGTTCACTATTTTAAAGAAATATTTGTCTTCTCCAAGCTTCCTGAGTATAAAACCAGTTCATGGAGAGTCAGAAAAGGTGGGGGTCTCTGGGGAGAGGATGTGCATGTTGGGGTGAGGTGGGGTGACTGCACGGCTGCGGTTACCTTTGGTTTGTCCGGCTCCCTGGAGTAGGCCGTGTACAGCTCTCTGAAGACCCCCTTGTTCTTGGCCTGCAGGGTCTCCTCGCGGTAGATGTGGTCTATCTTGGACTGCCGGCACCCGAACACCAGGACCATGGGGCAGGGGCTCAGTCCTGGAACCAGGAAGATGGGCGCTCACCGACAGCCTTGCTTTGAGGGGTGGCTGATGTGCCGGGGGTAGGGTGCTGGGAACCTTAGTGCGTGCCATGTGGATAGAAGCAGCACAAAAACACAGGTGGGCACATGCACACACACGCGCGTGCACATGCATGCCGGGGTGGCAGTGTTCAGCCTTTGGCAGATCTCCCTTTTCTGGGTCTCCATCTTGCCTTCTGCCCCCAGGGCTGCTGAGCAGCTCCGTACCCCCCACCAGGTGTGCTAAAACCCCGGACTCTGCGGCTACACGGCTGAGTTCAGATCCCAGCTCCGGGTCACTGCGAGCAACTTACTTAATTTCCCACGTGTCAGTTCCACCCCCTCCCACCCTTGTCAATGGGCCTCCGCACACGAGTGCTCCAGGACATTAGCTGTTTCACTGGGACGGCAGTTCCGCGGGGCAGGGTTTTTACAGCCGTTTCTGTCTATCTCACTGCTACGCCTCCAGTGCCCACACGGTATCTGACATGTTAGATGCTCCAGAAACGCCGAGTTTGCTGTGCTGTGGATTTCTCTCTCTCCTCCCGAAGCTGATCTGTTGCGTCTCACACAGCAAACCTGCTCCTGGACAACAGCTCTGGATAACATTGATCTGAGTCTCATGCTCACCCATGGCAGGGCTGCTGGGATTTATGATGGGCTCCTATCTTAACCATCAAAGGAATGTCCTCTGGGGGTGCACTGTTAGGTCCTCGGACTGTGTGGCCCGTCCAGCTGTGTGGCCCCTCCGGCTGTGTTTGGAGGGGCCCTTTGAGTTACGCCATGAATGTCACCTATTGGTGGGATCCCCACGCTTCTGCTGCAGGCATTGTGCCCCCCATCTCCCCGGGGGTGGTGCTGCCGTACAGTTTTCATTCCCCACCATTCCTCCTGCTGCTGACACACGGAGTGGGGGTTTCCTCATCTAGGAGTGGAGGTCTCGTGGCTGTGGGGCTGCGACCCACCTTTGTGTTGGATATCAAATTGCCGCTGCTGCCAGAAGCTTCGGAAAGGGGCAATGCCAGTACCCGGGCCAACCAGGATGCACGGCACTTGGGGGTTTCGGGGCAGACGGAAGCTGGGCGCTCTAGACCAGGAAGAGAGAGTCACAAGGCTTGCTGAGTTCCTCGCTGTTCAACAACAGCCTTAGGCCATGTGGCCATCTTGGGCTGAAATACAGTGGGACTGTGGCATTTCAGCTGGTGCCAGGCAACACTGTGAGGGGGGTGGGTTCCATAGATTTGGGGAGCTTCAAAGGCAGGAGGTCCTCAGGGTCTAGCTATGACTCCATTTCCCAGTTTCCCTCATTGCTGAGCTGAGCCACAAAGGCAGAGGGACTGACTGAGGCCAGGGTCTCCCTTCCTCAGCACTGTGACACCCGTTGGGGGGGGGGTGGGAGGAGCTGCATCTTTCTCCCTTAGGGGTGCTGGCCTGTGCACCATGGGGTACTGAGCAGCACCCCAGCTTCTAACCACCAGCTGTGACAGTCAAAAATGACATTGACAACTACCTGGGGGTCAAAATCACCCCAGGTTGAGAACAATGATTTAATCACCCACGAGGGGTCAGGGTATACAGGAGTATGAGAAGGGTGCAGATGCCTGCATAGCGCAGGGAGTCTGGGCTCAGAATAGCATTTTAGGGGCTTTCTGGGGATTCTGATGCCTATGGTACAGGGTTATCCCATAAAGATCTACTCTTGACAGTTGACAGAAAAGGTTGGCCAAGCCACCATTCAGGCGAAAGTACTGGCTCATAAAGCAGATACCTCCTGTGGGCCTATGTCAGCTCTCATCCCTGTTTATCATATATTCAATTATATTTTTATTTGGGTGATGCTGCTAAGAACAGTTAACATGTGAGTGCACAACACAGTATTGTGAACTACAGGCGGGAAGAAAAGCTCTGATGGATGGGGGTGTGAGGGATCTGCCCTGACTCTAAGAAACTGGGGACACCGAGGATAGCTGGAGACCCTCTGTCTGGTTCTTACGTGGTTCCGGCCTCTAGAGTCTAGTGCAGGACATGCACTTGGTGACTGCTGCCTGGCCGGGCTCTGGCTCTGGCTCGCTCACTGCTGCTGTGCCCCCGAGACCCCGCTCCCCTGACACGTTGCGGGGAGCCAGGATGGTGATCTCAATGCCCTCTGACTCAGCCATTTCTCTAGAACCCTTCAGACTGCGCCCCACCCCACCTCATGACCTCTGCAAGCAGATGTGGGGCGACTGCTCATTTGTCTTCATTTGCACTCACCCTCGCACGAAGCAGGGTACACCCTCGTCAGCCTGGATGCGGTTGAGCCAGGAGGAGCACACGCCGTGGTGGACTGGTCCTTCTCCATCTAGCAGGATGAGGGAGGTGGTCAGAGTCGCCCATTGCACCCGGGCCGCCACAGCACTGGCCTCCCTTCCCCACTAGAGCAGGAGGCTCACAGCCCCAGGCCAATCTCTGTCCTGAAGCTCCTCTGGACGGGGAGGAGAAAGGGCCCAGCTTGGCTGAGCTCCCAGCTGAGCAGCTGCCTGGGCTTCTGCTGGGTCAGACTCACATCCTGCCCACCGACGGGATGGTCAGCGTGCGCCTCAGTCAGGGTGCTTTCATGGGCTACCGGGCCCCAGTCTCTGTGCCCTCGGGTGCATTTTAACTGCTTTATCAGAGAGGGAGAAATACGGAAGCAGAGGTCGGGGTAGCTGATTGGCCCACAAGCTGCTGGATATCATCCTTGGAGGGAGGACGTGGTATGTGCTTGTTCTAGCTGCTGCCTTGAGGGTGTGAGGGGATGAGGGGAGCAAAATGGGGTATCAGGCTTTGTTAGCAGAGGGGGCTCTCAAAGGCACATCTTGTATCCTTCCTACTTCTGCCCGGGGTTTGCTCTGCTTCTCTGGCTTCCTGGCTTTTGGGGATTTGGGATTTCAGCAGATGGCAGAGGTCCAGGTGGTGGGGGATGAAGACCTAAGGGGGCTCTCCCGGTGCCTCTACCCACCTCCGGTGCGGTAGGAGACAATGGCCACGGTCAGGTGCACCTCGTCGGGGTACATGTCTGGGGAGGAGCTGATGGAATAGTAGCGAGGTTGCAGCAGGGACAGCTGGGTCAGCAGCAGTGTGGCAGGCATCTGGATGGATGGGAACTCCTCCAGCACCTCCACGATGGTGGGGTTCTTGCCCCATTTCCATTCCTCGTACTCCTGCAAACCCTGCGCCAACAAGAGGACAGAGGAAAACTCGCACCTGGCTCTGGGGCCACTTCCAATCAGGACTTTGGGAGTCAAATAAAAATCATCACCGAGAACACTCACAGTGTGAGGAATCTGGGCCAGGTTTTAATTCCTGCCAGGAGCTATGGAATAAGTATTATTGTGGTCCCTATCTCATAGAGGAGGCATGGGGCCCTGCTTGGAGAAGCCTAGGAGGTCTTCCTGGGTCAGCTTCTTACTGAGTAAGGCTCTGCTGCAGCTTGGGGGCAAGCTTGGTTTGTAAGGAAGGGAGGCAGGTGCTGTGTTTGTTTGGCTCACTTGACCATCAGCCTCCTATACCTCAGCTCCTGAGTCAGAAAAGGTTTATCTTTAAGGCAGTGTGCCCAGGGAGTCTCTCCTTTTCTTCTAAGCATGAGGGGAGCCAGAACTAATGGAAGTTCAAAGGTTCTGAAGTGCAGAGGAAAAGAGTCAGAATATCTATTTCCACCGTACCTGAGAACTTTGAGATTCAGCGGGCCTTCGAGGGGAGATGGTCAGGACCAGCCCAAACGGACTAGCCAACAAACTGGAATATGGCTGCCTTTATTCCAGGCTGCCATCTGCTGGACACTGTTGTAAGAACAGCACAACTCTGCGATGACTAGGAAAGTGCCCCCTGGGTGTTCCAGGCCACCAACCCACCTTGCTAAGGACCAGTAGACGCTGCTTCTCTTTCTCGCTGGTGGCCAGGGAGGCAAACTGCTGCAGCTGCAGGGGCGTTGGCGGTGTGGTGATGTCTAGGTAGTACTTGAAGGCCTGGAAGATGGTGCAGGGAGGGAGGCGGTGCTCATCCGTCCAGTTACTGATTACTCCTGTAGAGGCACAAGGGGGGTGAAGGGTGGTGGTGGGAAGAGTCTGAGCCCCGAGGGAAGAGGATAGGGCCAGGGAGCAGGTTCGCCCCAGAAACAAGAAGCCCTTTGGGGTCCATCTTTCATGACCTGCATCTACACCTGGGCACCCAGGGACTGTGTCACTACTTCCTGTGTGCAAGGAGCATATCCAAAATCAACTGAGCAAATTAGTCCAAAAATTAAAAAACAAACAGAAATTAAAATAGCACGAGTCTCCTAGCTTTCTACACAGTGAGCCGCCAACCGAGGGGGAGCTATGAGACTATTTTGGCTCCATCTGTCCTCTCGTGGTGTCAGCCTCTCTCCCCTCTGAGTGGGATTCTAGTGTTTAAAATTACAAACATGCCTAACACTTACCTAGCACTTTCTGCATACCAAGGACTATTCTCAGTGCTTCACATTTGCTGTATTTATACTCCTAGACATATTTTCTATGTATTTATATTCATTTAATCCTCACTACAATCCTAGGAAGCGGGGGCTATTATTATCCTATCCTTTTTGCGGCTGAGAAAAATGGAGGTACAGTGAGGTTAAGCAATTTGCCCACAGTCACACAGCTCATAAGTGGGAAGTGAGGCAGGATGGCTCCCAAGCTTGTTCTCAGTACTTCACGGTGCTGCTTCTGTGCTCTCATTCAAGTTAGCCTCTGCACACAAGCCTCTCCTTCATCCACCACTCCAGAGAACTTTGAGATTCAGCGCGATGCTCTTGTTCCATCAGGCCTTAGAGGGGAGAGGGTCAGGACCAGCCCAAACGGACTAGCCAACAAACTGGAGTATGGCCGCCTTTGCTCCAGGCTGCCATCTGCTGGACACTGTTGTAAGAACAATACGACCCTGCGATGACTAGGAAAGGTGCGGCTTCATCAGGGGCTCAACCCAAGATCAAAGAACTTCCAACACAGAGGATGAGGCTGGATTTATTAATGGAAGGTGTGTCTCTCCAAAGTGGTACCTTCCTAAGGGTTCTCCACAGGGCTCTGACTACCTCCCTGACTTGACGTCCTTTATACAGGTGATATGTCACCATCTCACAAGCCACCAGGTAAGGCCCCTGACGTTCCTATTACCAGAGCCTTGAGCTCGCCTGCACCTACTGAGATGAAGCACTGAGGCCCGTTTGCCTTTGCAAGTTCTTCAGTGGGCATGTCAGGGATGGTCGCAGAACAGGTTGGACCTTGATCTAATGAGGTCTGATATGTGGTTCAGTCCCTGCGGGGTGCTGGGGCTGCACATGGAAACTTCTGATTTGGAGTGGGGAGGCAGGGGCAGAGGCCAGGGGCTGTTTGCTCAGAGGACGGTGGGGCCCTGGCGAGGAAGGCAGAGAGCAAAGTGGCCTCTTCTAAACCCGCCTCTAGCCGATGCGGGAAGGTGAAGCCCGTCTCTTGCACTGGTGGCCCATCAATGTTCGCTCAGCGGGTTGGGCCACACCGGTTCAGCCATGAGAAAGGGGGTGTCTGCAGACTCATGAGCTGGTGGGGAAAAACCCATGCTCCCACCTGGATTGGTGATTGGGAAGAAGCCCGAACCTCCTTTTCCCCGGACACCCACTGTCTCTGGAACTCCCTGGGAAGCAAGGGCTCTGGGAGGTGCCCGACCCACTGTAGTTACCCAAAGCCGTGTTCCGCTCCTCCAGCAGCTCCACTTTCACCAGCTGGTTGACAGGGGGTGCGTCCTCCAGCCGCTCGATCAGGGCATTCACCAGGTCCTCGTGGTTGCCGGGGAAGACGCCCAGGTGGTCCCCCGGCTGGTACAGCAGCTCCTGATTCCCATTGGTGTGGAGACGCACGAAGATGGTGGACCGGCTGGAGAGGAGGGCGGGGGACAATCAGGGCAGGGCCACCAGCTGCCGGCCGCTTTCTTTGCCCCTTTGCCCTTGTGGCTGCAATTCCCCCAAGCCAACCAGATTTCTGCCACCTGTGAGCTCCTCATTACAAATCCAATGCAAAGCCGGCTCTCAGGGTGGCACTGGACATGGCTACTCACTTCTGCTTCTTTAATTCTCTTCTCTTGGATGCTAGCACCCAGCTCTCCTGATCTCTCCGCTGCTGCTGCTCAGCCTCCTTTGCTGGTTCCTTCTCATTTCCCCTAACACTGCACATGGGAGCACCCCAGTGTTCAGTCCCAGGTCTCTCTGCTTTTCCCTGGTCCTGTCCCTGCTTGATTTTTGTTCATCGCACCTGCCATCATCACGCCCCCAGGGGAGCTGACTTTGCTATCTCTATTGCCCTCTGCCCCCTGCCAGGCCCCTGAAACTCTAGAGGGCAAGGAGTTTGTCTTTTTCTGTCCACTGCCCTATTCCTGGCACTTAGGACAGTGCATGGCACATAGTAGGTGCTCAAGAAATATTTACTGAATGAAGGAACCCTGGACTTCCAGGATTAATCAGCTGCCAGGACGCACTGTTCTCAGCACCAATCAGGTTCTCAGCAACCATTACTCTGTTGGGACCACAGGCAGGAGTGGTGTCCCCAGTTTGTGAAATTCCATGGCTCCGAGGAAATCCCAAGCTCTGCTCCCTTTTTGTAACCAGAAGTCCTCATGTAGAATGGAAAAGGGAAGCGGACTTGGCTTTAAGCTTGGGCTCTTATTTACAAATATGCTGATGTTAAAATACTGAGCTATCTGAGAAGAGAACCCGGAGAAAAACTTGTTTATGGCTGTAGGGTCACCCCTTTTGCACTGATTTTTGTATTTCAAGTGTAGGAAGCCCGGGTTAAAGGAATAGCTTAGGAGTGAATCTCAGAATATGAATATGAATCTCAGTTATTTGGGATGGTCCTTTTAAAAGTTTTAGCACAGGGCCTCCCTGGTGGCGCAAGGGGCTAAGACACAACCTATGAAGCTATCCCCAGCATCTGCAGCATAAGTTCGATCCCCTACTGGCCAGGGAGCTACCCAGATGGTGCAGCAGACCTCTCCTGACTCGCCCGCTGCTCCCCTCAGCAGAGTATTTCGTCAGTCTGCCTGCTCTGTTCCCCGCTCTGTCTCTGGTGAATCCTCTCACCCCCCGCACCTCTGGTCTGTACCCCAGTTCTTGTATGCATAAATAAATAAATCTTTAAAAAAAAAAGTTTTAGCACAAAGATGCACGACCTGAAAACTTTGGGACCGATCACACTTCAGTGGATCGAACCCTTTGTACTCTTGGAGTTACGTCTGCTTCTGGATCTGCTTTTCCTTCATTGCCAACTGGTTCAGTTGATAGGGACACTTGATATTTATTCCACTGGAAGTTTCTACATCCTCCAGGGTATGTAAATCAATACTTGAATAGACCAATGGGACTCGCTATTTAAAGGAGTGTTTGGCTCAACCAAGAGCTTCTTTGTGCTGCAAATAGCCACCATTATTAAAAATAGTTGTGCTGGCACATTTGTTTTTTGGGGTGTCAAGTATTTTCTTGAAGCAAGGCGCCCTATCCTTAGAATGGTGAGGAACTTGGTGACTGAGATTGTGAGCGGCGGTGTTCGGGTCTGGGGTCCCACTCTGCTCCCCGGGCAGATTCTGCCCTCTCTGGGTACTCATCTTGTCTCCTGAATGTCTGAGCCGGCTCTGAGCTCACACCGGTTGTCTGGTTCCTGGAGCACAGAGACATCATTACCACCCCCCTCCCAGCAGAGGCCAACAACCAGCAGGGGGCGCTGTGGGGTCGCTAATCTGGGTGCCTCCTGAGTCAACCACAGGAAGCCTTTGAAAGGCCCGCAAATCAATTCCCACTTTCTCCCAGATCATCACGATTTCTTTCAGAAGTATATTTGCCTCCGCTCGCTCTTTTGGCCGGTACAAAATAGAAATGCGGAGGACCTGAACTTGCTGAGCTGGCTCACGCTCACAGCCACTTTCCCCAAGTCCTCTTGAAAGTCTCGCAGAATGTGGCCAAGCAGATAAGGGGCAGGGAGGGGATGCAGCGGGCAGGTTAGCTGGAACGTGGGCCCAGGCTTGGCTGCGAATTTAACCAAGGGAACTTTGCGAGGCGCTGACCAGGCAGGGCTTGCTGAGAACCCCAGCACCGAATGACTGTGGGGCCCCTGGGCCCCTGGGTGGGTTGAACCTCGAAGCTTTGCAGGGAAGCGGATCACCTGAGTAGTACCGGCCTGGAGACCAATTATCTGAAATATCAGTTCTGCTGGGGGTTTCTAAGTATTTTAGGATCTTCTAAGTTCTCTTTTTTTTTAAGCTTGGGACACATTTGGGCCATTGAGAAATACATACTCAAGGAGGGAAAAAGGGTGACACTAGGATGTCAGCTGTTATTAGGGTTCCCTCCACCTTCTCCCCCATAATATCCCCCACTTTGATATATTTATAGCCACATACAGAAGCATAACACACACGTACATGTGTCTGCTTGGCTGAGGTTCAATGACAGTTTCGCGATAAAAGAACAGCTTGCTAATGCCTAGCATTAAGTGAAAAAAATAATTAATGTTCGCTCTTCAATGAAAAGTGTCAGTTGTGAGCAGTTCTGAGTTACAAGGTTCATTCATCCAACACCTTTACAATGAGTGTCAGGCACTGTTCTAGGCACTGGTGTGAGTGACGGGAAAAGACAGCAAAGTGCCCTATTTCACTGAGAAGCAACTTTGGAGGCTCGCAGATGGGGTTGGTTATGTGGATGGTGCTGGTCACGGCTTGGGGGCTAAGTGATCATCAGATAGGACAGTCAGGGAGGCCTCTGTGATTTGCCATTTGAACTGAGATCCAGAGGGTGATAAAGAGCCAGAAGGCAAAGATCTGGGGAAGAGTGTTCCTGAGAAGAGAGAGCACATGCAAAGGTCTGAGGTAGGAAAACGTGTGGCAAGTTTGAGGAAAGGAAAGAAAGGGAGCGTGTTTGGAGAGAGGTCAACACAGGGGAGAAGGAGGGTACAGGCCTTGGCATGACCTGTCACTGTGAGGAGAGAGCGAGTTTCCTTCAAACCAGTGGGAAGTCATTGGAGAGTGTGATATGCTTCCATTTGTGTTTTTGAAGGGTTCCTCTGGCTGTTTTAGAAAACTGACCTTTTCGTGAAAAGCCAAGAAACAAGAAGACAAGTGAGACGTCTGTTGCGGTGACCCCGACCAGTGGGTGAGCCTAGCTTTGCTAGAGGGGGCAGGGGTAGGTTTGAGGCATACTTTACAATCCAGGGTGCCCGTGGATGAACAGAGTGAGGGAGAGACTAGGAGGACCCTTGAGTCAAATGTTGATGGACTCTGTTTCAATGCAGAAGGGCTGGAGAGAAGCAATTTTATCGGAGAGGAGATGTATAACAGTATAATGTATCATGGTCTCCAAAAGGAGTTCCCCGTTGAAGGTCCCCCCTTCTCCCCCACTCTCTAGGACATCCCAGCCTGGCTGCTATGTACCGAGGCGTCTGCCATTCTCTTTCCACATGTTCCTCCTCATTCTTACCTGCCAATTTCAAGTCTGTATTTCCCCTCCTCCTTCTGACTTCTATACCACACCCCTTAGCATCCCCTTCTGCACTGGTTGCTAATTGGCATATGCAGAAATTATTTCTTACCCAGCCAGTAACTGAAGTTATCAGTTATATATTTATATTTGCAAAGATCACCCTCAAAAGGCTATTTACTTCCTCTTAAGCACTTTGCTTGCAATTAAGGGGGGAGGCAGTTGTGACACCATGCTTCTGATCTCCTGGGCCAAACAGTCTGACTTTGGCCTTGGGCAGGAGAAGATAGGAGAGAGTTTCATGCTTTTTCAACTCATTATCCTTTCTCTGAAAAAATGAAACACATAAAGCTGGAAATGGTCTTAATCCTGAAATAGGAGGCAATGCTTTCAGAGATAAACACCTAGCCAATTTGATTCTTTCTGCACTAATCCATAACTGATTTTAATGCTATCTTTTAGTTCCTAGCCTTGTTGAAATATTCCCTTGTAAGTCACTCAGCATAGAGTTCAGTTGCCCTTTCTGGAGGTGGGTGAGGGTTATTCTGGGGCTTGGTCCAACTTAGCATCAAAACATTTGTAAATGACCGTGTTTTTTCTGTACTATAGCTTAGGGAGTAGATTTGTGATCTGGGCTTTCATCGTTTGTTGCTGAAAGAAAATTCCAGTAGATTCTTAGTCCTTTTTTTCTAATGCTACTCATGTCATTTCCATAGCAGGAAAAATAAAGAGTGCCTCTCATGTCAGGGAGCGTTATCCTCTGAATGTTGCACTTAACAAATTATTTAAATGGATTCACTGCCCAGCCCATTTCTTTAGTGTCTGAGGATTGAATAGAGAGAGTGTGAGGGCATCCAGGGATCTGTCCTGCTGGTTATGCTCATCAGGTTTGAAGTCCATGTGGAAAGCAGCCATACTAAATGTACAAGTGTATGCTGGGGTGGACAAGTCACTGATGGGGATGGATGACATGCTACTTGCTTCGTGAATGTCATCTTGAAACCCACAGCAGCCTTGCGGTGCTGTTGAAGTCATGCGGTCAGCCATTTGGCCTAGTGACTTCGCAGTCAAAGAACCGGTTGGTGTGACCTTGAAAAAGTCACTAGAATTTTCTAATTGTCAATTCTCATACTCAAAATGAGGATAATGGTTCCTACTTCCTGGGTGAGTCAGAATGATGACAGATCCTGCACAGACAGGACTCAAAACAGTGGTTGGCCCATAGAAAGCTCTAGATAAACATTAACAGTGTTTACAGTGACTGTTGTCATATTAGGCAAGGAGACAGGGGCTTAAAGAACCTGAGCAGGGACTTGCCCAAGGTTCCACTGCTGGTGCGGGGCAGAGCTGGGGTCAGAACTCAGGGGTGTCACGCTTGAGAGCCTACTCTTTGTGCTATGTCATGCCACAAATCAAGATTTTAAAAGATTTTCATGAGCTGTAACTGCAAAGTGAAAGATTTTATTCAGTAGGGACCAATGCAAAGGACTTCACTAGGGATAATAAAGTTACTTATATAAGCAGGCCTGGCCTGATCATTTTGGAAAGACGTGATGTCTAAGAACAGCAAGGACCTCAATGGGACAGCACAGGAGACAGAACCGCATCTGCGATCTCGGTTGGCATCATGTCCTGTTCATGTCCTGTTCGGACAATCATCACAGCCTCACTGTACTCCTCTGCACTGTAGCCAGGTCTGAGAGTGACATTTCCAGCAGGAGAGTGTGTTCCCTTTAGCTACAGCAGCTAGGAAGCCTGTTTTGAAGAACCTAGAACCCAGGAGATATCGGCCAACGTCCTTGGCTATTTGAAGCTGTCTCTTTTGGAAGAACTGAATTTGTTTTGGGTGTTACTAGAGTGTAATTAGGATTCATATGAAGTGCTAGGAAGATATACTTTGGTTATAAGCAACAGTAAGATCATTTCTAACAATCCGGACTTACAAAACAGAACAGGCTGTCTTGGGGTAATGAACCTGTCATCCCACAGGAATGTAAGCAGAATGCGGGCAGAAACTTCTCAGCACTTCACACAGAACCATCTGCAGTGAGGAAACGCCTGGACAAAGTGACCTCTGATGAAGGTGCAGTGAACACTGGCAGGTCTACAGGGGTGGGTCTACATTCAGAAGGCCTCACAAAACCTTCCACTTTGCTCTTTGCATACCCATCATCATTGTCTCCTTTTCCTGTCCCTGCAGGTGGGACCTTGACAAAGGACAGCGGGAGACCACAGAGCAGCCGGGGTCTTTACGGCCTTTGGAGTGGCTGGGAAATGGCAGCCGGTTCTGGGAGTCACCAGTCTCCTCCCTTGTTGTTGTGGCAGCGGTGGGTAACCCTGAGAAACAAAGGTGTTCCTACCTGGAGTTAGGGCTCTGAAGGTTTTGACGGCTGAGGAGTCGAGCGGCTGAGACTCGCTTTTTGTGGACATTGGACAGACCTGGGGGGGGGGCAGAGAACAACAACAGTTGTCAGTATAAAATCTCCAGCTTCCAATGACCTTCACTTCATGGGGTGAAGTGAAGAGATCAAGGAGCTGAGGCCAGGCATGCACTGGTGAGGCCAGCTGAGGTGGCTGTGGATAGTGCAGAACAAAAAGCAAATCTGGTTGAACTTAGTTGAGAAGAAGCTGGTGATGGTCCCATGGCACACTACTGCAAAGAGAAAGGTCTGAGCGTGTGCGTTACTGGGCATGGGGCAGTAACGCTTTGTCTACTTTGGGGGGACTATGCTAAAGGGAGATCAAAGCCATAGACCCACCTCTCTAAGCACCTTTTGGAGGGGAGAGCTCCTTTTTCCCCCCCAGCATCATGAACGCCTCCCCAGGAGGGTGGTGAGAAGTACCTTGTGTAAGTTCTGGAGCTTCGGCCACATAGGTGAGGCGGAACTTGTTCCTCTTCCAGCTGCGGTCATTGCTGATGAGGGAATTGTTCGCTTTTTCAATATTGACATCGTCTCCCACGCAGAACACATCACAGGCTGCCTGTGGCACACACGGGGCATTCAGGGACCCCTTGAGCCAAGAGGGATTCCTCTCCAAAAGCTCCAAGTCATAGGAGGCATCTCTCCACCCACCCACCCACCCATCTACCATCCACTCATCCATCATTTCACCTATTAATCCATCTGTTCACCCATCCTATTTTTCTGAGTGCCTTCAATGTGTGAGACACATCATATTTATTATTGACTTTAGAACCTCACCTCTATGTAATAGGTAACTCTGGGCCCTTTATTTCTAAAACCAACATGTACAGAAGCTTAACATTAAAAAAGACAGTAAACAACTTAGAATTTCCTATCCATCTTCCTCTAAAGGCTTTAAAAATTATATTAAATGTAAAATATGTCAAATGTGGATAGCTGCATATACATTTTCCTTTGTTTCCTGTTACTTTTTGCAAGTTCGTAAGTTCTTTAACTTTAGTGATCCTGTAGATTTCTGTTCAGAATTACTTTTTGAGATGAAAGGCATGAACAAGCTAAAGGTTTTCAAGGGTAGATCTTATCATTTTTGACCTCATCTTGATTTTAAGACAACTGAAATGTCTATTAGTTGATGAGTAGATAGACAAAATGTGGTATATCCACACTGTGGACTACTGTTTGGCCATGAAAAAGGAATGAAGTACTGCTATGTGCGGACGAATCCGGAAAACATGCTAAATAAAGTAAAGGAAGTTAGTTCCAAAAGACTAGGTATGATTCTATTCCTCTCCTGGAAATACCCAGGAGAGGCAAAATTATAGCAATAGAAAATAGATTAGTGGTTGCTAGGGCTGGGGGTGGGGTGGAAGGCCAGTGGAGTTATAGCTAAGAGGCCTGGTGTTTTATAACAGTTCTGCTTCTGGGATGTTCAATCAAAGGTGGATGACTCAAGTCAAGATCCAACAGTTAGATCGAGATACAAAAAAACCCCCCATATCTCTACTCTGTCCCAGAAGAAAAACAGGAATAGGCTTATGGACACAGCCTCCCCATCCAGATGTCCCTATGGCTCACGGATCTCAGTTTCCCCTTCTGTAGTCCACCTGTATTTGCAAGTAAGATGAAAAGTGTCAACTAAATGACAGTGGGTTGCATAGTTAGTCCCTTTTCTCTGGGGGCTGCAATGAGAATGCATTCCAGGGCTGAAGAAGGGACAGGCAGAGCTCGGTCCATAGTCACTGGTTTTTAGTATTTCCCAGGATGGTCAGTGGAGTCATGTTCCACATGTAGATCGAAGGTCACTGTCCACATATTCTCCTGCAGCCACAGACCTGGAATAATCCAGTAGGATGCTCTATCCTGATGGAAATGTTCTATGCTGCCCAAAATGGTAACCCAGGGCTACTTGTGACTACTGAGCATGTGAAATATGGCTTGTGCAGCCAGGAATGAAAGTCTTAATTCATGGACAATTTTGAATATTAGCTGAATCATTTTTAAAATTTAAGCATTTTATATTTATATACATAAGGAGAATTAATATAAAATCCAACTGAAAAGGTATAATTCAGTGTTTTTTAGGATATTTAAAGGTTGTGTAACCGCCACCACTAACCCATTTCAGAAAGTTTTCGTCATTCCTAAAGAAACTGAGTACCCATTAGCAGATATCCGTTTTTCATTCTCCTGAACCACAGGCAACCACAGATCTACTTTCTGTCTCTATACATTGGTCTGTTCTGGATGTTTCACAGAAATGGAGTCCTATGACAGGTGGTCTTCCGTGTCTGGCTCTGTCACTCAGAATTTTTCATCCACGTTGCAACATGTAGCAGCACTTCATTCCTTTTTACTGCTGAATAGTATTCCACTGTAGGCACATGCCACGTTTTATTTCTCCACTCACCACATTTAATTAGTTTACATTTCAATTTTAAATAGCCCAAATGTGGTTAGAGGCTCCTGTATTGGTCAGGGAGGATATCTCACAGAGGAATAAGCTTGCTGAGGAGACAAATTGGTAGACAAGGCAGACAAAAGCTGAGGCCCAGGTTGGGTCATGGCCCCCAGGGTTGGTTATTCAACTCTGTTGTGGGGTATTTATCTACCAGATGTGAGTGAGGGATGGGTTTCTCGCAGTCCCAAAATTTCAAGACTATAGTTATAGACCATATCCTTACCCATAATGCAGGAGGTTAGATTCTGGGTGGAAAATGTATGCTTTAAGAACACCCAAACTCATCTGGGTTGTTTAATTGTGTCCTGGCTGGTTACATGGGAGACTACCAGGAGTTCTCTCAAGTTTCCTCTATTTCTGATGGTTCAGTACTCCATTTTGGGGGGCAATGGTGGAAGGGCATTACTTCTCCTGTTCTCTGAGATCCTGGCAGGCAGTTACCTTGAAGACCTTCTTGGCCCAGGTCCTGAAAGCCTCTTCTTGCCCACAGAGCTCATCCCCCTCCCTCATCTTCAGGATCCTCTCTCCTCCCAGCTCTTCCAGGAGAGTGTCCACGGCATGTCCAAAGGCGCAGAAGTGAGGATATGCCCGTGAGCCAAGACCAAACACTGAGAACCTGATGAGGAAACAACAGAAGCTCCATGCCAGGGAACCATGGAGGTGGGGGTGGTGGTGTCATGGTGTCATGGACTGAATCACATCTTTTCCAAGTCTATAGGTTGAAGCCCTAACCCCCCAGTGTAAGTGGATTTGGAGATAGGGTCTTTAAGGTTAAATGAGGTCATAAAGGCAGGACCCTAGCTGGGTAGGACTGGGGTCTTTATAAGGAGGAGACTCCCTTTCCTACCTGTGCATGTGCATAGAGGACAGTGTGAGTACACAGTGAGAAGGTAGTCCTGTGCAAGCCAGGAAGACAGAAACAATCCCACTGGCACCCTGATCTTGGACCTCTAGCTTCCAGACCATGAGAAAAAAACATCTCTTTCAATGTCCCCAGTCTGTAGTATTTATGGCCAGCTGACAGGCTGATCCATCTGGTATCTCCAGAAGGACTGTATTTAGCCCATAGTAGTGAGGCTATCCCAAGCCCATATGTGGAGGGACATCCTTTAAACATATGCCCCCCCCCCCCAAGCCTTCTCTCCCTTCCTCCTGGTTCTCTACTAGGCATTACCATCTTAGTTGGAAATTCCCGATTGGCCCTAAGGGGATAAAAACCCAAGCCAGTTGACTGTTTCCTGTGCATCTCTAAGCTGGACTAACTACAGAAATGAGGCTGTTGCTGGAGGCTTCAATCCTACAAGGGACACAGCTAGATTAGTCTTAAGTACAAAGATAATGAAGACTGTAGCAGAGCAGTCCTTGGAGACCTGCATGAATGAATGAGATCAGGAGGACTTGTCTTTAGCACATTGAGGGCTGGTGTGTCAACAGGTTCATCTGAAAGGGGTGAAAGGTGGATAAACATGCTGGCTCTGCCCCCTGCCATGCCTGTGAAATTAATTTGCTTCACAAACCTTCTTTGCACAGATTTCCACCAAGAAAATGTGGGTACTTGAATCACTGGGGATCAGGTTAATGAGATTTTTCTCTTTTGAGGTGGGGAAGTGGAGGGCTGTGTTCCACATTGCCCTTCCTGCTAGTTTTCTGTCCTACTCTGTATTTTTTTAAAATTTATTTTATTTATTTATGCATACAAGAGGTGGGGTGTAGGCCAGAGATATGGAGGGCTATCAGAGGATTCACCAGAGACAGAGTGGGGAGCAGAACAGGCAGATACACTGAAATACACTGCTGAGGGGAGCAGCAGGTGAGACAGGAGAGATCTGCTGCGCCATGTGGGTCAGCTCCCTGGCTGGGGATCGAACTTGTGGTACAGTGGCTACTGATAGCTTGATAGTGCTGAGACTTAATTCCTTGCACCAGCAGGGAGGCCCCTCTGACCTACACTGCATGTCACACTGTCAGGGCTTGGTCCCGGCTCTAGGTCTTCACTCCATCTATTCTGGAGCAATGGGTTAACAGTTGGGACAAAAACACTCCATTCCCCCTTCTTCCCCAGGCCAGAATATTCTGCTGCAGACTCATCTCAGACAAGCCAGGGAGTGGAACTGTTTATCCTTGTCCACACAGGGTCTGACTCTGCTCCTGAGTCTCTTTTACAGGGGGAGGGGCCAAGATGGTGAACGCCTGAGATGGAGATGGGGAAAGCTGGGAAGTGGCTTTTCATCGCTGGAGAATGAACTTGAGATGGACCCAGGCATCTCGCAGTTCAAATGAAGGCCTAACAGATTAATATGTACACCTTTCAAACCCACATCCACGTGTCCTCATCTCTTCCTGCCTTCCTTTTCCTGAGGTTCTAAAGCCTTTCCAATGGAAGCATGTGGGCTCAGGCAGTGCATTCCCCACCACACCTTTACTCATGCTCTTCCTGGGGCTGGATACCTCACCTTTTCATCACAGGGCTGTGGGCCTGACAGGTAGATAGGTTGGGGTGCCAAGAAGGTGCCCTTCTGCCCCAAGCCATTCCTCTAAAACTTAGTCTCACATGAATTTGGAAGCTCCTAGTACTGGTAATGTCTTGTGGTTAAGGCATGTTCCCCAGACTGCCAATATTTGTCTGCCATATCTGATGACCATGGGTACTGTTATTTACTAAGAAGCTAATGAGCACTGTTTAACTTGTGTGTAATTTGTGTTAACTAACAGTTGGTTCGGGTGATTAATTCATTGACATGCTTCCCAAAGCACCTAAAATCTGTATTATGGTTACTTCCTAGCCTCACATTTCCATCAAAACCTTTACCTTAGGATTTAAAAATTCTGCTATGAAACCTACAAATGAGGAGCTGACAAATTTATTAGATATGAGGCCAGATAATAAATATTTTTAGCTTGTAGGCCAAGAAGGAAAATCAAAGGTAATACTAAGAAGAAATTATAATGGTTAAGAAATTATCAAAAAGCTATTATGAAGAAATAATACAAATCCCTGTACTTTTTTCCTGTTCTATTGACAAAATTAAAAATATGTTATTGTAGATGTTGAATATAATGTTTTTTAGTAATATATGTCTATAAGAAGAATGAAATTATTTTGAGGGGGTATAGCAATTTGCTTAATTGGAGTTCAGAGGTAAAGTTTTCTATCAGCAAATGAATTGCAAATTCATCTGAAAAAAACATTCTTAGCTCATGGCAGTGAAAATATTTAGTGGCCAGGCTGGATTTGGCCCATGGGTGATAGTTTGCCAATGCCTGCCCTAAGCCAGGAGAGAGTTAATTAGGGGGAAAAGACTTATCACACTACTGGGCTGATATTTCAACGTCAAGCTAAGAATATGGACTGATATCAAACTCCACAGAATGCACGCCATGCCGGTGACTCCTAATGCAAACTATAGTCACTTTGTGACAATAACATGTCAAATGAGGCCCAACAACTATAAAAGTGGACCACTGTGGTGAGGGATGTTGATCATGGAGGAGGGTGTGTGTGTGTGTGTATGTGTGTGTGTGTGTGAAGGAGTATATGGGAAATCTTAAACCTTGAAATTTGGCTGTTAACCTAAAACTGCTTTATAAAAATAAAGTCTATTAAAAAGTGTGCCCGTGGACCTAATACTTCAATAGGTAGGAATCCTGTGAGGTGTATTGCCCACTAAGCACAGCCCTGAGAAAATACAAAGAAGATTCAGTTAGTGAAGGGATTTGAGAGATCCATGGTCAGCCAGGTATACTCTGCTTATATCAGGCCTGTCTTGACCAACATCTGTGAGACCGAAGGTGTGAATCTAATTTTATCTGTTTCCAAACACCTATACACTGAATACACAATATCTGTCCATGTGTTACCTAAAACCATCTCAAGCTATGTTATTACACTTTGGAAAACATGGGGTCAGGCCAGCAGTTTGAGATTTGACTGGGAGTTGACAGGGAAGACTGAAAAAAAAAAATAAAAGCAATGCTTGGGCACACTTCTAGACCAGTTATATCAGAATCTCTGGTTGGGCTTTGCTGTCAGTATTTTGCAAATATTTCCAGTGATTCTGATGCACATCTAGGGTTGGGGACCACTGGGCCATGGCAGGGTGTCTCCAGAAGCTTCTATTTCATGGAAAACATATCACTTGGGAAGGAAGGCTCATTCAGTGATTTCAAGGGATTACTACCCTTCAGCACAAGTGAGGTGCTGCTGATGGGGTCAATGTGTATGAAACTGGGGTCTCGAACAGTGTATATAAGAAATGATCACAAGAAGGATCTGGGTAGTGTGTTCAATGGGAAGGAGGGGGTCCCCAGCCAGCCAAGGTTTAGCTGGCCATTCACAGGATGAATAGGCAGAGAAGGGTGAGCACCCCTAACAAAGAATCCCCTGAGTATAGTTCTCCAAGAGCCTTCGAGGTCTCTGATGCCCAGGACTCCTTGCTCACCTCACATTGGCCAGGGGGCCGGCACTCTCAAAGTTGTCTCTGAGGTCAGGTCCATCACCTGATGATTTTCGGGAGTCGGAATACGAGGAGACGCTATTGAACCGGACCTTGTAGCTCCTGCCCAAATGAAAGACAGTCGTGAGCTTTGGCTTGGCGGCCCCTCCTGTTCTCTGTAGGTCAACACCCTCTGGATCTTAATTACCACTCTAGGTCCCAGGACTTTGTCCTTCACATTGAGACCATAACCCTACCAAGGCCTCTTCTAGAATGGCTCATAGCTATCATGGTGATAGCGAGGTACTCTCTATACTTGGTACTGCCTGGATTTAAAAGATTTCTGATCACATGCAACTCAGGACATTTGAGACCTAGGCAGCCAAGATGATTTAATCAAGAAGGCAGAATACAACAAACCATTACACCGTGTTTCCCTCCCTAGTTTTGATGACATAAGAATCATCCCTGGATCTTGTTAAAATGCAGATTGAGATTCAAAAGCTGCTGGTCCCCAAACCTCACTTTGAGTAGCCAGGAACTAGACCTGTGCTGCCCACTGTGGTAGCGCTTGGCCATTTATTTATTTTCTTAAAGATTTATTTTATTTTTTTATGCATACAAGAGCTGGGGTGTATGCCAGAGGTGCAGGGGGTGAGAGGTTTCACCAGAGTGGGGAGCAGAACAGGCAGATACACTGAAATACACTGCTGAGGGGAGCAGCAGGTAAGACAGGAGAGGTCTGCTGCGCCATGTGGGTCAGCTCTCTGGCCAGGGATCGAACTTGTGCTGTAGACAGCTTGATAGTGCTGAGACTTAACCCCTTGTGCCACCAGGGAGGCCCGCCCTCGGCCATTTAAACAGAAAGTTAATTGTGCGAGCAACACATATAGCACACATTCAATAGCCAATGTGGTTTCCACACTGGATGGCACAGATAAAGAACTTTTATTTCATTAGGGAAATTTTTCTTGGCCAGTGCTGGACTATCCCATCCAAGACTCTCTTTTCATGAAATTGTGGTCCTCGGACAATTTTAGGGTCTGTCATATTTCACGAAAACATGAAAAATATTCAGCCCTGAACATGGCATGAAAAGATTGAATTTCTTATTAAATGGTTGTGAAAGGGAAGAAAGATGTCATGGGTCTTCAAACTTCATTAGAAACTCAGAGGCCTTGGGGTCTAAAAAAAAATCCAGTTTCCCAGATTTCTTCTAAAAGTGGTAAGCTTTGTTCTCAGATGAGACAAAACAACACATAAAATGAAACAAAACAAAAACTCCAAGGCTAAAAAAAAAAAAACAAAAAAACCCACCCCAAACAACAAATCCCAAACAAAAACCAAAACAAAACAAAAAACTCAACACACAAATTGGAGTGCAAAAGACAAAAAAAGAAATTGCGCATTCTGGCAGCAGGGTTTCTAAGCTGGATGTTCTTCAAAGTTTTCGCTCCAGCATCAGGAAAGTTCTAAATATATGTAAGTGTATTTTCTGTCCTAAAATAGTCTCACATTGAGTCACTTCTCCAAATAAGACATGCAGCATATCAGGGGGTGGCTGTGCTGTTAGTGGGGGTGGGACAGTGGATGGTTGTGGAGTAAAAATAGCAGCACATGGATTCCTAGGAGATTTGAGGTTTTTCCAGATGCTTCCCTCTTTGTTATTATCCTCTGATGTGCGCAACAGCTCCCAGAGGTGGTCAGGGCAGAGAGCGTTTCTCCCCATTTAGCAGATGAGAAAGACTGAGGTCCAGAGGGATCAAGTGCTGAAGGCTCTCGTGAGTTAGTGGCACAGCCCAGGTTAGAACTCAGGTGTCCTCGAGCGTGGACGTGGCCTTGGACAGTCCAGCCTCGGGCACACACACACACACACACACACACACACACGCACGTGCACTGCACAGCCACATGCAGATGTGTATGCACACACCAATATAGGGCACGCACACATGAACATGCACACACACATAGCACCAGTGCACACGCACACCCACACTCTACCTGTGCTGGCTGTCACGAACTGTAGCCAGACCAGGCACTCCTGTGTCACCTCGGGGGAGGGGAGGCCCTTTACGGGGAAAGAAACGCAAGCGTTCCGGGTACCTAGAGGGGAGAATTGATGGTGCCCTATCTCTCCCTGAAGGAGGGGTGAGGGGGATCCGCTGGAGGTCACCAGGATGGGATGAGAAGGGCAGGGAGAGCGAGGACTGAGATGCTGGCACGGGGCACAGGACAGGGCTGACCCCATCGATGCAGCTCTCCTTGGATATGGAACGTAGTGAGTTTGGCAACATGAGTTTGGCTAAAAGAAAACCAACAGGGCTTTCCTGCTTTTCTCCACAATGCAGCCTCTAAATACCAGCCAGTTCCGGCATCTGACACTCCACTTAAGGCACGGCTCGGCTCCATGTTGGTGGCAACGCTGCACTGGCCTCGTTGCGCAGGTGCTCAGTATGCACGTGCCGTATGTTCTACTTTCGCGGAGGATTTAAGGGCTTTTCAAGGGTAATTTTGATTACAGGTGTTTTCCACCTTAGGAGATATCTCTAAAAGCCATGTTAGAGGCGATTTTACCACATACATGCTTCTAGTACCGGTATTTTTCACCATATGAAGTCTTAGCTCTTGAACTCAACCTCCATGTTAGCTGCAACTCCACCACGAGTAGCAGATGGCGAAGTTCTAGGGAAGCAGCTCATTTCGCTGACTTTGAACGTAGGTTTCTCAAAGGGGGAGATCAGCAGAGCCGATTTACATAGCAGTTTTAACTCTTCGTGGGGCACTTACGTCTATTTTCTAGCTTGATTCTTACAGATTAGAAGGTTGGGTCAGGTATACTAACCCTATTTTGTAGAAAAAGAAACCAAGGCACAAGACTGTGAAGTGAGCAAGTCAAGACTTCCCAGTCACAGACCAAAACACCAGCCACCTACGAGGTAAAGTCCCCAAGTGGACTTGAGGTCCCAGTCACAAGCAGGAACTCAAATGTGAATCTCAGGTGCCAAGGACAGTTTTGAATTACCCCCGCCCCCAGAGTGCCATGGGACACTGGAGGGTCATACACTTACTTCCTTTCCTCATGCATGGAGTTGGGGTGTCTCATCTCCATCAGAGCACAGCCGAATTTCTGGGGGTGGAAATAGAGGAAAGGAATGAAGAGCGCGTGTTATTAACCCAGGATAGGGCAGGCCACCGGGGCCTGGGGGGTCTGGCTGGCAAAGAGAAGCCGGAGGCGAGGCCTGGGGGCGGGGCTGGGCAGCAATGCTTGAGCTGAGCATGGGCCTAGAAGGACAGCGGTCTAAAGGACTACAGGTGCGGACCGAACCATCCCAGCACCCCTTTGTGGGTTTCTGTCCATAAAAACATTGTCTCCTCTTGTCTCATCTGTACAGGGGACACCAAGTTCTTGACTGGAGCATCCATTCCAAAGGTTGGGGGGGGTCTCATTTTCCTCGGGGGCTAGCTGATTAGTGGACACTAATGTAACTTGCAACCGTCATTAAAGAACTTGGATCCTAATCTAAGTCACCGACTTTGAGACTCTGAGAGGATTTGCTGCTGAACAGCAGGTGTAACTGCACCCCTCCTTCCCGCTGCTGGGAACACTGGCCAGAACAAGTGGGGCTCATCTCACCTCCCCGTTCTCGGGGGGGTCTCCATTGCCAAAGGTGCTGGTAACCACTAGGACCAAAGTTTCATGTTCCAGGTGCACGATGTCATATTCTTCCATGGACATCACCTAGGTGGGAGAGGGTGAAGGGATAGTGGGGGCAGAGGAAGGAAGAGGGGTATCAGGGGAGGACAACAAGTGATGGGAGAAAGAAGGAGAAGAAAAGCCAGAGTCATCTCCTTTGGAGGAAGAACCAGTATTAGGGCTGCCTCTGTTCCAGCGGGCTCGGGTGGGCAGCACTAAAAGCTTTTTGGTAGTGTGGACCTTTCTATGGTCACTGAGATCTCAAGGACCCTAGAGAACTTGGGGTAATGGTCCAAAGGCTGGCTGCCGGTAGAGACATCTTGATTGAGACCCTTTGGGGTCTTATCATTCACCAATCCTGGAATCTTTTCCGTCATATTTAGGCTGGGAATGACTTGGCTAGGTCTGATCAAGTTGGCTCAGCTTCCTTTCTAATCCTCGAGCCGGCAGTGTGGGGACCTGGGCCACCTACTCCCGGGCCAACCGAGTCTGCGATATCAGGCTGAGAGGGGAAGACTGTTGCCCTCTAGCTTAGCATCACTAAGCTACATTTTTCAAAGTAGGTTCGAAGGAAGCTTGGTCTCCTAAGATGCTCTCTGGCATAAGTGAACCACGGACAAACAGGTTTGGGGAACATTTATATTCTATCCTCTCCTCTCTTGCAGATTAAGGCTCTGAGAAATCCAGCAGCAAAGAGACCCACTGAACTGTATTTAACGTGGCGTCATCCACTCGGATTCCAGAAAGGTGGTGTTTCATAAACCGTCTAACATGTTGCTCTTGAAAGGGGGGTTTCGTTTTGTGATTCCTGGAGGGTTCATGGAAGGAGGGCATCTTGGTCCCCTGAAATTTCTGCAAACATGAGTGTGTGCTGGTGCACCTCTTCAAACGTGCCTTCATCCATTCTCAGAGTTCTCTGTGGGCTTTCCTTTCTCCCCTTCCCAAATGTATTCACCATGAGCGGCTAGGGAGTTGGCACTGCCCCCTACTCACCTTGGCATCAAAGGCGTGTTTGAAGATTTCACACAAGGTTTTGGCATAGGCTTGTGACTTGCCTGTCTCTGTAGCATAAAGGATTGTAGCCTTGACCCTCTTGGCCATTGCCTGTCCCATCAGCTTGGCAGAAAACTTGACAGCTCTGGGGAGACAAAAATGGGAAATGTAGAAAAGAGAGAAGATGCTAATCTGGGACTTTGGGTCAAGAACCATGATCCATGAAATAAAACAGGAGGGAACTAACTTTCTTGATCTTTGATGGCTTCAGGCACACTCAAAGTTGACCCCTTGATTAAATTCCTCCAGAATAACCAGTCATGAGCTAAAGTGGTTGGTTAGCTTTTGACTTGATTGAGAACTTTGGTTTGCCAAGCACTGATTGACCCAAAAGGTGATTATTCATGTATTCATTCATTCGTTCATTCATGAAAGGTTTGTTGAACACATAACCGAACAGCTGATGAGCAGCACGGAACACAGTTATGGAGAAACAGCTGGCACAGGCTTACATTCATGTGTGTGTTTATGAGAGAGAGAGAGGGAGAGAACGAGGGAGAATATATATCACTAATAAATCTTCAGGTATTGAGTCAGAAGGTATTTTAGAGGTTTGGATATCCACAAAGGAGGGGCCAGATCTGACTTGGCAATGCAGACCCAGGGTCTTGCTTGATACTTAGTAGGCACTAAATAAGTACCTATCAAAAGGGGGCATGAATTTTAAAGAAGCAGCCACCAGTGACGCTCTGGGCCCCTTAAAAGTCAAGTCTGGGCTTTTCCTGGCTAAGCGGAGAATCAGAAGCAGTTGCTTCCTTTCAGTCTTAGTGTGGGGGTGGCAGGCCAGTGGCTCAGGAATGCCTGGGCTCCCCTTCTGAGCAAGCCCCCCTCTTCTAACTCAGAAGCTCAAGAAAAATTTCTAATTACCCCCACCTGGGGATTATTGGTGGTAAATTCATTTTTTAGAATCAGGGAAACCACCCACGCTACAGGAGAGCTGGAGCAAAAAGGGGAGAAACAGAAAGGAATAAAAGGTGCCTGAGGGTTCCCTTTGAATGATCCTGAGCATAAAAACGCATCTATAATTAACTCCCATTGTTTCTACCCCAAACGAAATAGTGCAATTAGTGTTTTAGATTTCTTCCTTCCTTCTTCCCCAGAGACAGGTGAACTGAGCTGAAGCCAAGGCTGCCCTCCTTGCAAATATCTGTGATGCTCTCAGCAGAGGCAGAATGGCTGCTGCTGTGGTCTTGTTTGGCTGGAAGATGGGGTTTGGTGGAGGGAGGGCGAGGCTGTGGGCCATGTGATTGGAGCCAGGCCCCAGGTTTGATTCCCTGGAAGTCCCACCAGTGTCCTGCTTGTGGGGTCCCTGACCTGGGTGACATTTGTTGCATAACTAGGCAGGCCCCATACATAGGGAGTTCTGGAACTAGAGGGGTGAGGAAGGAGAGTAATTAGTGTATACCTAGCTCCTTGGCCAGAGTTAGTTTCCAACTGGTCTCCAGGTGGATGCGTGGAGTCTCTTTAGAAGGTTGGCCTCCCCACTCCATCACCTCAGTTGGCCCCATCCCACTTGTCACTGGTCCCCTGATGGGCCATGTGGTCTTCAAGACAACTACTTTCCAGTAGCCTTGGCCATAAGCTCTTTCCTTTCTTTCCTTGCTCGGTTAATTCTTTGTCATCTCAGCTCAGCTGCCATTCTCCCGAGGAAGTCCTTTCTGTCCCCTCAACTCAGCTCAGTTGTGGCACGGGACACGGTGAGCCCTTCCTCCATGGCCCCTGTCACAGCTGTAGTCTTGACTGTATTTGTGCGATTCTTGGACAGATGAAGGGCTGTGAGCTTCACAAGGGCAGGGGCCACATTTGTCGGGCTCATCATGGCAACCCTGGAGCCTAACACAGTGCCTGGCACAGAGTAGACACTCAATATTCGTATGATGGCTGAATGAATGGATGAGCGAGGCGGTAGAATTAGGGTTCAGCTCTGGATCAGCACACTCTTTCAGCAGTGAGGTGCTGCAGCTGCTCATTCTAGCAACTCCCTGCTCTGGGTTCAGCGATTTCTCATTGATAGTTTGAAACTGGCCACAGTGAGAGAATTTATACCCTGGAAATTGCCCAATGTTGCCTATTTTATTATTATTACTATTACTGATAGTATTATTATGAGAAGAGCTGTTTTACCAACACTACACTCCCTCTAGAATGAAACTGAAACTGGGGCAAGGAGAGTGAGAAAGTGGGGTGCAGAAGGATGAGCGTGGCCTTCATATCCTAGACTATGAGGCCAAGAAAGCACAAGGGAGTCAGAGGACATGGAAAAACCACATCCTACCAGAGGTCAGAGGTGTAGCCCCTGTTCAGCTTCCTTATATGGGGCTCTATGAGTTTGGGGGCACAGCCATGCCTCTCACCCCCAACCTACTTACTCTGCCAGTTTCTTGAAGCCGATGGCTCGCCGCTTTGTGGGGGTCCCGTTAGTGCCTTTCCAGACGTGGGTGTTCCAGGGGTCAGGCTGGGAAGAGATAGGGTCACTGTAGTGAGGGAATATGGCTCTATTTGAGGATGCCTGGGACTCCCTAAGGGTTTGGGGAGCACTATTTGGGGCCTTCAGGTCATGCCCGCTCCCCCAGGCCCTTGAAGGGAGGGACTCTGTCGGTGGGGCCCACCGGTGATCTTGCACAGGGTAGCTGGTCCAGCCTCCCTGCTCTGGCCCTCAGGCTCTTTTAGTCAACTTGTGGCCCTGGCAACATATTTCATCCCCGTTAGTCTTTCAGCTAGACCTGTGCTGTCCCACGGTGGCCGCTGGCCACGCTGGCACATGAGCACTAGAGTGTGTGGCTGTCTGAGTGGAGAGCAGCTGCACACGTTGACAGCGGAGACGGAAGAAGCAGGGAGGGGGCAGAACCTGGTATTCGAAGGAGGGGGTGAGCCGGTAGTTGAGCATCTCCTGGTGGAAGACCGGGGTGATGCTGCCAGACATGGGGGGCACGATCCACACCCAGTCAGCGGGGCAGCCCCCCCGGCAGCGGAACTCGTTCTCCATGTGCTTAATGAAGGACTCGGTGGCCGAGTGGTGGTCCACGATGGTCACCTTGTCACTCTGTGGGACGAGAGGGGACAAGGCATCAGAGGGCCAGAGAAGATGCATAATTTGGGGGCTCCCTCCCCTCTACCACGCATTTGCCGTTTCTGCAGGAGATGATCGAGATTCTCAGCATTTCTCTCCCCTCCTTCTGCCTGTACACTGGAGTCTCCTGCAGCGCATCTTCACTACTCTCTTGCCCATCCCCTCTTTTCTTTCTCCCCTCCTTGAAAAAACTCAAAACTTGAGGAAAAGTCTGAATTCATAAGGAAACAGAAATAACCGCATGAACTGAGAGCATGGGCCTATGGGGCAGCCCGCTCCTCACAGATACAAAAATACACCGTGAATTTTCTAATGAAAAGAAATACACACTGAATGAAGAACACGCTGAAGACAAGGCACAGGCGGAGGAAGTTTCCCACCATCCGTCACGGAGACGCCAACGTCACCGCTGGGCCACGCACGTGCCCCCAGGGAACCATCTTTGCCACCGTTCTTCCTCCCCTTTTCTCTCTGCCTTTCTTTTAAAAATTTCTGTTAATTTCTTGTTTTTACAAAAAGAGGACTGATCACACCAAGCAAGCTGTTTGAGAAATTGTTTCGCGATACGGCAAGAGAGCGAAAGACCTCTGACTCCATTTCTTTGTCACTGGGCTTTTTTTTCCCTTCAAATGAGTGAGGGCCCTCGGCAGCTTCGAGCTCCAACAACTTTGCTTTGTCTCATTAATTTCTCTTTATTACAGTTATCTTCCAAGGATGGCATTGAGACGACTCTCCATTTATGGTGGGGATCAAAATCCTTTTCAAGTAAAAATGTTTAGGTGATGAAGAGGAGTCTATGAAAATCAGAAGAAGGAACTCATAGTGGGGGTGGGGACGGGCTGACCCTCACTGGGCTTGGCTGGTTTAGACTCATACTCGAGGTAAGCAGCACTTGCCCTCTCTGCCCCCAGATGGTGCCCCTGCCAGCACATTTCTTTTTCTACCGCTCATCACCCACATTTCCACCATCTCTGGCTAGCTGGCACTGGCAGCAGCCCATCAGGCCACCAAGCCACTCTGCGTCCTTTTCACTCCTCCATGGTCCAGAGAGGAGAAGGCCTCCGTGCCCCCTGCCCTTCTCAACTTGTCTGTTCGCTGGGATTTTCCTCAGTGTACCTGCTCCCCTTGTCCCTGACATGTGGCCTGAGGTTCACAGCCTCGTCTATCCAGGATGGACAGGTCCATTCTACCGCTTGTGTGGGCCTTGCCTGTGTATCCATGTGGACAGAGCTTCCCAGACCGCCAGCCTGCTGCAGGCCGAGCTGGTCTCTAGCATAGATTTGCCTCTAGTCTATAATTTTCCTGGTTTGTCCAGAGAATCTGGGCTGATGCCCATCATCCTGGCATGATTATTAGCAGTGCCCCCTTTTGCCTGCAGAAATGTCCTGGTTTAGATGATCAGCTTTACAGCTATCCTTTTATATTATTTATCACTGAGCCACATGCACTGAGGGGCCGATAGGTTTCTGATTGGATGCTGAGTATTCGTCTTTGTTCCTTAATAGTCTGAGTTGCTAACAAAGGGCAAGACACAGAAGATGCCTCCACTTCAATTCTAACATGTCATTAAGTAAGAAGACACAAAGCCCTTATCTGTTCATCTCTTCCCAAAACAGCCTCTACCCTAGATCTACAATGGAGAAGACAGCATGTATGATGGGGAGCAGGCCTTGTTGGTAGAGACGCCCCCACACCCCCCAACCACCTGTATCAGAGGTGGTTCCTCGTAGCTAGTGCCGTTGATCCTCTACTTCCATACTCTAAAGTTTTAGTTCTCATCTGAGGCTTGACAGTTGAATGCGTGCCCTGGGCTACCTGGAAGCTGTAGAGAACAGCAATGTTGATCTCCACCAGCGCCTGGTCCTTCCACAGGGAAGAGGTCTTCCTCATGTCCAAGTTCATCTTCTTGGCCACTTCCTGAAAAGGATAGAACACATAGATTCACAGGCAGTGACAAATATAGGATTTTAGGTCAAAGAGGGTCAGGGCTGGTGTCATCCATGAATTTCTTAACTAAGCAACTCATTTATTGATTAACTCACTCTATCTGAAGGCTTCTTTTATCTTTTTTTCCAACGAGGACCTACTGGCAACAGGAAATTAGAGTGACTTCTGGCCCTTTTAGTATTGCGCTTACCTTCTAGTGGGAGAGAGAGACAAGATTGTGATGAGCACTAATACCTAACAAGAAAAAAGACAAAGAAATGGGACGAAGAGGGATATGGGAACAGGATTTAATTCATCCAGGAGATGCAGGGAAGGCCCTCTGTGGAGGTGGCACACTGGGTGAGACCTAAAGTGTGAGAAGAAAAGGCATTTGCAGACCAAGGGGAAGGGGGCTGTTCAGGCACAGGCAGCATGTGCAAAGGCCCTGTGGTGGGATCAGTCTTGTGCAGTATGAGTAACAGAGCAGAGCTCAGGGTATATGGAGGGGAAAGAGCCACGGGAGCTGGCGGGAGAGAGGTGGGGCTGAGTCATGCAGGATCTTAAAGGACATGCCAAGGAGTCAGGAGTTTATTCCAAATGGGATGGGGTATCTCTGGAGGGTGTTAAGCAGTGGTCTGGGTTTTTGAGTATGCCATGATCTGCTTTCTAGTAGGAAAAGCTCCCTAAATCCTGCTCTAGTGACCTGCAGTGGCCACTACTTGGAATCTACAGCATGGTGCTTGGAGCTCATGGGGACATCTGCCTGACTCCATCTGCCAGGTGAGGACACTGAGGTTCAGAGAGGTGCAAGGACTTGTTCCAGGTACACAACCACTTGGCCTTGGGGTTGGTGCCCAGGGAAATGCAGGATGCCTGAGACCTGGGTGCAGCTCGCCAGCCAGCCAACTCCTTTTGCAAAATGACTTGGAAAAAAACAACTCCTGACATTTATGTTGCAGTTCAAGCTGAAGCAGAAGCTGATGTCAGGAGTAGGGAAGACCCAATAGCAAATTCATTAATTAGAGCCTTGCTTTCCACTTCCTCTGTCAATGCTAGTCACTTGCGGGAACTCAGGTCTCATTATGGAGCTGGAAAGCTCAATGTCTTAGGTTTGGGTAAATCGCTTCCCACCCCCAGCTGTCAACATTTGTACATAATGGCAGTTGGCATTGCAGGGCTGGGGCGGCAGGAGCTCATCTAAGCTACCCAGTGATGACTTTTTGCAATTGAAATGTAAGCAGAGATCATGAGAACAGGCTTATTAATTCACTCTTTGAGGCTGAAATGTTAGGTTCTGCTTGGGGTCTTTTAGCAATGACATATACACTGGAAGTAAGATATTTGCTGCTTTACATAAATTCATATAAAACGAGTTATTTCACACACAAATGAAAGTTTATAGCCAGTCACACTGCTATTGTTCCTTCTACAGTGTACTTATGGTTAAAAGAACAGAAATTCATTGCAGAATAAAAAATCCTCAAAGGCAACTTCAGTCACATCTCTAGAAGTGGACTAAGATGATTTTTCCATCAGTAGGTGCCCAGAAGAATATTCTGGGAGCCTTAAAACATGTTGATGGCTAGGTCCTATTCTGGAGCAATTACATCTGAGTTCTGGGGAAGGGGACCAGGGCATCGTTTCCCCTGAGCAGCCAGGCTCAGGACTCCTGGACATAAAAAAAAAAAATGGAGCTGTAATTTACACATAATACTGTTTAATGTATACTGTGTGTTCGTTTGGTACATTGATATGTTGTAAAATGATTACGGCTTCTGTCATACCATAGAATTCTTTCATTTTGTGATGTGAACAATTACAGTCTAGTCCTTTAGCCACTTTGGAATTTAGAATACAATACAACAGATTTCATATGTGAAAGAGATCATCCGGTATTTGCTTTCCTCTGCCTGATTCATCTCACCGGGCACAATGTCTTCGAGGCCCATCCATGTGAACACTGTGGAATTTAACTACATAAGCTCAGTGCTTGGTGCTGCTTCTAATCTTGACTCTGTCCCTAATGTACTGTGTGACACAGGCTCAGAGTTTAATGTCTGTTTCTCAGTGCCTTCTTTTCAAACAAGGGCCTGTCGCAGCAGGCTGTTGTTCAGAACATTTGCTGACAAAACCACAGCCGGGCTGGTGCTTCCACCAAAGTTGTGCTCTGGGAGGCACTTTGCCCCAGCACTCTGCTAGATGAGGGTGACGCAGCCAGCGGGGAACTAGAACAGACTCTTAGGGGCCTCTGCCTTGTTCTCTCCCTGGCTTTTCAGAAAAGATACCAAAAAATGTTTCAAGTTCATGGGTCATTCTTATTTTTTTTTAAAAGATTTATTTATGCATGCAAGAGCTGGGGTATAGGCCAGAGGTGTGGGGGGTGAGAGGATTCACCAGAGACAGAACGGGGAGCAGAACAGGCAGACTGACTGAAATACACTGCTAAGGGGAGCAGCAGGCGAGACAGGAGAGGTCTGCTGTGCCATGTGGGTCACCTTCCTGGCTGGGGATCAAACTTGTGCTGCAGTGGCTGCAGACTGCTTCAAAGTGCTGTGACTTAACCCCTTGCACCACCAGGAAGGACCCTCATAGGTCATTCTTAAACCCCTCTAACAAGATTTGGCACTCAGAGGTGATGTGCACAGGGGTATATAAACTTGGACCATGGTGAAATAATAGAAAATATATAATTGGCCTCTGCCCCCGGTTCATGACAGGACTTCTGAAACCCTTATAAATTCCTAAGTGATAAGAGCACTAGGAACATGTTGTTTAAATGAGGTGATGCGGATGGGCTTCTGGATCGCCCTGGATGGGGGCTGGTCACCTGAAAGACAGAGTCATGACTAAAAATTTGGAATTTTCAGCCCTGCCCCGGTGCTCTAGGAGGGAAAGGGGCTGGAAATGGAGTTAATAATTGATCATGCCTGTGCGAGGAAGTCTTCGTAAGATCTCAATAGTACAGGCTCAGGGGGTTTCCAGGTTGGTGAACAGATTCACATACCAGGAGAGTGATGCACCCCAACTCCACAGGGTCAGAAGCTGCTGACTCTAGACCTCGGCTCACATAACTCTTCATTGGCAGATCCTTTATCATATCCTTGAGCACTGGTGAGTGTAAGTAAGGGTTACCCTGAGTCCTCTGAGGCATTTTAGCAAACTGATGGAACCTTTGGAGGGGGTTGTGGGACCCTCTGATTTGTAGTCAGATTGAACAGAAATTGTGGGAACCCAGGGACTTAGTGCTTGTGACTGACACCTGAAGTAGGAGCAGCCTTGAGGGTCTGAGGTCTCGAGCTGTGGTGTCTGAAACTCTTCAGGTAGATGGTGTCAGAATTGGGTTCCTTAGTAGGACACTTAGCTGATGTCATGGAATTGCCTGGCGTGGGGGAAACCCCACACACATTTGGTGACCGGAAGTGTGAGAAGTCCAGTATCTGTGTGTGTTCTGTGTCAAAATAAAGGGGACACCACGGGGAGACAACTGAATTTTCCTTTTTCAACCATAAAATCAGACTGGTTGCTTTCCAGCCCTGCCTCTCTCTAGCTGCGCGGCCTCTAGTTGATTACCCCTCCAAAAGAACTCAGTTTCCTCATCATACCCAGAGGTTATGGTGAGGACTCAGTGAGCATGTAATATACAAAAAGTGCTTTGGACAGTGCCTGGCACAGAGCACCTGCACTGCTTATGCCAAGGATGCCTCTGAAATTGCCAGGAGCTTCTCCGGGATGACAGGTTCTGTACTAACTCCACTGGTTTCCTTTAGAGTTCAGCATCCATCCCCTCTGCTTTGAGCTTCGTGGTTGTGTGAGCAGGGAGGGACCTCACCTCCAGGATGTTGTATCTCGAGTTGTCACAGTAGTCTCGGACGCCGATCTCTGTGCCCATGTACCATCCGCTGAAGGGACAGGCACTGAACTCTAGGCCGCCGATCTCCAGGAGCATGTTGGACACAGCAGGGAGGCCATACCACTTCAGCCCCAGGTCCTTGAACCACTCAAACCTGTGGAGACCAACACAGCTCAGCTTCCCATGGACAGGAATCTCACAGGCGACACTGGGTGGGATAGCCCCAGTCTGGGGGTGCTGCAACTCCTGGGCCAGCAACCGATGGGATCACCTACGTCAGGACCTGACTCCTGGAGTCAGCTACAGAGCTGTGGAATCAAGTTCCCCAGCTGGGACCTGAGAATATGCATTCTAACACACTTCCCAGGTCATTTGGATGGCCGCCAGGGCCTGGGAACCACGCCTTGGGCAGCTGTTTATCTTTCTGTTTGTTTTTTTTAATTTATTTTTTAAGTTTTATAAAATTACAATTTTATTTTTTTTTATCTTTCAACCCCATGCTGCAAGGACTCCTGGAGAAAAGTGAGTCCACTGAGTTCCTTCCTATCCCAGAGCCTTCGTATGGGCAGGTCCTACCTCCAGAGACCCCCTCCCTTCCTTCGGAGCCTGCCCAGCTCTTACCCATACTTTAATTCTCAGCTAAAATGTTCTTTACTCTGGGAAGCCTTCCCCGGTGTCCCCCAGTCTGGGTTGGGTCAGGAGACTCCATGCCTTTAGCAGACCATATAATTTGCTTGTGCGATAATTTCTTTGTTGGAAGTGAGTGGTTATTATGGTAATTGGATGTGTAAAGTTTTCTCCTTGAGATGGAAAGTACCATGGAGACAGGGACCAAGTCAGCCCCCAGAGCTAGCACAGTGCCTTGCAGGGCTGGGAGTGGGAACAATGAACCCTGCTGAATGGGCCAATGGATGAATGAATTCTTCAGGGAGACTGGGCAAGTTCCCAGCTCATACACAGGGTCAGAGCCTCGGGGTATTTGTTCTCTCACCAGGGCAGGGGCTAGGGTGAGGTTAGTAAGGCACTACTAGCCTTGGGTAAAAAATTTAAGGGGGCACCAACAAACCCAGGAATCAATACTATTATTTAAACATGCAATATTCAAAATTTAAAATAAAGGCAATGTTTTAAAAAAATTCAAAATGAATGCAAAAAAAAATCTATATTAAGCAAAATGCTAGAACTTTAAATAAAGACAGGATTTCATGCTGCGCACGCATGACTCACCTTCCTGGCCTCGCCTTAACCTGGATCCTGTTTTAATTTAAAATTTTGACATATTGGGCATCTCAAATTAAAAGAAAAATTCTTGATTTTTTTTTTAATAAGCTGCATTCAAATATTATATATTTTAATTATTGGGTTTTCTCCCAATTTTGCTCCTGAGGCCAGTCTCACTGGCCTTCACTGTGGCCTTCCTTCACTCTCAAAGTGCAGGTTCTGCTGGTACCTCTGGCTCCAGTCCTCGAAGCTCCTTTCTATTGGGTTATCGGAAAAGTTATGGCATAGTTTTTCAAGGAAAAATGCATTATGACTTTTCCCACAATCCAATAGCTCTATGTTTCTTATAGACTTGACACACACAGCCCCATGTAGAGCTAAAACAGCTCCCTCCATTTGAAGGAACAAGACAGAAGGTGATTCTTGTTCCTGCAGCCTGTAGGGCAGGAATAAGAGCAAATTTTGGTTGGTTGCTTAGGAATGGGGTGAGCAGAGAGATTAAGGTTCATATGAAACAGGACTTACCAAATCTTGGGTTTTCTACTCTGCTCAGATCCCACTGTGGGGACAGGAACCAAAACCCCTTCCAGCCTTTGTCTGAGCTGGAGATGGAGCTGAGAGGCATGGGGATAGGCAGAGGGGCACTGGGTAAATCCACCAGCCTGCACCCACCCCGTACCAGCCCTTCTTACTTGGGGTGTCTGATGGGCACTTCCAACACCAGCTCTGGAGGAATCTGGAAGAGCTCAGGGTCATTGCCATTGGCCTGGAGCAGGAGTGGCAGGACATCAAAGCGGCCTCTCGGGGGTTTCCAGCCCTGCTGCATACAGATCTGCAACCAAACGCCGCCAGATCAGACCACTGTGCCCCCAATTCTCCCAACATGACAGCAATGGAACAGAGATTTAGAGGCAAGCCCACCAGCAGCCCCTTCCTCCAGGGGTTCTGGACAATGTCACCTCTTTCATAGGTGCTCCTGGGCGTCGCTGCGTAGGTAGCATAATCTCTTGTGGTCCCACCGGACAGAGGGCAAAGCTGTAGTTCCAGCCCCAGTGGGAATCCAGAGGGCCAGGGCTGGGCCTGGTTTGTAGCTGCCATGCTCTATGCACAGGGCCTGGCACAGGGTGGGGTACACGGAGGGTGCTGGCCCCTAATTGTGTGCACTGCTGCTTTGAGATACAAAGCTAATCTACCAATTTGGTAAGGGTAGAGTTATCCAATGCACTGGTTAAAGTAGCTGTCCAGTCAAAATATAATGCAAGCCAAATAGTAATTAAAACTCTCTAATAGACACATTTTAAACAGTAAAAAAGTAAAGTTTTTAAAAAGTTAAAAAAACCCACCCCCCAAAAACAGGTGAAAATAATTTAAATAATATATTCCTTTTAATTTATACATATTTTAACTTCAATTATATTTAATTATTAAATAAGTATTAATTAAATTGCAATATATTAATTATATTAATGTTAATACTATTAAATAAGGTATTAATATTGACATATTTTAATAACATATTTGACATTACATTTAAATATGTGATATATTTATTAAGCCAATAAATACATCAAATATATAACATGTGATTAAAATGATTAAACATCACCACTAATTTATTAATAATCATTAAACAAATTATTACTATTAAAAGATATTTAACATAAATAAACATAAATAAAATGTACTTATTAACCCAATAAATGCATTCCTAATAAATATAACAGATTAGCCAAATACTATTGTCAGTATTATTATTTCAATAGGTAATCAAGATAAAAATTATTAATGAGATATTAATTTCCGCTCTCTTTTTGGTGCTCAGTCTACAAGATGTGGTGTGTGCTTTATATCCGAGGCATGGCTCAGTTTGGGCTCCCCACATTTCAAGTGCCCCATAGCCTAGCACAGCTGCCAGGTAGACAGCACAGGATGAGGGGTTCATGAGAACCTGCTGCGTGGTTGTGTTTGGGGTGATTCTTTCTGTGGTGTTGGCAGAAAGAGGAAGTGTGAAATCAAGGACTTAGGAGAATGTGTTCTGTCATGAACCTGTTCTAGAGACAGAAAGAGAGAAGAATCATGGGTACATGTTCTGGGAGCCCCGAGGACAAGGTCAGCCAAGTATACAGTTAGCGCTCAGCCAAGTGGAGCAGAGACTTGGCTGAGTCTACCCCCACACAGGTGCGGCTCCTGGTTGCCCTGGTGACAGCCCCCTCCTCAGGATAATAGCATTTTAAGAAGGAAAGCCACATGCAAATGAAATCAGAGCTGGAAGAAGAGGAGCAGCCGGGCCAGCCAATTCTGTCTTGGGAGGTAAGGGGGGAGCTGGAGGAAAGGACAAAGATGAACTTCAACTGAGATGAGTGGGTAATAAATAAAGGGTGCCAGGCCTGTGTGCTTGAGATCACGGTGCCTGAGGTCTGCTCTGGTGTCTTCTATGGGCAAGGTCGCTGTAAGCGACAAGCCTTGCCTGGGCAACGTTGCCACATCACCAGCTGGAGGGAGTCCAGGATAGGGAGAAGGTGGATTCTTGTGTCTAGCAGCTTTTCGGAATGGATTTGGGCTGCCAGCAGTTTGGTGGTGCTGACACCATGGAGTCAAGCCCACCCAGCGAGGGGTGGAGTGGGTAGGGCTGTTGTATAAACAAATGGATGAATGAGTGATAGGAGTCTGACATATTACCCAACTCAGAAAAAGTGGGTGCCAGACACGCTTCCATATGTCAGCTCCTTTCCTCCTGGTGGGAGGCAGGAGATTTGGACTGTGCATCTAACTTTCCTTATGCTCATTTAATAGCTGTGAACAACTCATTTAGCCTCGAGGAGACTCAGTCTGCCAGTCTGTGAAATGGGACAAACTGATAAAGTTCCAGTGAGGTAATGGCATGAATATGATCAAATGACCAGTTGTCCAAGAACCAGTGGTATGTGGGTGGCGGTGGGGGTGGCAGGTAACCGAATGGGCCAGGGGTCTGGAGATGGTTACCCTGCACCCCACTAGCAGCCGGCTTTATGATGAAAACAGTAAATGAGAAAAGTCTGTGGATAAAGACGGGAGGGGGGTGGAGAGTCCAGGTGGGGTGGTGGGGGCACGCACCTCTGTGAACTCCACACTGGCTGGGTCTCCCAGGATGGAACTGTCCGGCTGCTTGTAGCCGGCATAGCGGATGAGCTGGGAGTTCCAGACGCGGAAGTCATGCTTGCCATCGGTCCTCTGGGGAAATATGGTGATGGCTGACCTGCGGGGAGCGAGGGGACAGCAGGGGTCAGGGCCGGGCTGGCACTGTGGGGCCACACTGCAAAAGGCACTGCCCAGGCCAGCCGCTGTGTGAAGCTTAGGCAGATGACATTTGTGCTAAGGTCCCCAGATGTTTGGGGTGGTGGATGTGTGTGTGTGTGTGAGGATTCACCAGAGACAGAATGGGGAGCAGAACAGACAGACTGAAATACGCTGCTGAGGGGAGCAGCAGCGGGCAAGTCAGGAGAGGTCTGCTGTGCCAAATGTGGGTCAGCTCCCTGGCTGGGGACTGAACTCAGGCCACACCGGTGATAGCGCTGAGACTTAACCCCTAGGCCACTGGGAAGGCCCTCAATGCAGGTATGTATTTTAAAATTTTTATTTATTTTTTAATTGTATTTTTTAAATTGAGGTAACATTGGTTGTCAACACTGTGTATGATCTAGGGGACTAGGTTCGCACCTCCTCAGACGAATGCTACCACACCACGACCACCACCAAAGTCCCCATAACCTTCCACCAGAGTCCAGCGGGCTCCTCCCTTCCTTGCGCCCCTCCCCATCTGCCTTCCAGGAGCTTCAGTCCTACAGGCAGATTTCTAGGGTTTATTTTGGTTTAGTTTCATCTGTTCCTTTGTTTCCTCTTTATATCCCACATATGCGTGACGTCATTCGGCTTTGGTCTTTTCTCTTCTGATATATTTCACTTAGCATCATGCCCTCCAATTTGTTGTAAATGGCAAAATTTCATCTTTTTTTTTTTTTTTTTTAAATAGCCGAGTAGTATTCCATTGCGCAATGTACCACGTCTTCTTGAGCTCCTCATCTATCGGCGGGCACTGAGGTTGCTTCCATCACTTGGCCATTGAACAGCACCACGGTGAACACAGGCACACCCACCTCCCTTTCAGGGGGTGCTGTTGTATTCTCTGGATAGGTATCTAGGAGAGGGGTCACTGGATCACGTGGTAGATCTATGTTTAATAGCTTGAGTAACCTTCTACCTGAAGGCTTTGAACCATGTCCTCTTGGGCCAGTTTTCCAGGCACTTCTGATGAAACAGGCACCTCCCGGGAAAGAGCCTCGGACTCCAGTTCCCTTTAAGAATGACCCACAGATTCCAGGTTCCAGCCTCTTTCCTACCGCCAGCATTCTTTCTTGCCCGGTGTGCCCACCCCGTCCCACACCAAAGTCTAGAGCCAGCCTCAAAAGAAACCCATTTCCATTTGTGCCCACATTGCCTTACTCTGACAGACAGGTTGCCACTGGGCTCGCCTACCCAAACAAGCAGCTGCTATTATATTGTAGAAAGAGTCCTGCTCGCTCCTTATTAAAAGGGAGATTAGCAAGTATAGAGAGGAGTTAAGGACATCTTAGCACCAAACCTAGGCTTTCTCTTGGGCATCAGCAGAAGGATGAGTTCAAAAACTGAGAGGAAAAAAACTTTTTCACCATGTAATTCAACACTATGTGGGGCCAGGATCTCCTGCCACCTGGAGTCATGGGTCTCATCAGGGCATCAAACCCCAGGCAACAGACAACACCGGCCTGGCTGAGTCAGCCTGGGGCGCCGCACGCACGCACGCACGCACGCACGCGCGCCCCTGTATCTTTGCTCCTGCTGTTCCCCACCCCCATGTCTAGAATCCTGCCCTGCTGTCAGGCACCCAAAGTCCAGGTCTGGCTCCAATTCACTTTCTCCACACAGTATCCCCTGTCTCATCTAATGCCGGGGCCACCTTCTTTGTTAGCACATTTAGGTCTGTCTGTAAAAGACAATATTTAATATTCAGGGGTGGTGTGTGGCACTTGTGAGTGAGTCTAGAGCCCAGGCCAAAGGCAGATGTCACAGAGGATCAAAGATGTTTTTAAATATCTTGGATCAAGGTGAACAGAGTGAGGCAAACTGTCACTTTTCCCTTCAGCAAAGAAACATTGGTGTTCCTTTGTTTGAGCACCTGATGGGGGGGGGGCGGTGGGGTGCGTGTGTGTGTGTGTGTGTGTGTGTGTGTGTGTGTTTAAAAAGGTTTAGAAACACCAGAATCACACACAGTGGGTGGGTGCTTACCGTGTGTGCCTACACCGAGACCAACATAAGAAATAGATGCCATTTACATCTCCTCAGCATAATCTCTGTGTCGGCGACTCGGACGCCCTGCCCTGTTTAAATGCCATCTCTTTCCCCTCCCTTCTCCCCAGCCAGACTTCCTCTCATATTTGGAATATTTCTATGCATGCTTTATGTTCTTTTATAGCCTTCTCATCAGTTCCAGACATGTGGTTTAAAACTCGTAAAGATAAGAATTGAATAAATTTTTAATATACAATCTCATGCAGACATTCTCCCCCTAGAAAATGTGGAGGTGCACTGCCTGGCCATTGGTGACACTCCCTGCTATTGACATAGCATCATTTGAAAAGCACCAGCATGGCCCCCGTGCTCTGGAGGGCAAAGGCTTTGAGCAGGCCCTCCTCCAACTAAAGCTTAGGACACGCAGGAACTTGTAGGAACATTGTAAGATGTTCTCTGAGGGGTGAGGTCTTTTACAAGAAGACTCAAAATACCACCTTTCCTAGCAGGCCCTGGATTACAGGCCCTCTTCCTACTGGGAGGCTTAGCTGGCAAACACCACTTTCTCCTTAAGGAGGGAATGCAAGCACGAAAACTCAGGCTTAGTGCGAACAAGCCACTTTGAGGAGCTCAATGCAGCCTGGGGGCTTGTGGGAATATCCCTGCAGTGGCCCCATGCAGCCCCAAGATGGGGCTGGTCCTCAGCAGCTGGGAACAGATGCCTGGCCAGGACTGAGTGAGTGGGATTAACAAGTGTCACTTCTGTCTTCGGGTCCCAGCTGCTCCCCTCCCAGCTTCTCCTTGCCAGTACAGAAACCACAGAGCCCACATGGGAGCTTTTGGTGGTGTCCTGCTCCCTGTGGTTTTGTTCTTCATCCAGGGCAAAGGAGTCTGAGGTGTGGCTAGGCTTGGTGGCATCTGAAGGAGCAGTCTCCATAGCGGTGGGAGGAGACATTGCCCTTTAAACTGAGGGAGATTTTGGGGTGGCTCCATGCAACACAATAGGAGCAGGTCAAATCAGGTGGACACTGACAAGGTGATTTTCCCATTCTGGGGAGCCTGAAACACCCCTTTCCGCCCCTCTCTGGATGGTAGTGAAGAGGTGGAAGTGATTTTGGTTGCTGTTGTTTTGCAAACCACATGGGAGTCTGTTTCTCCCAGTGCGGGCACATGGTGGAGGAACAAGAAGCCAGGCCACCTCTGGAGGCAGGGGTGGGTGGGGGGGCGCACCTTCCTGAGGGGGAGGGGTTGTTTCCCTGGTAGGTGAGCCAACTCCAGACCTAAAGTCAGCACGGTTGGGACAGCAGAACCCCCTCCCCACAGAACTCACCTGAGGTTCCCTTTGTTGGTGGCGTACTTGATGTGGTTGCAGATGTAGTTGAACATCCCATGAGCCGTGGTGCAGTCACGGGCATCGAACACCTGAAAAAGTGGCCAGCATGCTTCCTCCTCCCCCCTCAGCACCCCAGTGCATCCTGCCCTTTGGAGGGGAGCCCACAGCCCGCTCCAGCCACTGCCCCCTTGGGGCAGTGAACACTTTGTCGCTGAGCCTTCCGTTGGGTTTTCTATTCTGATAACCACAGTCGATAAAATGAGGAAAAATCTCCCAAAAGTAGAGGGTAAGTGAATGTGGGACATGAACGGTCAGTAAAGGAAGGAATTTTTAAGGGGCTGAATGTATTTTCTATTAGGTTACCAGAGGGCCTGGGATTTAAAAACAAAACAAACAACCCTACTCTCTTTCAGTTTGATAACAAATCTGCTTCCACCTTGAAACTGCTGCCCAGAGAGAAAAATCACACCAGGGAACATAGAATCTAATGCTTTCAGGGAGTAGGCAGATAATAAAAACAGCAAATAGAGTGAATGTAAGACAAAAGGGAGTGGTGGGGGTTGTGGTAAACTGGAATGTACCAGCCCTACCAAGAGACATATAAGTTCATTTCTAAAACACACTGTGTTGGTGGTTGGCATGATAAAACATGGTTATAGGCTGGATTCGACCATGATCCAAAAATTTGGAACCACACAATACCACCTGATAGGTCACCATGGTTATCAGGTACCCCTTGGTTTTTAAAAAGTTTTTAAAGTTCCATGCACCCTTTCTCCCCCTAACTCCCACCAAAGGGCTCTTCAAGGCATCTCAGCCTCATGGCCTACCTGGAGCTTAGACCACTGGATCCTGCCGACGCAGCGGGAGGCATTCCGCCAGGCGTGCTTGGCCCCATAGATGAGCTCTGTGTCCTTGAGCTGATAGGTGCTGTTGGTTTCGATCTCTTTGTTCACCTCTTCCAGTCTTTCCATGTGGGCTTTGGAGCCAAATCTGAGTGAGAAGAGAAAAAGATCAGAGCTTCACCTTCTCTCCTGAATTAGAGGCTGGTGGAAGGTATGAGATGTTACAGGTGGCCAGAAGCACAGAAACTCTGAGCACACTGGACACAATAGTTGAAACAGAAAGGATAGACTGCAAACTTGATTGCCAACCACCAGGGCACATGTAATCAAACTGGCTGGGTGGGGACTGTGGCTAACAGGCCAGCTCATGCCTGGTGCTGAGGGGAAGCAGCATTCTGTTCCAGCCAGTAGCTATCCTACAGGAATGGGGGCTTAGTGCTGTCAGTGATTCTTTCACGATAAACTGGAAATATAACATTTGAAGGAAACTCTTCTAATTTTTAAATGTTGGCAATGAATTCAATTTTAGAAAGTTAAAATTATTATGAAAAATTTCAGGCTTACTAAGAGGTATAGAGAATAATATAACAAGCCCCTAAGCCTAAGAAATAATACATAAGCAAATGAAACAATATAGTTCCTTGGGGACTACTTCTCCATCGTAGTCCCTTTTCTCCTCAGAAGGGACTTCTATTTTCAATATGGCATTTACCAGATTTTTGTTTGTATTTTTTGCCATGTGTGTGTGTGTGTGTGTGTGTGTGTGTGTGTGTTGTGTCCCTAATTCATATACAGTATTATATAAGGTTTATATAAATGGCAAAGTTTATATAAATGGCATCCTTCTACAACTTATTCTTTCTTTTGATCAAAATTATCTGTCAGATTTTTTCCCAGGAGCATGTAGAAATCTAGCCCATTCATTTTTCACAGTTGTATAGTCTTCCATTAGGAAAATAACACAATGTATTTTTACACATTCTTCTGTCAATGGAGTTGAGGTGATTTCCAATTGGCTATTTTTCCCCTCTATTATTCAATATTCAGTGAGGATTTTCACACATATCTTCTTGTGAACAGGTAGAGAGTTTCTTAAGGGTATGGACCTAAGTGTGGAATTATTTGAAATGTTTTATATTTAAGCAACATTTTCAGGCCAAAAAAAAAAAAAAAAGCATATCCAAGGGATAGATTTGGCCCTTGGGTCCCGGTTTTTGACCTCTGCATATACTGGGCAGAGGCCTTATCCTCAGGCCTTGGTACAACTGTCTGCAAAGTTGGAACTTCCTTGATAACTCACCCTGGGCTTCCCAGAATTGACATATACTTGCCTTTTAATTGATGAGTAGTACTGATCAATAAACTCCTTGGCGAGAGGGAAGAGTTGTTCTTTTGTGCGGACGTCTTCAGGTCTTCGTACTTGCTGGGAAGGAAGCATGATGGAGCCCATGCAGATGTGCTCAGTGCATCCTGATTCCTGGAAGGAAAAGAAATTTGGGTTATTGCTTGGTTATGCCCAAGTGTGGCATGAGTTGAGTTGTAGGACTAGAGCTGATATTGATGATGGAGTTTACCTGGCCTTTAATTCCCAAAGGGAGTTTCTCAAGTACCAGCTTCAAATAATAGTTGGATGTGGTTAACAGCCAAGGTAAGGGATGCTCTGCAGAAGTGTAAGACTATGAAAGCATTTGCCTGGCTCTGTGATATAAAATATCCCTCAAAGCACAGGGTGGTCCTCAGACAAAGATTTCAGGCCCCAAATGTGGCTAGTGCTGAGGTCAAGTGGTCTTGGTCTACACTCCACTTGGATACTCACCAACGTACTCTTAAGGTGGAGGGTGTCGGTGAGAACCACATCTGTCTCCCAGTTCTTGACCTTGAGAAAGCGGGGGCACTTGGAGGGACTGCCATTCTTTGTGGGGGACTGTTTTCCCGAGGCAGGGGGCTGGAGGAGAGAATGGAAATGGTACATTAGGCTGACTCTTGAGAGTGCTGGAAAATTGTCTCCTCTGGGATGGGAAGAGGTGCTGCTCCCCTTGGAATCTGCCCTGAATCACCATCTGTCTGCACAGAGAAATAGATATGGCTCTCTGACACTGATATGCATGAAGTAGTAGGGAACCTGATCTTGCCACTATACAGAAAGAGGTGCCATTGAAGAACATTTTGGGATCTATTCTCTGGGGTAAGGGGTCAGGAACTCAAAGGTGTCTCCATTATCCAGCACAGGGCATGGCATAGTAGGGACTCAATGAATGTTTGCTGAATGAATGTATGACTGAGAGGACACTATCAGCCTGGGTCAAGTTTCTTGGATTTCTAGGCCTTCCTGTGAGCCCAAACTCACAACCTCTGGGAAGAGCTGGGAAAACAGAAAGGTTTAAATTAGAAAGACTTGAAGCATAGAATGGTCTCCCCAAATTTCAGGTTTCTGCCTCTCAAAAATGCCAAGTTTGTTTCTGCCTCAGGGCCTTTGCACTCACCATCCCCTCTCGTTTAAATACCTTGAGCCCCCCATTTGTCTTCACCTCTGTAAACAAATCACCCAGTAGGTGTGGGAGTATAAGTACTGGCCTGACCAATGTTGACCCATTCATTGAGACCTCAAGGTAAGGATCACACTGTCTTGGGTGTTTCTGAGCAACTGTCCACCTGGCTGGGTAGAGGGGTGTTTGTGCATCAAAAAAGCATTAGTCATTCAGCAACTCTAAGGAAGATGCAGTGGGCACACTCTGACATGGTAGCTCAGCAAGGGAGGGAGAAAAAAGTGTTAGTCATGCTCATGCCAAAGAGTAGAGCAATGGGCAGTGGTCCAGTAATATTTACTGAGCATCTATTATGTACTAGGTCCTGGAGACACTATAGTGAACAAGACAGACATGATCCTTGCCCTCTGGAGCATTGTTGAGGGAGAAGTGGAGATAAATAGTAAGTAAATGAATATATAATGATAGAATTTCAGGTGATGATTAGACTATACAACAGAGGAGGTGATGGTAACTAAGTGGAGGGGGAAAAGGCAAGTGCAAAGGCCCGGAGGTAGGGATGAGCTTGTTTGAAGAGCCAGTAAGGGGCCTCCCTGGTGGCGCAGCGGTTGAGCGCTGGGTCGTGAAGCTGCCCGCAGCTTCTGCAGTGCCGGTTTGATCCCTGGCCACCGGCAAGGGTCCCACATGGCACACAGACCTCTCCTGCCGAGCCCGCTGCTCCCCTCAGCAGTGTACTTCGTCTCTCTGCCTGTTCTGCTCCCCGCTCTGGCTCTGGTGAATTCTCTCACCCTCCCGCACTCTGACTGTACCCAGTGCATGTATAAATAAATAAATCTTTGAAAAAACAAACAAACAAAAAAACCAAAGAGCTAGTAAGGAGGACAATGTGGCTGGGGTATATAAGTGGGGGTCAGGACAGAGGCAGGGGACATATCTCATCAGCTTGGATGTGTTCAGGTGAGAGAACTGGGAATTATGATTAAATGGGCTAAGTCCAGGACACCAATCACAGAGAACTCTGAAGGACTAGTGCTGAAAACCACATTTGTTTATTGAGTATCTCCTGTCTGCCGGGCAAAGGATACTGTGACAAACGAGACAGATGTAATCTCTGCCCTCCTGGAGTTCACAGTCCAGTGGGGGTGCTGACAATTGAATCAACCATCATTGAGAGTGGCAGGTGCCGTAATGTGGGAGGTTGGCAGCATATGGGGGACTAGCAGACAGAAGAGGCATTTAATCCAGAGCATTTGACTTCTAAGTTAAGATCTGAAGGATAAGTAGATATTAACCAGGCAAAGGTAGCAGAGCAGGGTCTGTGGGAACTGCTTGTGCAAATGTTCAATGGCAAGAGGCACATCACAGCCACCTTTCCTGTCAGTGCAGTAGGAGCCCTGTGCTAAAGCACCTGGGCCACCATGGTAGAGTTTGGGAAACAGGAGGCAGGCGAAGAGTACCCCACTAACCCACCCCACTATTAAAGGCAGTTCAAGACGAGGGAACAATAGCAGAGAAGAAATGGAAGGCACTAGACTCGTGACGTTCCACGCCTCCTGTACTGGTCAGATGTCGTCACCTCTGTGCTGGGCGCCACCAGCCATGCCCCTTCGCAAGTCACAGATGGGAACTGTCCCGGGCATCATCCTCTCTAGCCACCACATCCCTTCACCCCCTCCATTCCCTTTCATTTTAGCCTTCTAAAGATCTCTAGAACTTGTCTACCCTTTCTCCCTGCCTGCTGGCCAGCGCCCTGCCCAAGCCATCCACTCTCACTAGATGACTGCGATCCTCCTGAGTGTCAGCCGGTACTTACTGCTATGGTGGTGTGATTCTGCTACTCCTAGTACAACTTGTAATGCTAGCAGTGCAAGTACAGCCTGTGAGTATTATTATGGCGCAGTAACTATTCTGGGCACCAGGAGAAGGACTTGGATGAAGTCTTCCCTTCATCCCACACGTGCACTTTCTGTCCTGCTAGACATTAAGTCACTTACAACTCTGGGAAGCCACGTACAAATAGCCCACTACCCTGGAGACCTGCTCAGACATCCCAAACCCTTCTTGAGGACCCCAAGGTCTCCACTGCTGCCTCTTCCAGCACAGCACACCTGCAGATGGTGGAAGGGACATTTGGGCAGGCTTTGCTGAGACAAATTCCTCGGATCATGCCAATAAGAAAAAAAAAAAAATCTCACCTTGTCTAGGAGGAGATCACACCCATTGTCCTCCCTAATTATGGGGGGAAGGGTGTCACTCAGCAGCTTAGAAACTTTCCTCAACCATCCACATTAACACTCTGGAGGCTGAGTTGCAGCTGGAATCCCAGAGGGGTGTTGGCGTGGGGTGGATGCATAGGGGGAACAGAAGAGTAGGAGTGTAGAGAAGCAGGAAGGAGAGGTGTGAGGTGTGGTCAGTGGGAGGGCAGCTCGTGGCCTTGATTGGCAGGGAGAGGAGGGAGCAAGAGAAGCGGCTAATGAGGGAGGCATCTGTTGAGGTTCCAGATGTGTGAGGGCTGGTGATTATGTGTCAAGGAACTGGGGAGTGTGCACCGTACCCCTCTCCATCCTGGGCTGCATGAGGCTGCACACTTGAAACCAGGCATTAGGAGGCCTCTGGTAGGGCTGTTGTACTTGGGTTTTGATGTTTTAATTAACCAGCAGTAATATTAGATGACTCAGGGGGGGACAAATGGGGAGATTAATATAGCAGTCAGGGGCGCTGTATGGGGGATGCAAATGACTTTTCTAAGCAGGGCCTAGCTAAACATGCAGATTAGTGGCACTTAGGAGCTATTAAACCGGTGAAAGGGCACAAGTGGGCTTTGGGCTGGGGCTACAAGTATCCTTTCCTGGATTTGTCTGGGGTGGGTGGTGGACAATGAGAGCTTTTCAGGTACTGACAAGCTCTCCCTGGGTTCTGCGGGAAGGGCTGTCTAGAAAGCCTGCTCCAAAATTTGCAAAGGTAGCTCTGAATTTCAAAGGCTATGTCAACACCTCTTTGCTTCTGGAGCCTGCAGAGGGCCTGAGGAAGTGGAAGGAAATGACCCTGCAGAGCAAGAGGACACAGCCAGGTCTTGTCAGCTTGGGAGTCCCAGCCAGGAATTGAACTTTGTGCACACCTGACACACCGATTCCTTCTGCCTCTCCTCCCTTCCTTCTTGGTCTCCTTCAGCAAATACAAATTGAGCCCCTACTGTATGCCAGCGGCTTGTGTGCCTGCAGTGGCCCTCATCCTCCTCCCACAATGGGAGACGCATCTTACAGCTGTGTGCTCTGAAGCAGGAGTCTGCAAACCGTGGCCCATGGCCGAATCTGGTCTGCCACCTGTTTTTGTACAGCCCGCGAGCTAAGAATGGCTTTTCCATTTTTAGTTTGTGGAATAAAAAATGTCCAAAGAAGAATAATGTTTCGTGACACAGGCAAGTTATATGAAGTTCAAATGCCAGTGTCCACAAATAAAGTTTTATTGGAACACAGCCACACTCATTTGTTGCTGTTTTGGCTCTGGTTGCTTCGTAGGACAACGGCAGAGTATTGTGATGGAGATGACAATAAAATCAAAAATAGTTCCTTTACAGAGAAAGTTTGCAAACTCCTGATCTAAAGGGCTGAATTCCAGTGGTTAAACTATGTTATTTTACTTATGTTTTCATCTGCTTAAACATCACTGCATTAGAGATCTTCCTAGATCATTCTTCAACATAGCTACTGGCCCGTTACTCTCTGCTGTCCTTACCACCTTTATTATGCTTTGTTTTTCCTCATAGCACTTACCACTCTGCAATTATTGTGAGCATGGGCGTGGATTTGTATGTGACTGTATACACCCACAACTCCACAATCTTACAGATATAGATTTATATGTCTCTCTGGGTAGCTAGACACAGACATAGTTCTCTGCCTACTCATTGTTCACTTTGCTCTATCTCCAACCTCTAGACCAGCATCCAGCACATAGTACATGTTCAACCAACATTTTAGATTTGTTACGGACTGAACTGTGTCCCTCCTGAATTCATATGCTGAAGCCCTAACACCTAACGTGCCTTATCTGGAGACAGGTTTTAGGGAGTCATCCAGGTTGAATGAGTCCATCAAGATGGAGCCGTTGTGTGACAGATTAGCAGCTTTGTAAGAAGAGGAACAGTCTCTCTCTGTCTGCATGTGTGCCAAGGACATGTGAGGACAGCAAGAAGGCAGCTGCATGTAAGCCAGAGAGCCTTCACTAGAAGCCGACCCTTCTGGTACCCTGATCTGGGAATTCCAGCCTTCAGAACTGTGAGAAATAACTTCTCTTGGAGTTGTTTAAGCCACTGAGTGGATGGTGTCTTGTTAGAGCAGCCCACGCTGACTAATAAAAGGTCTAAATGCATTTTAACTTTGTAGAGTCTCTTAAATGCTAAGCCAAAGGCTTTGCTCTTGATTTAGTAGGGAATGGAGAACCCCTGAAGCTGTCTGAG